ATCTTAAACACTAAAAGGCATGATTTTTGCTGGATTTTGACAAAACTTAATTTTATTTGTCAGTACTGTGCTGAAGGTGTAATTTTTGCCTACTAGAGTTTTCTTGAGCTAAAAATTGATTATAACAGGTTTTCAAGAACATGGGCAATAACTCTTATAATCAATATTATTCAGTATCACCCCAAAGAAGTGTATGACTGAAGGTTGAATTTTTCATACTGGACTACTGGTAATTGTTACAGTACTTACAAATATTTTTATTTAAAATCAAAGCTGCCAGTGGGTACATCAAGTCAACAACTATATAAATAGTTATATTCAGTTGAATTATTTTTTATACGCCAGAGATACATCAAGTCAACAACTATATACATAGTTATATTCAGTTGTATTATATATTCTGTCGGTCTGTCTGTCTACAATTGGCTTGTGAACGCGATAGAGACTACAGTTTTCATCTGATTCGAATGAAATTTGGTGTGATCATTTATATTAATGAGATCTTGGCCAAATTCGATATTCACGATTTTTCGATGAACGGTTTTCGAGTTATTGCCCTTGACTTAGCCAAAATGCGTCAAAATTAGCTTGTGAACGTGATAGAGACTACAGTCTTCATCTGGTTTGAATGAAATTTGGTGTGATCATTTATATTGACGAGATCTTGGACAACTTCAATATTCACGATTTTTCGATGAACGGTTTTTTAGTTATTGCCCTTGACTTAACCTAAATGAATTGAAATTGGCTTGTGAACGCAATAGAGACTACATTTTTCATCTGATTCGAATGAAATTTGGTGTGATCATTTATATTGATGAGATCTTGGACAAGTTTGATATTCACAATTTTTCGATGAACGGTTTTGAGTTATTGCCCTTGACTTAGCATAAACGAATTGAAATTGGCTTGTGAACGCAATAGAGACTACATTTTTCATCTGATTCGAATGAAATTTGGTGTGATCATTTATATTGATGAGATCTTGGACAAGTTTGATATTCACAATTTTTCGATGAACGGTTTTGAGTTATTGCCCTTGACTTAGCATAAACATATTGAAATTGGCTTGTGAACGCAATAGAGACAACAGTTTTTATCCAATTTCAATTAAATTTGGTTTGACAAGTTCCAATTGGACGATCTTTCGATGAATGGTTTTTGAGTTATTGCCCTTGACTTATGAAAAACGCGTCAAAATTTGGTTGTGAACACAAGAGAGTCTACAGTTTTTATCCAATTTCAATTAAATTTGGTTTGAATATTTATAATAATGAGATCTTGGACAAGTTTGAATTTGGCTATCTTTCGATGAATGGTTTTTGAGCTATTGCCCTTGATTTATGAAAAACGCGTCAAAATTTGTTTGTGAACACAATAGAGACTACAGTTTTCATCCGATTTAAATGAAATTTGGTATGATCATTTATAATGATGAGATCTAAGTTGACAAATTTGACAATTTTTGGATCAACGGAATTTGAGTTATTGCCCATGACGCATCAAAATTTCTTAGCGATAGAGGTGACAGTTTATGTCAATATTTTATTAAATAATGTGTGTTTGTTTAAATCAACAATGTCTTGCACAAATTAGATTTTTGGTATGATTTGACACAGATACGTGACTGCCCTTGATGTACTGAAAATGTATCAGGAAAGTGGGCATATCTTGCTAGGCAACCACTTGTTAACTATAGCAGTAATTTATTTATAGGCTATGTCAGAAATACAGAAATATGATCTGATATCTGTACAACCTTTAACAGAATCAACATTCCATGTAAGTTAAATGAAAAGAATGGAGTGCTACTTTTCTTCACCATGTGGGCTAATGAAGATGGGCAACGCCATGCAGGGTGCAATGAGGGCAATTTTTCCTTTTTTTTCCTTTTTCAATTCCCAACTGTCGAGGATCTTTAATGTGCACAGTGGGCCTTGGTTTATTGTCCCATCCGAACAACTGCAAGTTTTTTCATCACAGATCCTCTTACCTGCATCACTGTCAGTGGGAAACTGGGTTGAAAAATCATAACTGATTTCCAACAATTTTTGATTTAGACACTTAAAATGACAGTGGATTAGGTCCAAATAAGCCTTCTTCGACTTGCAGTTGGTGAACCGAGAAAGGAAAAATGGAAATGTGGACGTATATTGCCGTCGCCCCAGTCCGTTGGTCCATCCGTTGAGTTATTACCCTTGACTTAAGAAAAATGTGTCAAAATTTGTTTGTGAATACAATGAAGACTACAATTTTCAACTGATTTTAATGAAATTTGGTGTGATCATTTATATTGATGAGATATTGGTCAAGTTCAAATTTGACGATCTTTCAATGAACGGTTTTTTAGTTATTGAACAGTCAATAAGTTGCTTGTTTCAATCTTATTTGAGCGGAAAGTTTGGCGATTTTACATGAATTATAGATATGAAATTGCTCTTTTGTGTTGAAATAAACATTAATATGCAGTTGTAACTTTATATTTGAAAAAATCCAGCGTAATTTCCTCATATCCAAGATTACCTCCAAGAAGCATAAAGGAAAGGGATAAACGCAGTCTAGCCTAGTATCTGAGATAATCGAATGTCCCTTGGAATAATTTTAATATGTCAAAATCACTTTGGGTCTTTTATCAAATATGTAATTATAAGAAATCTTTATGATAAATGATAGACGAAAATTGAAAGAAGGGATCATAAAATTAATAAAAGAAAGAGACAATAGACTAAAGAGTGGTTGTAGGCTTGGCCTTACTATAATCTAGGCCTACATAGGCCTACTTCTGTATATGAAAATTACAAAATATTTTTTATCAAGCATATTCATTTATTAAAAACAAGCAAGTTAAAAATAATTTCATAAAATCAACAGCACCGTTCTAATACAGGCTATATTGATATTACAAATGTAACAAAATTTCAACATATTTTTCATGTTAGGGCCAATAGTATCATTAATAAGCTAATGCTATATATGATTTATGATTTATATATACTCATATGAATTTTGAAATACATATATATGGCTATATAGCATGAATGTTACCAGTTTTTGCATAGACAACTGTATGGAATGCAGTTAGTAAAAAATGAATGAGCAGAATTTGTTGAAAAAAGAAATTGATATTGCATGTTAAATTTATACATTGTCTTCCTTTCCAAAAATACTAAAAGTGTATTCATGTAATGAAGAAACATCTTAGTACCTATAACATATGAAAATGATTTTTTTTTTTTTTATATATAGAAATAAGTAAAATAAATCTGAACTGAATCAGTAAATAGGGTGATTTATTTTCTTCTCAATAGATGATTTAATCCAAATAAAATGTTGCTTGATAAGAACTTTTTTACATAAAATATTGTCCCTCCTCCTGGTCAAATTAAAACATTCTGAAAAAAATAAATAATAACACTATATTTTAGACAATGGTTTTGTATTTTCATCCTATAGGGTGGTTTAGTGAATAGATAATTAATGAAAAGTATTTATTAATGAAAGAATTGCTATAAATATATCAATATTTAAATGACTTAAATTGAGGTAAATTAAAAATAAATAAAATAGGACCCATTACACAACTATACAATATCAGCATTACAAGCCCATGATCTTTTACACCTATAGCAACAGAAAATCTGAAGTGAATCTACAAGGAGCCTATGGGTTACATTGGTTCAAAAAACTGAAAAGTTTTATAACAATCAGCAAGTTGGGTTGTAATTGATTGCTAGGTATGGCAAGGGTACATGTATTTTCTAAACTGTTCAGTAGTTTTTGATATAACAGAACCATGAATTAGCCTTCACGTCTTAGTGAAATTAAAGATGATGGATTGTTGATGAATGACTTGATGTTGCTTTGAAAACTCTTCACTTGCCTTATATTTTATTGCTAGTTTTCTGACTCTCTATCTAGGCTAATGATTTTGTCCTGTTGCAGGCTTGGTGAAAACACAATTGATTCCAGCAGAGGTCGTCAAATTTGGATAAAATCAGATTTTTTATCCTAAAAAATTCAGCAATTTTTTTTTGTCAATTCTCTCCAAATTCACACGTCCACTACTGACACCAGCATCCTGACGACACTTATACTACCTAAATTACGTGAATGGCTCCGTTCTCTTCTTCAAAACACTTTCTAATTTATTGTACAATATTAGTCTATATACGTTTCTCGTGGTCTTAAGACATTTTCTAACCTGAATGGCCACTTTTCGACTGGAATGCGCCATATTTATTTACATTTATTGTGGGAGGGCTTCTGTACATCACGTGATGTTATACGATAGGTTTGATTGGCTGTGACCGATAATTTGACCGAATAATCGACGCGCGCAAATACAAATGTCCTTGTGCACTACTGATTTACTATAAGTAAAGAGTCCCTTTTAAAAACGTAAAATACAAGAATGAACTATTATTTTTCGACAGGAGGTTTTTTGATTATGACGTCAACAGTATGTATCCTGTTCGTACTAAAAAGTTCTTCTAATACAATTTTGTCCAAGCGGCTTTTGATTTATAAAGAAAACTTTCACTGTGAGAATAGGGCCTAATGGTGTGATCTTGTATATTGATGAGATAATTTGATGTATTTGGGTTATTGATTTGGTGGAACTACTCAGCATAAATAACTGTCAGTAAATATATATATCATTGAATTCAAACTTATAAAATTTCTTTAATATGAGCAAATTCATTCTTTAGTCACTAAAGACTGTTTTATCATTTCTGACAACTGTCAGTCAGCGTATGTTACCTTGCTTGGCAAGCTATCTTTTAATATTACAGTCACAGATCACAGGGGTTAACTTTCAAAGGTCAATATCTAAATTGTTGCATACTGCCAAAGATTTGACTTGATCTCTCATTATAGACATACCTATGGATGTGATGGATGCCTTTCAGCCAAATGTTCTAATTCAAACAAAGCTGCCATTGGGTGTGTTTCTTTGCAAACTATTTTTTCTATTACAGAATGCATGTGGTGTATTAGATATTGATATTATTTCTCTCAATTTGAGTGAAAAGTTACCATTTTATATTCGAAAGCAGTCTATAAATTTGGTAATGTTTATGTTTTATACGATTGTTGTGCTTATAGCATAAACTGGATAAAGGCTACCCTAAGAGTAAATTTATTAACCTGATATATTCAGGTAGTATCTCAGCTGTTGGTAGACTGATCATTCAAAATTTTCACAGATAAACGTCAAGATGTGGTCCAACCTTGAAAATATGGAAGTCATTGAATTAATATTGTACAAGTACTATCTCGAACAAAATAACATGTCAAAAAATGCAATATGAAGGCAACTTAGCAATTTCAACCTGTGCCCTCATCACCAATTGCAACCTTTTTTTCTATCCCAAGATGCCAACTAGCAAGGTATTCCAAGCATATCTGGGGGAGGCTACACCAGAATTTATTCACAAGACTGGCGCGCCGCCCCAATCCCCAGAATGTAATTCAATGGATTATGCCATTTGGAATTCTCTGAAGGTAAAGATGTACCGAGGTCAGTGGGACAAACTGACTGAACAGGAACTAAATGGCAGGATACCTTAAGATGAGATCCGTAACAGATAGAAAAAATGGTTGCGATCAGTGTTCAAAGATGGAGGGCACATTGACACAGGTTGAAATAGGTAAGTTGTATTTTTGACGTGCTATTTTGTTTGGGGCAGTGATTGTACAATTTTTATTGGATGACTGTCATTTTTCAGGGTTGGACAACAGCATTTTGAAGTATATCTCTGAGAATTTTGAAAGAGATCAGTTTACAAACAGCTGAGATACTACCTATCGAACTTTGGGATGCTTTTTTGGGGACACCCGATATTTTCAAAAGTGACATACAAGCTGAATGTTTCATTCAAAGGATGGTAGATTATCTGAAAGTCAAAAACTGTTGAGCATTATTGGGTGATGATTAAGTAAAAGAAAGGTAGGAAGGAATAAGAAAGGCCTATATGAGAAAATTTTATTGTTAACGAGTTAATCATAATATACACAATGTTTGCTATTTTTAGGCCTTAGAGAGAGGAATACACTTTGAAATTGTTTACAGTCCTGCCATAAGAGACCAAACACTAAGGCGACACATCATATCAAATGCCTGTGACTTGGTGCGTGTTTGTAAAGGAAAGGTATATGACCATTTTCTACTCCATTTAGCTTATTTCAAAGTTAACTAGCTTTTGTATCAGGAACATCCTCTATGTGCAATTTCCTGTAAGTTTATTGCATCATGTTTTTTTTTTTTTGTAAGTAAAAGAAATAACATCAAATGATGAGATTTTTTACACATAAATGAAAAATAAATAATGAAATAAAAGAACTTTTTTGTTCTCTAGAATATCATCATTACCAGTGGTGCTAATAAGGTAAGATTAAATATCAAGAATTATGTCATAATCCTGGCTATAATGATGCCAAAACATATTATATAGTGCAGAAAATCTAGTTTAATGTAAGACATAGTTGATTGGAATATCTTAAGCATTGTTCTTTGAAACATGTTCAATTTTTAGCTTGTAATACTTTAGATGGTTCAATATAGTTGACATATTCAGATAAATCAGAGGAAATTGTCTTTTATATTTGAAAGATAAACCCTTCTGAAAATCAAAAATATTGAGTGAAAATGTCCATTTTCAATAGAAAATGTTAATTTTGATGAAGAAATGCGACTTTCTCAATGGTAACACTGGTGTAAGTCACATATTATTGAAAATCTTTGTTTTTATACGCCCACATGGAAATGTGGACGTATATTGCCGTCGGTCTGTCCGTTCATATTTCTTGTAGGCACGATAGAGGCTACAGTTTTTATCCGATCTTGATGAAACTTAATATTTATGTATATGTTGATGAGATCTCAGTCAAGTTTGAAATTGGTAATAATCGGATGAACGGTTTCAGAGTTATTGCCCTTGACAACGCGTCAAATTTGCCTTGTAGGCACAATAGAGACTACAGTTTTTATCCGATCTACATGAAACTTGGTATGCATGTATATATTGATGAGATCTCAGTCATGTTCGAAATTGGTAATAATTGGATGAAATTTTTCAGAGTTATTACCACTGACGTAGTAAAAACGCATCAAATTTGGCTTGTATGCACGATAAAGATTACAGTTTTTATTTGATCATGATGAAACTTGGTATGCATGTATATATTGATGATATCTCACTCGAGTTCGTAATTTGTAACGATCGGATGAAGGGTTTCGGAGTTATTGCCCTTGACTTGGTAAAAACTTGTCGGGCTCGGGCTTGCAGGCACGATAGAGACCACAGTTTTTATCCAATCTTGATGAAACTAGATATGCATGATGAGATCTCGGTCAGATGAACAATTTCCGAGTTATTGCAATTGTGTGTACAGCGATGAGACATTGTTCATGTTTGAATTTGATGATAATTTGATGAACTGTTTCAAGGAATTTGAGATAATTTATAAATTCATTCTTAAGCCACTAAAGATTTTGTTATCATTTCTGACAGCTGGTAGTGGGCATATGTCACCTTGCCTGGCAAGCTATCTTATCAATGAGGAATGCCCCTTAGCAAATTACATAATTGCAAGTTATTGCATGTGTACTTCAAAATTATGAGCATATATATGAAGCTACAGATTCAAAAAAATGTATGCACATGTAGTTTAAGTCAAGGGTAAATATTTCATTCTGGTTATGGCTGTCATTCTGCCAAAATATGTTACTTTGCCTGACAACCCATCTTTTTTTTTATTTCAGCCAATAGAATTAAGAGGTCCATATGATATTGCTAATTTGTATCCTTTGATTCCTATTGTGATAAATGTGATAGACTGGTTGAGATCATTTATAAAGTATCAAATAGCCATTTCTAATTATACGCCCACACGGAAATGTCTTCCCTGTGTTCGTCTCTGTTCGTTCATATTTCTTGTAGACACAATTGAGCCTGCAGTATTGAGCAGAGCTTGATATGCATGTGTATATTGTAGACATTGTAGAGTTCTAAATTGGTAATAATCAGATGAACAGTTGTTGCCCTTGATTTAGCAAAAACGCACTTAGTAGGCATGTATATATATTGATGAAATCTCGGTCATCTTTTTTTGAGACACTGCCATATATAGAATATAGCTTGCCAGGCAAGGTAACATACGCCCACAGATAGCTTTTATTGTAAGTATTATGAAATTCGATATATTTACCATCTTCATAATGACAAAATCAAAAGAATCTAAGAATGTAAAGAATTGTAGCTTGTAGAGTGAGCACAAGTTGCACAATATAGCTAATAGAGTAAAATTTCAAGTCAGACAGGATATTTTGGTGAAAAATTATCCGATCATCACAAAAATCGATAGGGATCATCTTCATAATGATATTGACACACAAAATCAAAATCAAAAGAATCTGTAAAAAAGTGTAGCTTGTAGAGTGAGTACGAATTGCACAATATAGCCAATAGAGTAAAACGTCAAGTCAGACAGGATATTTCCGTGAAAAATTATCCGATCATCACGAAAATCAATAGGGATCATCTTCATAATAACATTGGCACACAAAATCAAAATCAAAAGAATCTGTAAAAAAGTGTAGCTTGTAGAGTGAGTACGAATTGCACAATATAGCCAATAGAGTAAAACGTCAAGTCAGACAGGATATTTCTGTGAAAAATTATCCGATCATCACGAAAATCAATAGGGATCATCTTCATAATAACATTGGCACACAAAATAAAAATCAAAAGAATCCGTAAAGAACTGTAGCCTGTAGAGTGAGCACGAGTTGCACAATATAGCTAATAGAGTAAAACGTCAAGTCAGACACGATATTTCGGTGAAAAATTATCCGATCATCACGAAAATCGATAGGGATCATCTTCATAATGATATTGACACACAAAATCAAAATCAAAAGAATCCGTATAGAATTGTAGCCTGTAGAGTGAGCACGAGCCAAATGTGAACCGACGGACCGACAGGGTGATTACAATATACGCCCATCTTTTGAGTGGGCGTATAAAAATCAAAAGAATCTGTAAAAAATTGTAGCCTGTAGAGTGAGCACGATTTGCACAATATAGCTAATAGAGAAAAACGTCAAGTCAGACACGATATTTCAGTGAAAAATTATCCGATCATCACAAAAATCAATAGGGATCATCTTCATAACAACATTGACATACAAAATAAAAATCAAAAGAATCCATAAAGAACTGTAGCCTGTAGAGTGAGCACGAGCCAAATGTGAACGGACGGACCGACGGGGTGATTACAACATACGCCCATCTTACATGTGGGCGTATAAAAAGATTATCTATAGAAATTGGAAAAGAATTCCTAGTTTGAGATATTTTTGAAAGAATAATTCAATTTTCCTACATTTCTTGTACTTTTGACTATTTACGTATATTCAGGACTCAAATAAACCCTCAAAAAAGTCAAACGTGTTCCTTAAACAATTTCTTGATAATACACTAGTGTCTCAGAATTTCATTATCATTATATCTTAATTATTAAGATTCCTTGACTATGATTAAGAGCTCAGCTTTTTGGATTGACATTTGACCAAGCTAGAGATGCTGTGTGTTGTAATTGTAGGGCTGTTTTATCAAGATCAGGTCAGTTTTTGGTAGTTCTTACTTGTATAATATTGTGTTTTCTTCTCTCTTATGTGTTCATAATCAATTTGTATATGGCCAGGCGGAAATGTGGATGTATATTGCCGTCGTCCCTGTCCGTCCGTCCGTTCCCCTTTCCAATTTGGTATGGATGTATATATTGATGAGATTTGGGTCAAGATTATTAGTTAAGCTTTAATCGGATAAACATTTTTTTGTTTAGTGTGCTTGTAGGCACGATAGAGGCTACTGTTTTTATCCTATCTTGATGAAACTTGGTAATGTCTTGATGTCTTGATGAGAAACCTTGTATAAAATGTATGTTGATTAGATCTTGTTTAAATTTGAATTTTGTTACAATCAGAAAAGTGCTTTTTGAAAAAATGCCACTGACTTAAAAAAAAATGTGTCAAATAAGCTTGTAGACACAATAAAAGGTTGAATTTTTAATTTTGCGACCATGGCTGTTAAGGGGTTAAAGGATGTCTAGTTTGATCTATAAAGATCATATAGACTAAAGTGTGTATCCAATGTTGATGCAATTTGAAATCAATGTGTATGTCCATGAGACATTTTATGATAATTTGATTAAATGTTTTTAGTTGTTGCCTCGACTCATTAAATGTCCTTTTAAGATTATGAGAAAATTCATTTTCAAGTGACTAAAGATTTATCATTTCTGACAGCTGGTGCTGGATGCATGTTAACTTGACTGGCAAGCTATCTTTTCAAATGAAAAAGTCTTTTATTAGCTGTTTTATCAGCTTATAGAGCTCGGTTTCAGAATTTAAATTTGAAAACAAAGATGATTAGCTCAAGGTCACTAGTCGACTATATAACATTTTAATACTGAATTATTATAATTGACCTAATTTTTTCTGAGCAAATGCTGCACGGACAAAAAACCAACACTACAAGCTTAAAGATACTACAGGGACACCTTTGTCTTGCTAATAATACACTTAGTTTCCTTTATGGTATATTTATTTTCAGCATCAAGGAGATCAGTTAAATCAACAATATCAGCCACATTATTGGATCCTGGAAGTGTGTCAGTGATACAGTGCCAAGATAAACGCTCCATAGAAGATCATTCAGACAACCCACCAAGAAAAAAACAGAAAAATTAAAGCCCAGTTGAGATCTTAATAAATATTTTTACACCTTAAATTCTTTACGATTGTCTAGCCACTGGTCAGTCTGAATTCTAGCAAGAAAAGATAGAAAATCTTAATATCTGTTAAGGAAAAAAAAATCAATGACAAAATCAACTTTTTAATACAATAACAATCAAATATCATAATTATAATTTGGCACTAAGTGTGAGCAAAGAAATGTATTATTCAACACAGATTCCTTCAGCAAAAGGCATACATTCAAAATATTGACAACCCATACAACCTTCTGAATACTGAACTCTTAGAAATGTAAATATTAAAACAAATAAGAGCATGAATAATAATGGAAATGAAATTATGAGGAGTACAATTCTACCATGATATTGATTACGTCCTAATGTTATATAGGGTAAAAATACCATAGCACATAACATACCTGTTATTATACCCGTTATAATACTGAAATTACTTAATCCTGGTAACAAACCAGATACTAAGAAAAAGGTTACTACAAAAGTAACTTTAGCTATCTGTTGTCTTGATTTCGCAATTATATTCCATGCTTGTATTATTTGAACTATTAAAACTCCAATGGAGCCTAATACTGCTGCAGTACTACCAACCTGAGGCTCATAAGGAGATATTATTGAAGCTGCCTGGAATATAAATAATATATAGCGAATATAAATGAACATCTCGAATTCATTGAAACAAAATAGTTTATGGTGTAAAAAGACTCAGTCACACATGTAATCAAAATTCCTTATTATTAGTTTGCAATAAACTGTAACCTAAAGATAAGACAAATTGATTAACCTCTAGAGCCCCAGGGGTCTAATGTGACCCCACTAATCAATTAACTAATTAAAATGACCCTTACTCTTAAAACATGATTTTGTTGCCATCAAAGCCCAAAGTACCATCCATGATTCTAAAGTTAATAAGTGATAACAGAGGGCGATATTGCTGTCCTAGCAACCAGGGCAAGATGTCAGCCTCCATGATGGCATGCTGAGTCTGTTTAATTAATTTTAGAACCTCAGAATTTTACCTTAAAGGTAAATGATTTTACAAATTATCTTTGAACGCTTCTAAATTGAGTTCTATAGAATATGTCGAGAATCTTCCAGAGCATGTATAGGTGTAAAAGACGTCTTGGATATGCTTGACAATGGAATGACAGTGACTTCGGAGATGACACTGAAAAGGATGATGATGATTTTGTAGTTCCCTCTCCTGGCCAAGCTGATTCAGACTCCAGCCACGAAAGCACAAATGATCAATCTTTTAGTGACGATGACTTTCAACATGTGTGGCACCAGGGAGTGGAAAGAAACAGTCTGCAAAGACATACAGATGGATGAAGAAAGAGTTTTCTCCCCAGACCTCTCATTTACTGGTCAACCATTGCCTGCACCCTCTCTTGATTCTATGGGCCAACTTCACACACCACTGCAATATTTTTGTTGGTTTATAATACAATGATATGTTTGAGCAATTGGTACAATTTACTAACCAATACAGCATTCAAAAAAATGGCACTTGTGTTAATACCAGAGTAGAGATGGAACAGGTCATAGGAATGGTCCTCCGTATGGGTATTGTACAAATGTCTGGTGTAAGATTATACTACGAGACACTTACACGTTACGACCCCGTGACTGAAATAATCGTGAGGAACAGATTTCAACTCATTTTAAGGACCATTCATTTTGTAGACAATGAACATGTTCCGACGATGAAAAAACTGACAAGTTGTGGAAAATTCGACCTTTCCTGAATATGTTTCGAGCACAATGTCATCCTGTCACTCCCGAGGAGAATCAATCAATTGACAATATGATGGTCCCTTTTAAGGGTCGGTATAGCCAGATTAAACAATATCTTCGTGGTAAACCAAATCCTTGGGGTTTCAAGATCTGGTGCCGCTGCGTTAAAAGTGGCATGCTGTATGATTTTGAAGTTTACCAAGATAAAAGTGGTAATAAGAGAGGGAACGGTGATCTTGGTGTTGCTGTGATGTGGTATGCAAGTTGAGCCACACGCTTCTGGCTCACAAAAACTATAAGTTGTTTGCTGATAATCTATTTACATCAGTTGGGCTGAAGGAGAAACTCAAGCAAAACGGGATTCAGTATACCGGCACGGTTCGTGCAAACCGTCTTCGTGGATCTTTTTTAAAAACAGAGAAAGAACTCTCTAAACTCGTACGTGGTACATTGGACTACAGGGTGGAGAATCAATCAAACATTGTATGCGATGGATACTAAAATGGTAACCCTGATGTCTACCTGTGTTCCTTTTGATACTGCTAAATGATGGGATAAGACCAAAAAGGAGCACACAGATGTAACCAGGCCTCTAATCATAAAAGAGTACAACTCCATGTGTGGCACGCTACAAATTCCACATAGGTGGTATATGTACCTTTTTTGCACTGTATACATCTTGATGTCGTCAACGCTTGGCTCTGGCACCGTCATGTTTTTCAACTACTGGGATTAGATAAGCCACTCATTCTCAGGAAATTCCAGGCCAAGGTAGCAAGTGGGTTAATAGAGGTTAACACCGTCAAGAAACGTGGGCGGCCGTCATTGGAAAGACCAGGAAGCCCCAATCCTGTTTCACAGTCCAGGAGAGTTTGGCTCCACCCAAGCAGAGATGCACAGAAGGACCAGTTTGCTCACTGGCCGTTAAAATTTGTGCCATTTGCCAAATAAAAACAGACACAAATGTGAGAAATGTACTGCTCAACTGTGCTTCACAGAAAACAGGAATTGCTTCAAACAATATCACATTTAGGTTTATACTGACAGAGTGTAAGAATTGTTAACTTTGGGTTTAAAGGCTGTATTTGTTAATTTGGTGTTGTTTTTGCCTTTGGTGAATTAAAGTGCAGTTAATGTATGTTTGAAATTAGATTTTAGATGTTTAGTCGTAATCATTTAAGGCTTACTATTCAAAGTACATTCAAGATTTCGGTTTGCTGTTAACCCAACGGGTATGCACTATAATGTGTAAAAAAATTCTAAGTTTCATTATTCCTTATATTGGACCTAAATATAAATCTGTCTGGTATATATTTTTGTCATTTCATAAAAGGTCAATGGGAAAGAAAGCTCAGTTGGAGTTACTTGGAACTTACTTGATTTTCAAAAGTACTCTTTTTTCACTTGTTACCAAACAAATATCTTGTACTCAGTGAAACACAGTTACTTTCTCAACACATGAAATGTTCTTGATGATTGAACTTACCAGGACGCCTGCTAATCCACATATACTATATATCAACATCAGACGAAACCATCCTGTACATTTCTCTACAGGTCTCATAATAATCCATTCTACACTTAATAATAATATTAAATGTATTAAACCATGACAATAGAATAGTGATGTGAATATACGCCAGCCTTGTTGAGGTGAGAATGGCAATCCACTGTTATATAGTGTTGTAATATTACTACCACATAAACTGTCTAAACAATTCACCTGAAAAAATTTTGAAGATAAAATATTTTTTGTCAATATAAATACAGAGTCTTAACAGAAAAGCCTGGAGGATTGAAAGTAAATATTATACTAGTCTACAATGATAGGATTGAAAGTAAATATTATACTAGTCTACAATGATAGGATTGAAAGTAAATATTATACTAGTCTACAAGATAGGATTGAAAGTAAATATTATACTAGTCTACAATGATTGGATAGAATGTAAATATTTTACTAGTCTACAAAGATAGGATCGAATGTAAGTACTATACCTGACAGCAAAGATAAGATTGAATGTAAATACTATACCTGACTATAATGATTGGATAGAATGTAAATATTATACCTGACTAAAATGATTGAGTAGAATGTAAATATCATACCTGACTATAATGATTGAGTAGAATGTAAATATTATACCTGACTACACTGTATAATGATTGGATAAAATGTAAATATTATACCTGACTACAATGATCTTTATCCCTGTAAAATATTCCACCAATAAATATACAATGAGAATGAGAAAATAATTCACAAGTTGAAAGATGATGATGATGACAACATGGCCTGAGATTATGATTAACCGAATTCTCACCAGATGTTCTTTCACTACACATAATACCATTTTTCCAAACACCTACACCTACAAAGGGTAATGAAACAGTAAATTGAAACAATTCTTCCAAATTTCTTGCTTCTTATCTTACTATATTGGAACACAATATCTTCTGAAACTTTTGGATATCCATGTTTTTGAGAGTTAATAAATCTTAAGTATGAAGAATTTGTAACCATGTCACTTTGAATAAAGCTGGTCTATTATGGCACTAAATTGTACTAGATCCCCTTTTTTTTTTTTAACTGACTAGGTGATTAGAAGTTACCAACCGTTAGTTTTATTGTCACATTCTTCTTCTATTGTTGTACCAGCAGTATTTCTCATTGCTACTTCACAACATCCCAGAACCTCATCATGGTCACCATATTTATGTATATAATCTAATCTTAATTTAATATCATCTCTAATGCAAGGTGCAAATACAGCACCCATTTCTAAACAAACAAATTATTCAGACAGAAACTAAAACCTGTTTAGTAAGATTAAACAGTTCACAAATTCTTCAGAAGACTTTAAAATTCTTTGCAGATCTATTTAGATTTACTGTTTTATAATTTAGCAGAATGGATAAAATACCATGTTTATTATATTTATCAACCTGTATTTTGAGTTCTCAATGAACACATGACCTGTTGTGTGAGAGTATAGTATTACCAGTGATTAGAGAAAATTTGATCATAACCTACCTATCAGAAATTTTCTATCCGAACCAATCCATACATTTGGTGTAATCCAGTGATGTATGGTTTCTGTACCTAGAAAAGTTGGAATATTTTCTTTCAAAACCACAGATTGTTGTAAACCAATATGATGAATATATCCAATAGCTGTTAATGAGGAAAACACCATTACATGAACCTACAAAAAGTTAAAAAAAAGAGCTTTCCTGCGAAAAATTACATTATATCAGAAACAAGTAATATCATGCAGTGAGCAATGAGAAATTCTGTGAGGTCTGCACTGCCAATTTGCTTGCTTTATATAGACTTTTTACATGCTCAGCAACTTTATCTCCCTTTCTACAGTTTTAAAGAGTTATGTTAGTGTTTTTTTTTTTTTAAATATGTAGAAATAAGCTTATTCATTTTACCTCATCAAAGAATGAACTTGGTGTACATCTTTTTATAATACCACTGAGATCCATCAGCCTAGTTTTTTCATAACTTAAATAATGCCATCTAATATACCCAACTACTTACTAAGATAATGAAATAGGTAAAAAATGGTTTGAATTGTTTCAATTCAGCTCGTTTAACCCTTGTATCAGTTGAACTATGTCTACTTTTCTGATTTATTTCTTTTCGTAAATCTTTCCATTTTTTTCTTGCTTCTTTTTGTGGATTTCTGTAGTAGGCTTAAAAAATACATGAGCCTGTTTTCAATAAATGTTCATCGCTAAACATGCGTTATATTATATCAAATTAAAGAAAGCTTATATATACAACAAAATTCAACATAAATCAACAGCCCGAATCCCGAAAACCGGTTTTGATATAGTTAAGGAAGTTAATCAGGGTTCAGTTTGGTATTGATTTTGGTATTTCGATTTATTGTAACAGGGTAAAGATTTGTTGCAGAATTACCTTTAGCATTGTCTACTAACTGTTGAACAGTTCTAATTCTCCATTCATAATTTTCATTAATCCATTGTTTTGTTTCTTTTATTTCTTTGATTTTCATCTCCTTTTCAAGCTGTAGTTATTATTTTTATAAATGTTAGTAAATTGTTTGCTTTGCAAATACTCCAAATTGTTTTTCCAGCTTAACCTATTTTGGGCATCAAGAACCACATACATGTATATATCATATGTGTAAAGTATCACAAGTAAAGTATGTGCAACATCAGATGTTTAGTAAGGGTATTTATATTAGTGGAACTCAAATTTCTTTTTGAAGATTAGGTTTATTTGTTTGAATTTGTCTCAAGGCTAAAAAATTAAAAAAATTGTGACTCCACAAGTATTGCTGAGAATTGTACCAGTGTCAACATCCATCCTCTACCAGTTTGAGAAATATCTTTTAAAAGGGAAAATTTACATACTGCAGTAAAATTCAGATAATGGTTAAATGCTTCTTGACCTGTTAATCTTACTCCTTCATCTTCTAGTACTTCATAATCCTTACAAATAAATAATACTAAACAATTTATTTATCTGCATTTCAAGAATTTGATGTACAAAAAATGTAAATGTACAGAACAGTATGAACTTGTATAAGACGTCATAAGAAATACTCTCCTATAGAAGTGGCCTTGGTCACAAGTAGAGACTATGGATTTCAGCATTAGAATACATCATTTTGATCAGAAATTACTTACCTCTGGAGAGATTTACAAGATGCACTAATAATTCCAAAATATTTTATATGATTTTGGTACATGTTAAAATGTGAATTTATTACTTACCTCAAATATCTGTGATGGTTTCAGATCTAATTTAGATAAACTACCAAGTTGATAAAAACTCCTTATCGTTGAGGATGATGGATTTTGATTGTAAGAATCATTTTTATATGTTCCTTCACTGATGGCTGAAGTAACAAAGTTTGTTCTTCCAGATGTTGATGGTTGATTTTGTATGGAGTGATTACGTCTAATGTTTGATTTGACATCCAATAGGTTGTTTCTCAGTTGACTTCTGTTTGATTTATTGGGATCAACTGCCGAGTTATTCAAATCTTTCATGTTCTTAGTTGTTTGATTGTCATCAAATGGTATTGGTAAAACTTTGTTTCTTTTTGGGGGAAATGTCTGATTGTGATGAAAATTTTGGGACATGGTTACATCATTTTTACCATGAATTCTTGTGGACATAAAATTATTCAGCTTGACCTCGAATGAAGGTGGATCATTGGATGGTGTTAATGGTTTCATATTTGAAGCTGACTGATTAAGATTTTCACTTGCATCATAATTTTTTTCATTTTCTCTGCAACTCTCTTCTATCTGGGAAATGCTTTCATCTTCAAGTGTGTCCCCTGAAGGAACCTTCTCAACTTTTATATTCTCATTCAATGGTTGTGAATCTAATTGATCATGGGTTTCATTTTCATCAGAGTTATTTTGTTTTATGTCGGTTATTGCCACTTCCTGAGCTATATTCGATTGTGTATCTGGTGTATCTTGAGATACATCATAGACTTTTAAACTCTGAACAAGACTGACAATGCTATCTTGGCCAGATTCCTGTGTTATAACATTTGGATCATACCCAGTAAGAAAGTGAGATGATTTTCCAAGTATGTGATTAGAGATGCCTGTGTCATCATCATCCATTGAAACTTCTGAAACTGTTTCTTCCAATTCCTCCACGACCTTTACTCTCTGATACGGGATACTTGCAGTTGATACCAAGATATTTGACAGCGATATACCAACTTGTCCGCTCTAAAGATAGTAATTCATAATTCTTAAAGTAAGATCTTTCTATTTCGAACCAAAGCATCCCTACTGCAACAAATTTCATGACGTAAAATGATCATAATCGATTATTGTCGCTGGGAAATTATAATGTTGATTATCTACGGAAGCGTATAAGGGCCATTAATTTTTTTTTTTTTTTAATTTTCAAGTAAGTATGTTGAATTTTCAAGTTAGTATGCTGAATTTTCAAGTTAGTAACTTGAATTTTCAAGTTATTAACTTGAATTTTCAAGTTAGTATCTTGAATTTTCAAGCTAGTATGTTGAATTTTCAAGCTAGTATGTCCAAGTTAGTATGTTGAAAATTCAACATACTAACATGAAAATTTAAGTTACTAACTTGAAAATTCAACATTCTAACTTGAAAATTCAACATACTAACTTGAAAATTCAACATACTAACTTGAAAATTAAAAAAAAAAAAAAAAATGAATGGTCCTAATATGCTTCCGTAATTATCAAATTTCATAATCGATTATATAGATATTTTAAAGTTACATTTTCTCCACTGTACCCGTTAACAAGTAATCTCTTCCACATAGTTTCCCTTCAGCACATAATAAGCTATAGCCTAATTACCGATCAAAGCAAGAATATACTTCTATCTATGACACAAAGATAGCCCATGAAATTGAGAATTTTGATTTTAATTTAGTATTTTTCTCAATTGAATTATTTTGATTATTAAACGATTATCGATTTCAGCTCCACTCTTAACAATCTCAATCTGAAAATCTTGTAGGTTAGTTTCTTATTCATTCCAAGTATTGGTCCAAACCACAGTTAAGCACAGAAATACAGGTAGATCTACGGCAAATGAAAACAAATTCCAGCAATAGTATAAGAGTAACTATTTTGTACCTGAGCATTTTTATGAAAATTTGCCCTCCATACTTCAACCTGATCTTCATGAGTGACTCCAAAAAATTCTCTAATTTTTCTGCATAACCATCTTCCACAATTATTCATTTTTTGTTTTCTACCAATTCGAACTTCTGTAATAAGATGCTACCTGTGTAGATTTTAGGTTTCTAGTATTGTTTGTATTGTTTTGCATAATATTTGATATGTAGACCTCCCTCTACTTCAACATTTATGATTTTAGTCCGAAATATCTGCATCTATAGAAATCTTTTCCAGCCTCTGATGGATATTTTGCTAGTTGTCGATAGAGTACACCAGCAAGACTCAGCTGTCCAAACAGCCTCGTCATTAGGGCGGGGGCTGGGTCCTAGCAAGTGAGAATTAAGCCCCAGCAAAACCTTCAGTTCAGCAGAGATTGATTCAAGTGTTTTTGTACAAAATAATTTTTTTTATAGATTTTGATACGTTTTTGGCAGCTCAAAATAGGCTAGTCTGAGATGAGCTCTCTGTGAATTAAATTCTTCAAGTTCAAATGTTCTGAGTACAAAATCTGCACCAATTCATTCCTGGCGACGGGGCCGTGTCCAAATTGGTATCATAGGCTAGATACAGATGTTTCGGTCTATTATAAGTTAAATGCTCTGTCATACAGGATGGGACTGGTCAGTGGTGGGCTTAGTACCTAGTATAAATGTCCTTATCCGGTAGGCCTAGAAGGAGCACATTTGACAGAAAGTTTTTAGTTTTCATTTGTAGATTTTCAAATTTTGAATTGTTGTCGATAAATAAGGCTACATTAAGTAACTAAAACTAAGAGCAACTGAAACATATTCTACATTTAATTACCTATATTACTTCAGAAACTTTATAACACAATTACTCTAAAGAACCTTGCAAGAATAAGATAAGCCTGATGATGGGCATGGGTGTTAAAGGCCGAGAACGGTGACCTCAATGTTGATTGGCGCGCTTTTACAGGTAGCCTTTAAATAAATGTGGTCTTGAAAAATTTTATATAGTTATGTCCCTTTTGTTTTACCGGAAGTTTATATTGTTGACCAAGAAAAATATTTTTCCAAATAACTCAATAGCCAATAGCAATAACTTTGGCTTCGGGTTGAGAGCAATGTTGTTATAGTGAAGAACCTTGAGTACATTAAGTGAATATTTCGTAACTAATTAAGATTATTCATAAATTCGTCAGGAGGCTATAGCCTTCATGTTGGTGACGAGAAGAAACTCGCTGTTTAGAACAACGCCACGGGAACTTGTATTTTTTAAGTAAGTCTGGGCATAGTCACACTCGCTTCAGACTACAGCCACACATAATAGTTTAGAAGGCTAATAGTTTAATAGCAACTTAGTAAGCCTATTACATAGATTATCAACAATATTCCTACTACAGACAGCATATTAAAGAAACAGTTGCAGCAGTGAATTTCAACTAAGGGCAAAGATATGATTTGATTTAATGACGTTTCATTTGGACAGAAGAACTCAATAAGAGGATGTTGATTTATTTTACTTAAACAATAAACATTCATTCACTTTGACACTTAAACCAATAATACTAGTGTTGCAGTATGAGTACCAGTAGTACATAGATTTATCAGATTTATCATTTGAAGTTATTCTACTTCGATATTAGAATTTGATATACCTCTTGTTTTAGTCTAACCCCTTGGTTATTTGAGACTTTTTCTTTACTTTGTTGAGTACAGTGTGTAGGTTGAAAATAATAAGGATCTAAAGTTAGTACCTAAATTATGTCGGACTCGGAAGAAGAAATAAATGATAAGAAATTGAAGATAGTTGTAATGGGAGATGGTGCATCAGGAAAGGTAATGTTTTTTTTTATTGATCTCATTTTCTAGTTTCATTTCATCTTAAATGGCCTTTGTATGAATGATCCAAAGAAATGTTGTGTACCATATTAAATAATACTTTACTCATGACATGTGCAGCCAGAGGCCTTCTACAGAGGCTTAATTAGTTTATTAGTCGAACCCATTTGTCATTATTTGTGTGTAGCATGATAATTACCTAGTTGCAGTATGTTAATGACATTTGTATTCTTCAATATTTAGACATCTTTGTGTACCAGATATTCACAAGAGCAGTTTAACAAACAGTATGGTCAAACGGTTGGGCTAGATTTTTATTTAAAGAGAATAGTACTACCAGGTAATGCTAAAAGGAATGATAAAAAACATTTATTTAGCTTTTCAGACATGTTTTATTTTCCAATCTAAAGGCTTGTTATTCAAGTTAATTCTTACGAGAACAAGTAATACATGCTTTATAGGGGGAATAGTCAGCATTTTCAGAGAATGATTTGGGTCTTTATTGTCCTTTAATAATCTTTAAGTGATACTATGTCTTAGAATACACTCGTCCTGTGGCTAATATTTGTGTTTAATAGTGACCATTGGTTAAATAAGTATGCATTCCACACTTTATCAAGTTTGAAAAAGTGACAATAAAACTATAATCAAAATTTCAAAAAAAAGTAAGCAAGCGACAAGTCCGTAAAGTTTGAGAAAAAAAGAGTCTGGGTAATCAACGCTAAAACAGGAAACAATCATCTTCCGGTGTATACAAACAAACTTTGCCAATGATTAATATTTGTTGAAAATTGTGTCAGTGGTGGAGTATTCATTCTAAATTATATGAATTGCTTTTTCATGGAGTCGCTTAATTTCCTACGAGGCATTATTATTCCGTCTTCAAAATATGTCTGACAATGTCGAGGTCAATTCAAGAGTAGAGGTCAAGGACGTGGGAAACCCCACTTGAGAGTTACTTCCCCTTGAAAATTACACCGGATTTCCTAGACTCACGATTTGAAAATCGCTTAATGGATGTATTAGGCGTTTTATAATTAATTACTTGTGGATATATCGGATAATAGAGGAATTTTGATATATAGTTAGGACACCAGGTAAGTTCACTGATGGATATATACTGTTATTGGCCAAATTGAACAAAATTAAAATTTTATGTTCATCCTAAGACGTAGTATCCCTTTAAACATATCTCAAACAAAATATTTCACTGTCTCTTCCTATATATATGTGTTTTCTGTATGGCATAGTCTCACTGAAATTTGAGTCAAAGTTTTAAAACCTGAATAATTGTGGATACACATGGCTCAAATTTCGATGATGAGCTGTGAACACTATTACTGATTATGTAAGCTAAAAAAAATACCTGTTTCTGAAACTAAGGTATGATTGTTCGAACGGATAGTGAAGGTGCTCCTTGAAAGCATTTATGATTATTGATGCATTATTGCAAGTGTATACGGTACATAAATTAACCCTGGAATGATTGAATTTTTCAACTCATCTACAGTGAATATCATTATATTTTAGCATAAAGATTGTAATGGATGCAATGACAGCCCCTCTGTAATTGATTTTGTGCACAAATTTTAGAAAAAGAAAACTAAGATATAAAAATAATTTTCAGGAAATATTAATGTGACACTTCAAGTATGGGATATTGGAGGACAAACTCTTGGTGGTAAAATGTTAGATAATTATATATATGGTTCTCAGGTATGACTTCTTATACACTTCTAATACAAATCACAATTAATTTATCTCTTTCTGTATCTCTCTACATGCCTTTAGTATTAAAAAGTTTGAACATTTATTATATGATTTGATTTATTGATTAAGATATTTGTCTAAACTTCCTACTAATCACAATCTAATAAAGAAAATAAAACGAAACATGTTACCTGTTTTCCATTATTTTCTCATAAATAGGAGATTATGTCCATGGAAATTTCTACAAAAGGAAGGAATCCTTAATTGTATTGTATTGTCAAAAATGTTTGTAATACATTAAAGATGACACAAACTATACAATCACTGTAGAGAGATAGTTATGAGTCATGATAAATGATTATTTTAGGGAGTTTTGCTGGTGTATGATATTACAAATTATTCAAGTTTTGAAAATTTAGAAGATTGGTATGCAGCAATAAGAAAAGTTTGTAAAGATGTCCGTTCTCCTCACATCGCTTTAGTTGGAAATAAAAGTAAGATTTACTACTCCCTGGCTACTGTAATTCTGGATTCAGACCCTAACTGGAAAAGAAATGAATTGGATGTAGTTTTTCGTCTGCGTCTGATTGGGATAATGAAGATGGGCAACGCCATGCAGTCTGTGTAAGGAAATTTTGCCATGACAACGGCATTAGCCTTATCTTTTTCGCTTTCCAGGGATCTTTGACATGCCGAGTCTGTATCACACGGGTCCTTAGTCCAATTTTAGCAAGTACATACTTTTTCCATGTCGGTTGGAGCCGCAGTTGCTCAGTGAGTTAACCTGAAGGTCCAGGGTTCAATCCCAGCATAGGTCGAGATATACCTTCGGAATTTAAAACCCGGTACCCCCATGTCAGTAACCCAGGGGCTGACATGGAAAAAGGGTCTAGTCATTCAGATAGGACAGTAAACCGAGTGCCTGTGCATGTTAAAGTTCTCGCGAAATTTCCCTCAATGTAACCTGCCTGTCTTCATTAACCCACATGGTGCAGGTGGTTATGTCATGTTATTTGCTGTGTGATTTGTCAATGTATCTATTACAGTTGATTTGGAACACATGAGAACAGTAAAACAAGATAAACATCAACGATTTGCTCAAGAACATGGAATGTCCAGTCATTTTGTATCCGCCAAGTCTGGTGATTCGGTAAGAAATATCATAAAATAATACAAATCTACACAAATATAATCTCAATGACAAATATCAAAAATGGTGACTTTAGTTACTTCCTGTTATTTTTTTTCAGAGAGTTTGAACCAATGTCTGCAAAATGATGCTTAGAGATTGTGTATTTGTAGTTGTGCACATATCTGATGTTAACTTATGTACCTTTTAATAATTATATTTTCTTGTAGGTGAACTTATGTTTTCAAAAATTAGCAGCTGAGATTCTTGGTGTCAAGTTAACTAAGCCTGAAGTTGAACAACAACAAAGAGTTTTAAAAGCAGAAATCATTAAATATCCAGCAGACGCACCAGTTAAGCCATTACCCCAGCAACCTAAAAGTTCATTTTGTGTTCTTCAATGAAGAACTAGTTATGGAAATTAGACTTAGGCTAACACAACAGAATCTTACAATGAAAACACCTTCCAATTGTCCAATCTGATTGAATTCGTCCACAATCAAATCCTGCCACATATACTTATAACTTTATTCTTATAACAATTTGATTTTCTTTATCAGATGAAGCTTGTTTTTCAATTTACACTTTATCACTTATAAAAATAAGATTCAGAGTGATATATCAAACAAGGATGTTGATATGACAATAAATAGGTGATATTTATCCACCTTTGTTTTTAACTAAGGTTTCTCGGTTTATGAGACTGTCAGTTATAGGCTATGACTGTTTTTATTATTAAATGTTACCCCATGTTTGTCCGTCAATATGTCTGTTCACATTTCCTAGTATGATAAAATTTTGTATGTGTACACAATCCTAAAATGAAGAAAAAAATCAAATTTGATAGTGTTGAATATTAAAGCCTGTAATATTGATTTAAATTTTTATTATAATCATTTTTGATATGCCCACATCTCTCTATGTGGACATATTGTCGGCACCCCTGTCCGTCCGTCGGTCAACATTTGCTTGTAAACGCTCTAAAAACTAGATTGTTTGATGGAATCAAATGAAATTCGGTATGTGTATACATATTCATAAAACGAAGATCAAGTTCTAATTTGAGCTATTTTCGACCGTTAGAAGCAGAGTTATTGCCCTTGCCCTAAAATCTTGAATATGCTATTACTCTCTTAGTTTTCAACCGATTTTGATGAAACTTAAAATGGATGTTTCGTTTTTACCATCCGCATGCCGTGAAGGGCGTGTATGGCTGTGGTCCACTATCTTTATAATTTGTCAAAAAAATAGAAGACACATAAAGCATTTCAAGTAAAAGTTCTTTTCTGGTCCATTTTTAGTTGATGTGGCCGTACATTGTCGCTGTCGTCCCTGTCTGTCTGTCTGTCCACAATTGCCTTGTGAACACTTAAGAGACTATTTTTCATCTGATTTTAATGAAATTCATAGTCATCATTTAAATTGAAAGCTTAGTCAAGTTTGAATTATATTGTTACTGCCCTTGACTTAGTAAAAATTTGTTTTTGAACACTAAAGATACTACAGTTTTCATCTGATCTTAATGAAATTTGGTGTGATCATAATGGGATTTTAGTCAAGTTCAAATTTGATGATTTTTAGATGAATGGTTTGGGAGTTATTTATTAGGAAATGTGTGTCTTTGTGAACACAATAGATACTGCAGTTTTTATACGTCCATATGAATATGTGGTCGTATATTGTCGTCGCCCCTGTCCGTCGGTCCGTCCGTCAACATTTCTTGTGAGCACTATAGAGACTACAGTTTTTATCTGATTTTTATAAAACTTGGTGTGATGCTTTAGATTGATAAGATCTCGGTCAAGTTCGAATTTGAAATATTTTCGATGAACGGTTTTTGAGATATTGCCCTTGACTTAGAACGCCTTGAAATTTGTTAAAAATAGTTCGTGAGCAGGATTGAAGCTACAGTTTTCAACCGATTCTGATGAAACTTGGTGTGATCATTGGAATTGATAAGATCTCGGACAAGTTCTAACTTGACGCATTTTCGATGAACGGTTTTTGAGTTATTGCTCTTGACTTTGTTAAAATGCGTCGAAATTTGTTAAAAATAGTTTGTGAGCTGGGTTGACACTACAGTTTTCAACCGATTCTGATGAAACTTCTTGTGATCATTGGAATTGATAAGATCTCAGACAAGTTCTAACAAGAGATATTTTTGATGAACATTTTTTGAGTTATTGCCCTTGATTTTGTAAACACGCGTCAAAAGTTGTTTTTTACCCTTGATTAGAGCTGTGTAGTTTAATTGTTTGTTGTATTTGGGTTATTGATATTGATTTTAAAAAAATTTGTGGAATTATTCAGCATGAATAATTTCTTCAATATGAGAAAATTCGTACTTTAGTCACTAAAGACTGTTTTATTATTTCTGACAGCTGCCAGTGGGCGTATGTTAACTTGCAATGCAAGCTATCTTATCTGATATAAATGAAATTTGTTGTGATACATATATTGGTCAAGATATTTTAGTTATTGCTTTTGACTTATGAAATACACTTCAAAATTAGTTTGTGAACACAATAGAGACTAGAGTTTTTATCTGATTTGATACACTTAAAACGTGGTTTGTAAACACGATAGAGGTGACAGTTTATGTCAGAATTTTATGAAATTTTGTATGTTTGTTTAAATCATTAACCCCCATGATATTAATGCCTGTTCCTTCAAAGTTTTCATTTGATTTTCACAAAACTTGGTTGTAAATATATGATCAAAAAATGAATTTGGACAGTAAGCAATAATTTTGACCTCTGTGATCTCAACTAATGGAAATGCAATATCTTCATAGATTTTAATAGAAGTATATTACCAAAAAAGGAAGAGCAAGTCTTCTGTTTTTCACCAATGGCATACCAAAGTGGGTGTATTTTGACGTCGACCACTATACTTTTCAATATGTAATCAGTTTAAAATTATGACATCATTCAGGTTTTCAGCTGATACAGATATGTTTTAGCTTCTCGTAGCATGAAATGTCATCATCTGCTTGAAACATTAACAATAATGTGGAATCTACCAAAAGTGTTTGAGTGGACAAACCCAGTTGCAGAGTGCATCAGGTGTTACCAAAGAGAGAGCATTCCATGCCACAACCATCACAGAACTTCTTTACAGTGTGTTTTAAATTCTTTCATTACTTATGTTTATATCGAAAGATCTTATTTGTAAGATTGTAAATTAGTTATTTGTGATAGTGTTGATACCAGATAAAAGATTATCATTGTATTCAGTGAGGGCTCGTTCTAAGAAACAGTTAAAGTAAGATAATATTTTGAGATATAATGATCATACATGAAGGCAATGAGATGGATTTCTCTAAGATTTATTAAACTGCTTGTGTTATGGTCTATCAGTATTATAGGTACAGTCTAATTTATTGAATGTTTTGTTAAAGATTTTATGTTCATGTGTTTATGTATATTTTATCAGGTTGATGTAAATATTTATTTATTGTTGGTTGTCATATTTTATCAATGTATTTTGGTGTTAATAAGTATATTTTTAAACACAAATGTAGTAAAGTCACAACCATAAATTTAGAGTCCTTTCTTCTGTTCAAGTGATTGTGGAGAATAATTGTATACCCCTTCTTTTCACATTTTCTCAACAGCCAATTAGAAAGCTCTGTGAATGATGAAACTGCTATAGTTCCTTTTAGTTTCATAAAACTTAAGAAATTGACGAAATTCTTCTTTAAATCATGATGTATTTTGCTCTGTAGCATCAAAAGTTGTCATCTGTTATGGTTTTATGAAACATAATTGTTTAGCATAACAATGGCAATTTTTTTCATAACACCTTCACTGAAAATATCCAAATTTTTCAGGAAACTTTACTAACACCAGTTCATGCCTATCTTACATCCAAATGAAAGTACATGACATCACTGTGTTGTGAGGATTTGACAGAAGACTAACTACTTTTAGTACAGTATTCAACAATATGGTTTCTCATCTCCAAATAATAATGTTCAATATAACTTTCAAACTACATGCACTATACGTAATGTAGAAAAAGATCTGTTCCACCCAAACTTGTCCTTGTAACATAATACACTCTGTCAATTTCTTTTTCATGTAAATTTAAAATCCTCAATTCAAACTAGCTTTCTGGGCATAATAATAAATTCAATTAATGAGACTTTTTCATATACATTTGAAAGAAAACGGGTCCTTGATTTTTACCCATTTGTTGTCATAGGCATCTCTACTTCAGATATTTTATTTCGGTACAAAACATATATTCAATTTTTTAAAAATCTCACTGTACAATAAGTTTTATTAAAGCTGAACATCTTCATTTTAACCAGTTTTTCCAATTCAATCACATTCCTATATTTTGATAAACCTTACACCATTGAAAAAAAAGTTTGTTCTACTTCTATAGTAGACTATAACCGGGCATATGTAGCATGTGGATTGTGACTATAGGCACTATATATATATATATATATATATATATCATTACACACACTTTTCATAGTCACACAGTCTATAGATAACATTTAAACAGAAACATATCCAATTTCATCTCTATTGGCCTTTGACTTCTTGTTGCTGCTGTTGTTGATTTTGCTGCTGTTCTTGTTGCTGCTGCTGCTGCTGCTGCTTTTCCTTGTCTAGTTTCTCTTGCAATTTTTCCTCTTCTTCTATAGCTTCCTCACGCTTAATTAAATCTATTATTTCAGACAATTGTGAAGAATCAAGTTTCACATTTTCTCTGCCAATCTGTTCAATGACCTAGAAATAATGTTTTATTTGTCAAATCATATAAATCATTCATTCATGGATTTAGCAGTCAATAAAAAGGCTGTGCTTGAGGAAAAAATTGAATTAAAAGAGACAGGTAGGCCATTTTTTCAGTCAGTAACATTGTACATAGCTCACTGTCGAAATTTGAGCCTTCCTTCGAATCTATGTGTGTCCATTATTTTCTATGAATGATAAGATGAAGACTCATCATTTTAAGATACTCTGGTAATATATAGAAATAGTGAGTAAAATTTATAGTTTGAAGTTTGAATTATGCAATTTGTGTGCATGTCCTTCTGAAGTACTTCTGAAGACGTATATTCAAGACTAAAATTAACCCCCTAAATGCCACAAAAATGCCTTTAAAAGTAACAGTGTTTAGAAATAAATTAAATCTACCTTGAGAACATGACTAACATTAATATTACCATCTCTATCGTCATCTAATACCTCAACTATCTGTTGATTTCTTGTTTCATTTGGTACTTTCTGTAATCGTTTTAATCCTAATACCATCTCATTGATACTGATAATGTTGGCCCTAAAAACAAATACAAAAATACCCTGTGTATTATAAAAGTAATTTTTCTTTTACATCTATATTTGTGTTTGTGAAGAAAGTAAACACCTATTCATATTAAATTAATAATTGAAAAGTTACCTAGTTAATCATAGTTAAATTGCCACACAGAGGAAGGTAATTCACACATCATATTTTGTAAAAAACTGGAATATCTCAATTCAAATCTTCCTATTTATTACGAATTATTATGTAAAAATTTAAACACAAAACTATTCTTACTTGTCTTTATTGATCTCTTTTTGGTATTTCTTCATTAATTCTTCATCATCTCTCACTTCACTACTACGTTTCATTTTAACTTCACGTAATTCAATGTCTTCCTGAAATTTCTCTTTCTTTTCATACATCTTCCCTGTCATACCATCTAGCTTCTTAATCATTCTGTCAACACGCTTAGCTAGGCGTTTAGCTGCTTTAGATTCTTGTATGTTACTATCATCACCAGTTGCAACCATAAGTGACTTCAAGTCTTCTAAATCCTGAATAATGTATTGTTTATCTTAAAACATCAATTTTAGAATTGAAAACAGGATTGTTAAGTCACAGAATCTGACTAACTACATCTCTGGAAAAATTGTCATGGATGACTTGAAATGAATACGACTGACCAGAAAGATTAGGCCAGACAAAATGAATATCTTGTTACAGGATAAAAATGGCAATGGTTCTGCTATCCGTATGTGTCTTTCTACAAACAAAATGATTGCTTCTGTGGACAATTTTAGTTTTTTTCGCATACTTTGACTATGGCTTAAAGCAGTCTTCAGAATGAAGTTGAAGGGTTAGATGTTGCCATGGACCTATCAGCACCAAATATCCAAATTTCTTGAGTCATGGTATCGAAATCAAAAACTGGAACTGGAGCTGTTTAAACGTTACTTCAGAATTGAGGAAACATGGCTTACACATTTAGTTATGTTGAATTAAACATGTTAAATCTTCTTCAGAATATTATTTACAATAATTGCAATTTTCATTGAAAATGAAAACTAAAAAAATAAAAACCGCCCTCCCTCATCACTATTTAAAGATGGATTTTCTGAGAATCAAGATATTAATTTTGTTTGGCCTTACAAATACAGATGAAGATTTCAGCTTTTCATGTATCAAAAGTCAATGCCAGTTGTATTAGTATATGTTTCATGATAAGAATATGTGGGTTCATAAACTTAAAAGGTTCACTTTCTGGAAAATGGTGCATTTCTCTTTGATGCTGCACATTATGATTTTTTAATAGTGTCATAGTTTGTCAGACTGTATTCATACCTCTTTATATTCATTAACATCTTCTTTTAAATCTTCCAGTTCTCCTTCATCAATACTTAATCTTTTCTGTTCAACAATTTCTTCTAATGCAGATTCTATATCTTCTAAATCTTTACTAGTTATTCTATTATCAATATCCTCTTCTAATACTATACCATCATTTACAACTAAAATAACAAATATACTCCATGTACACATTTTCTTCAGAAGATGTTGAGATTTTCTGATTAACACACACTGAAATCTTTTTTCTCAGCACATGATATTCAGCTTACAACTATCTCCATCTGATCCAATAGCAGTCTTTGAGAAACAACACTAATCTTATGTAATTGGAAAAGAATCGTATTTAATAATATGATATAAAAATTACCAATATCTTCCTTCTACTTACTTTCACTCTGTGCTGGTTTGACATCTAGAGCATCTTCTTGTAGAATTTCCTGAGCTTCCATCTGTCGTTTGGCAGCCTTGGCTTCTGCTGCTTCAATTTCCTTCTGTTGTTCCAGCTAACAAAAATAGACAAATACATGGAATTGAATCAATTCGGCGAAGCAACCAATAACATAAATTTTGTTTATTAAACAATTGTTTTCTAGTTTGTTAATAAACAATAATGAGATATTATGGTTCCATACCATTTCTTCCATTGATTTTTGTTGTTGTTCTTTCTCTATCACAGCCTCTTCATGTTTAATCAAATCTAATTTAGCCTTATTATCAATCTTATCACCAGTTAATTCTGCCACTTTAACAATAGTTTCCGATGTCTGAAAAGAACAATGGAATACATAAAGAAAAAATAGAAAATCCAATTTTTGTTTAAAGATTCAAGCATTGTAAGTCTTTTGTATCTTGTGTGACTTCATTATCCCAAGATCTTCATATTCGTTTGACACATTTCAGTGACATCAGTATCCAATTATAGATATCAGTCTTCAAGCAATGTGAGGATTGCTGGTACATGCTACACAGCAATATGAGGTTACCTCAATGTGAATTTGCTGTCAAACAGAAATTTCAGAGCAAAATGGTACATAGAAAATAGGAATTCACTGTCTGTTACATGGAAATAATAAGTTACTGTCAAATTTTACACAGTAATGTGAAGTATCAAAGTTTAAAGGCATTATGAATTCATTATCAATTATCAAATAATACACAACAGTACAGCAACATTGGCACATCTTCGTGAATCTCTACAAAAAAAATGGCAATAATAACTCACAGTGGTCTCCGGTAAAGATGAAATTGTTGCCTTTAATTGTTCTGTTGTAGATAAATTGTCAGGTAAATATAGAGCTCTAGATAACAGCAATAATGAGGGTGGAATCTTTTCATTTAGATGTATATCTAACCATTGTTGTAGTTGAAACTTTAATCTTGGTTCTGATAGACCTAAAGCTCTCATACCTCTAGCTCTACATGCTGATTGTAGTTCAGACATAGTCAAAGTATCTATACCTTCTTTAACTATCATCTACAATATTAAAAGCAATAATTCAGTTACCATTTCAACATACAGCTAAAATTCATAGAATAGACCTTGATGCTTCACTTAAAATCATCTAAAAATAGATTTTTGAATTAATGTTTAAATTGAAAGATAGCTTGACAGAGAAGCTAATATACGCCAACTGGCAGCTGTCAGTGATGATAACTAAATCTTTATTGACCAAAAATATATTTAAGATCTTCATAATAATACCAAATTTCTCATATTGAAGATCTTCATTATGCATTTGTAGTTCAAAAACCCTGAATATCTCATCAATTTAGGGTCAGTTGAGTTTTTCCACAAATCTTTTTAAATCAATAGCAATAACCCGGAAGCATTGAATTATAATTTTCAAAGATATATAATAACGTATCATCAAATTCACACTAACTAACTAACTAACTAACTAACTTACTTACCTAGACAAATTTTAACTTTACTGAGATCTCATTAATATATACCTGCATACCCAGTTTCATCAAGATCCAATAAAAACAATAATAAAAATCATGTTTTCAAGTCATATTTGATGTATTTTTACTAAGTTAAGGGCAATAACTCAAAAAACGTTCATTGTCAAATTCTTATCAATCCCAGTGCTCACACCAAGTGTCATCAAAATCCATTGAAAATTGTACCTTCTAATATACCCACAACAAAATTTTGACGTGATTTTATTTAATCAAGGGCAATAACTAAATAACCGTTCATCGAAAAATCGTCAAATTTGGACACGACTGCTGTCATATCAATCCAAATGCTCACACCAGTTTCATCAAAATCCATTGAAAATTGTAGCTTCTATTGTGCCCACAAGATGGATGGAGAGACGGACAGGGGCAACAACAATATACGACCACATATTGATGTGGCATATAAATATCATTCTCGATTTTCCAATAATGGCAATAGAGGAATAAATCTTTGTTTTAATAATTTCATTTGCAATATCATTTAGTAGTAACTTTTAATAGTATTATATAGATATTTCAGAAATATACCAACTAGGCAAGTTAATATAGTACAACAACTATAACATGATATCATACCTTATCATCTGTCTTCAGTTTTCTAAGTTTCATTTGAAGTTGAAATCTTAACATAGCATCTGTACCAATTGGTTGTATACCCAATACTCTACATAGGGCCCTCAATTGTTCACGTGATAGTGTATCTAATGTTATTTCATCTTCAAATAATTTTGAATATTGTACAATATCTTTAGTTGTGACAGCTAGACCTTTTTCTCGAATCTATAATATAGAAAGAGATCAATTAGATAGCCTATTGAAGTTCATAATATAAGTTCAAATAAGCATAAGCTCAAATACACCAAATGAGAGGGAACATCATTGGGTGAGCAAACAACCAACTCAATGAGCTACTGCAGCTACAATCCACTTGTCATTTGATAATTCCATTTCTAACTACAAGTAACTACAATGTTAAGGGATCATACTTACATTATTAACGAAATTAGAGAATTCCTTTGCAAGTTTGGATGGCTTCTTCCCTTGCAAGGCAGACTCGTGAACTGTTTCTTGTAAAAATTTTGCCATTTCTAATTTAATTTTCAATTGTTTCTTTAATTTCTCTTGCTGAAAAAGAAAGAAAAATATTATCTAATAAATCAACTGCAGTATAAGATGTTCATTGACACATTCATGGTAGAATAAGAGAATCAACAAGCAGAAGTGTACTCCACATTTATGAGGTTTAATACAAAAGTTAAATAAAAAGCACAAATCAGCATGTGCATATGTATATAGGTTTATCACACAATACCCAAGTTATATATCAATGTCAATATGATGATAATAAAAAAACAATCCTTACTTCTTTATTTGCTTCAGCAAAAGTACTAGGTAACATAGAGGGAAACATTTTGACAACAACTGGCAATAGCAATTCCATAAATGGTATAATCAGAAATACTAGAAATGGTACTAAACGGAAGAGGTCAGCAGTAGTACGCACCAACTGTAAATTAAACAGATATTTTGTTAACAATATTGGATTATTTTTGATACAAAAAATTGTACAATTCTGCACTAAACAGAACTAAAACAATTTCTAAATCTTTAAGTTATTAAAACAATCACCATCAGAGCAAATAAATTCAAGAAAGTCAAAATTATTCACTATATTTCCTTCTTTCACTATCATCCAAATTTCACAGCCTGCATTATCCACACACTAAAACCTTACAAAATGGACTTAAAACTGAACTAATTCATATTTTTACAAGCAAAGCTCTTATTTCTTATGACATCATAGTATACATTGACTATGCACATAAAGCCTAATTGATCAATAAATTTGCTAGAGGAAGAGATTGAAGGTTAAGTTTACGTTTTTACCTGATTTTTTTCTCTACGGCTCAATGTTTGACCATTTAACACTCTATACAACAAGCGAGAAGAAATTTTTACGTCTATAAATAACAACCTAAATCCATTATAATAATGTTTAATTTCTGCAACAAAACGCTGCCACAAAGATTTTTTTACTTCAACCTCAGTTGACTTACTATTTTTATTATTCTTTTCTACAGTATCTGTCTGTTCTTTGTAATGTTTCACAGATTTTTCCACATTTGATTCATCTTTATATAATATAATAGAGTGAGAAAAACCTCTATAATTTCCCTGGCTAGATAATGATAAATTATTCAAGAATTGACTGGCTAATCTTCTATTAGCATCTAATAGATATTTGGATTTAAAGTAACTATTAGACTGTTTATGACTTAATGAGAACTGTGAATAATAGGCTGTAGTATAAATTTGGTTGCAATCATTTTTCACTTTCCACACTTCATTCCATCGTCCTAAGTTATTTCTGAAATATAAATGTTTAAGAACAAAGACTTTAACAGATCAATATATTATTTCTTGGCTTAAATAATCTCACAATCTAACCATTTGAATTAACACAAGGTTTCGTTGTTAAGTATTGAGACCTCATTGGAAAATGTGAAAAGACAACAACACCACATTGTAATTTAATTTGATGTCATCGAGCTTTTTCTGACAAATCAAATTTTTATATATGAAAGGAAATATCAAAATAGTACTGATCAAAGTCATTCTAGTCAAGACTAGATCTATCAATATGACACTATTTTTAAGCAGATATTCCAATCAGATTTACCAACGAGAGTGCTAAACCAAATAATTTCAATTTATTTTGACCATTTCCTTAAATGAGAGTTTGTTTACGTAAGTGTCAAAGTATACAAATAGCAATATGACAAAAAATAAAGGAGATATTTCAATAACCAATACGAAAGATAGCTTGCGAGGCAAGGTAACATACGCCCACTGGCAGCTGTCAAAAATGATAAAATAGTCTTTAGTGACTAAAGTATGAATTTTCTCGTATTGAAGAAATTTGAATAGTTTGAATTCAATGATATATATATTTACTGCCAGTTCTTTATGCTGAGTAATTCTACAAAATTTTTGAAAATCAATATCAATAACCCAAATACAACAAATAATTAAATCACACAGCTCTAATCAAGTGCAAAAAAAAAATTTTGACGCGTTAGTTGAAAACTGTAGCTTCTATTGTGCTCACGAACAAATTTTGACGTGTTTTTACAAAGTCAAGGGCAATAACTAAAAAAGCGTTCATCAAAATTACGTCAAGTTAGAATTTGTCCGAGATCTTATCAATTCCAATGATCACACCAAGTTTCACCAGAATCGGTTAAAAACTGTAGCTTCAATCCTGCTCACCAACTATTTTTAATGAGTTTTTACAAAGTCAAGGGCAATATCTCAAAAACCGCTCATCGAAAATACGTCAAATTTGAACTTGACCGAGATCTTATCAATCTAAAGCATCACACCAAGATTGATCAAAATCAGATGAAAACTGTAGTCTCTATATTGCTCACAAGAAATGTTGACAAACGGACAGACGGACAGGGGCAACGACAATATACGACCAAAATATTCATGTGGGTGTATAAAAATCGATGCTACATGTTTGCATTGCATTATCTATTAGTTTGTTGCAAATATAATCTATACCTTTCTCTGGAGGAGAATGACTGATAATTCCTGTGGAAAGAACATGTGGCAACAGGAACCTTCGACAGTAACAGTATTTCACCTGTAATACAAGAATCGTATATTGTTGCAATATGTTATGACGTTCATCATGTGTAAAATTCATCATTTGTGTTTAAATATTTTCCTTCAAGATTCTACATTGCATTAGGCTACATTGTCAAAAGTTCTAGTCTCTAGTCCTCGCTTTACATACATATCTGCAACAGGATCCAGCTGATGATGTTAGTCTAGACTCTGTATAAATACACAGTCTAACTCAACACTTTGATGAAAGTTCATGACCTCAACCCAATCTAATCAAAATTAAAAAAACTTTCATTCCATTTTTTTTTCATTAGCTTTTATTTTTAAAATATTCACATCAGTAAAGGTGTAATGCCAGCCCTCTTAAATGTTCGTCAAATTAACTTTGTGACCTTAATCGATGAAGTCTGTTTTAACGAATCAAATTTCTACACTTTACAGGGCTGGCATTTTGTGACGCGGTATTATCAGGTTAGGTCATAAGGTTCAAGAGGGCTGTTGTTAGAAAGCTAATAAAAAAAAAGTTTCTTATTTTTAATAGACTGGACCTGAACCATGACAACCTAACAATCCAATCACTGATGGCCTTTAGGAAAATGGCGGAGAAAAATTTCATAATTTTCACTCCTTGTTGATCGATCTACAGTGTTGACAGAGTAGTTAGATTTCGATTAGACGGTAGAATTAGCATTAGTTAGTAGTCTCTGTCGCAGAATTTGCATACCCTACCATAGGGCCGACTGATGTCATCATCTTTGACATGTTGGACTAATGTATGATTAAATTCATTACGCCTACTGAATAAACAGATGTAGCTGTAATTTAAAAAAAAATATAACAATGAGACGAAAAGCATTGAAAGCTCAACTTAAATATGCACCAAGCCAAATGACTCTTGCTATATTTTTGGTATAACTTAGCATGGATGGAGTGAATGACAACTTACCGGTTGGTCGGGCTCGACGAATAGAACACGAAAATACTCTGTAAGACATCGTCTGAAAAGGGTTGTTATCACTTTATGAATATTAATTTATCCCACCCTACCCAAATCAATGCATGCATTTCATAGAATTCTTGCTGAATATTACATTTTTAACCTAACCCTTAACATAACAACACATCACGTCAGAAAATAACCCTCACTTTCAGGTCAATCATAAAAAGCTAGCCTAGAACAACTATTGAAGGTTTCGTATCCAGCGAAATTTAATGTCACAGTTTTCAATACTTTAAATGATATTGCACATGTCGCCTAAAAAAGAATGTAACTAATCTTAGATAAAATCAATTTAGTTTCTGATTTTTCAAATATAAGATTTATGGATTTGAAGTAAAGACGAGGTTAAATGGATCTGTATAGGGACACAACTCTTTTCTAATTAATTGATTTCAGACCACAATACGTCTTGTCTTGCAACCCGGTGGGTTAGTTTTGCCGCATTGCCCAACATGCCGCATCGTGCCCACCTGCACAAAAACAACTTGCAAGAGTTATGTCCCTCTACTGCGTGCCTATAACGTCACCCACGTGCTAGAAAAAATGGCCACTGAAATGTCTGAAAGTAAAAATCTTCTGCATAGTAAATCAGAATTATCAAGCGAGGAGAATTTTAGAACTCTCGATAAATGTCGTCAGTTGGAGACAAAAATAGACCAACCTGCGATTGTTTAGAAAAATGACAGTTCAGACATCGGATGGGTCCACAGGAAAATAAGTATTGCGGAATCTAAAACCGTGAGCGGTGAGGTTATATTTTAAAAACTCAGTATTGTCACCATAATAGCGAAAAGTATGCCTCTGTAAAAAGGCACAATACGAAAGTCTTGAAACTATAGTTTAGATTTCCCTAACAGGTCCAAATTATAAATAAAAAGGAAATCGATGCGGGACAACTGATTGAAATATTTCGTTTCATATGAAACAAATGGCCATTCTGGATTTTATCAGAAACCTTTAGTTTCGTTTTACAAGTTGTTTTTGTGCAGTTAGGCACGATGCGGCAAGTTCGGCAATGCGGCAAAACGAACACACCGACAAGAACCCGTTTTGTTCGCTTATCAAAACCCACTCTTGTAAGATTAGTTCGAATATCATGACTTGTACGTTCGAGAACATTCCAATTGTATTCTTCCAGTCCAAAACATTTTCATATTTCAAGCGAATCCAACTTTATATTAAATAAGGCTGAGTCTTATGGAAGGGTTTTTGGGTCAAAATAAGATGCTCTGTTAAATTGTCTAATACTTATTATGATACGGTCAACTTTGTCATATTGCTTTAGTAAATTGTGATAAAACAAAATAATGTGTTTTGTCATTTCCTCACTAATTACACGTTTACAGATCATTTTGGTATTATCATTTTAAACATATCATTTTCTACATGTCATTTTGGTATTATCATTCTAAACATATCATTTTCGACATATTATTTTGGTATATTCAATCTTTATGTAGCTATCTAAGACAGATCTGATGTCGATAATATTCATATTATTATAAAGATCATTCTTTCAAGTACAGGATTTTTACTTCGTAACTTATACAGTTAAGTAACCTAATTTCGTGCTAACCTATTTTTCGTTCATTTCCGGAAAGGATTAATAATTTACATGTGCGACCTCGCATGACGTCCGCATTAACGGATTAATGTATACTTTGACAAATACAAAATGGCGGATTTCAGTTATTACAAAACGTCACAATTTTTCATCGGCTTAATTTCCTTATAATCCCTATCTGTAACCGGAATTCCAAGCGTCGTCTGCTAGAATGTAGCAATTATTAAATCAAATCGTCTGTCAAGGTGCTTTGTTAAATTGCCCCCCTCTATTGCACATTTGCCCACCCAGGAGTATTGGTCAGGCTACGGGCCTGGACGCATTTTGCAGCCGTTGTCGAGTTGGTTACTCATGAAATATGGGTCAAAGTGAGGGATTCATAAAGAAAATCGAAACAAACCAATTTTAATTATACTGGTCTTTAGTTTTCATCCAAAGGTAAAAAGATATGTTCTGTTATGAAACTTATTTGTTGCTTGGATATAATTAAAAGTGTTCAGAAACTATGAGAGTAAAAGTTTAGCCTATCTGCTCAAGAAAGATATGATAATAAATTGGTACACGAGTTCCATTACAAGTGGTCCGTGGGTTGAGCCAAAACATTCTGTATGGTGAGTGGTATGCCATTGGTTTCCAAGTACTCTAGCTGTTAGTGGCTCACGAGCGGTTTTCAGTTTGGTGCATAGAAAAAGGAGATTCGACCTTGTGGCGACGTGGTCACAACAACATTAAATGGCGCTGAACTGATAGTCTCAAACAAACCGTAACCTGTTGCTGTACTACTCTTGGAATCATTTGTGTAGATCTTCAATTAATGGTCAGCGTACACCGAATCAATAAGAGCAAATAATGAAATAATTCATGAAATTTGATTCTTTGGATAGTCAATGACTGCTTTCCCGTAAGAAATACTCCGGTTCTTCTGGTTATTTCCGACAAGGGGAAGTTTCTGATGCTGGTGTACGTTGGGAAGCTTTCGGACGAACACTGCAGTTTTCCCCAGAATTTGAGAAAGAGTTCCTCCCTCCGAAGAGATAACGGTTTCATAATATGATTAAAATTAGACCAAACCTTATTTCCGTTTAACATTAACTATTATTTTCAATTTGAGCACTTCAGGTAGGTTCAAACGACGGCCCGGTAGAACATTCGTCAGTTTGATAACACCGCCAGCCAATCCTGACCTCCCAACGCCGGGATTATGTGACGTGAACAAAAGGCACTTTTAGTGTCTAATACTTCTCAGAATACATATTTTTTTCGCATCACAAAGTCCCAGCGTCAGAGTGACCTAGCCATGTAGAAATATCATCATTATAAAGTGCCGTGCTAACCGATAGCTCCTTATGCTTCACATTGTCCTGAGCATGATCGTTGATTAAAATGGTGAAGAGTGTAGGGTTAATAACAGAGCCTTGCGGGGTAACATTTTCTAATGAGTGCTTACTTACTGATAGAATTGGCGGCGTTCACTTGTTCAATCAACGTCATCAATATCTGTCGTTTCTGTGATGCGAAATGGTTTGTAGGCATTTTTGTACGGATTAGCCAAATTATTTAAACGATGTGTTGGTTTAACTGGATCATTACATATCTCTCGATAAGTTTTGACACATAACTGAGGTTGATAACAGGCCTGTAACTCGAAATCTATTATTTTTGATAATTAATTTTGACAAAGATGGTAGAGATATCGACGAGGATGGTAGTGATATTTATGATTGTTATCTTAATGAAGATGATTGTGATATTAATGAAAATGATTGTGATATTGATGAAGTTGTTAGTTATATTGATGGAGAGGGTAATGAAATTGATGAAGATTGTGATATTGGAGAAGATTGTAGTGACATTGATGAAGATGGTAGTAATATAGATGAAGATGGTAGGAACATTGGTGAAGATTGTAGTCGTATGAATGATGAAGATGGTAGTGATATTTGTATCTAGAAAATGCCTGATGGTAGAGGGGAAGATTGTAGTGATATTGATGAAGCTAATTGTGATATTGGCGAAGATGATGATATTGATGAAGATGGTAGTGATATCAATGAAGATGATTGTGATATTATTAATGAAGATTTTGATATTGATGAAGATGGTAGTGATATTGACGAGGATGGTAGTGATATTGATGTAAATGGTGGTGATATTGATTGATGGTAATGAAGATTTAGTTTAAACTTAGTCCTACATTTGAAAATAGTTATATACGTCCACTGGCAGCCTTGATTTTCAATAAAAATATTTGGCAGTATAGTAACAATCACCAGTATGAAATATTCAACCTTATATATTCAACCGAATACTCTTACCAAGTCTTGTCAAAATCTGTCAAGAATTCGGCTTTCTGGAGTTTTTACAGACTAAAACTTGAACGCGTTTCAAGAACAAGGGCAATAAGTTATACTAAGAATTTTTCTATTTTTATGATTTTCAATAAGGTTCATCTTTGGGCGATAACGAACACTCACGCCAATTATTGATTTATATTTCCGTTAGTTTCCGTGAATTTCCGGATTATGTAAATGAAGTAGGTCACGTTACCTTATATGGTAAACGTTCAAGAATGCAGAAATTGACTTTACAACTCTCAAGAATACAGTGGTCGAACTTACATCTTTCACGAATGCAAAGTCAAGAAGACATATTTGATAATGTCAATAATGCAAAGTTTAGAATTCATTTTCGTAAAGGAAAGTTTGAATGGTGCCTGATTGGAAATAAAGTTTAAAAAGTAAACTATCAATATCTCTACTTTGTAATTAGCACATTGACCTTTTGATTTTAGGAAGGTTTATTTTGTAATTGTGTAATGTTGAAATATGACTTTGTAAAGTCAAGGCCTTGTTTTCAAGTTTGACTTTGTAAATACTTCTGGCAACGACCCCCCTCCATAAACCCTAAGTCAAAATCCGTCAAGAATTGCGCCTTCTGAAGTGTTTACATGCTTAAATTGAACGCATTTTCAAGAACAAAGGCAATAAATTATACTATATATTCTCGATTTTTTTGATTTTCAATAGGGTTCATTCCTGGTTGATTAAAAACAGTCACATCAAGTTTCGTCAAAATGCATCTAGAATTGTGCCATCTGGAGTATTGCCAATATCTGTTTATTGAATTGTGTGCTGTTTTGCTTTCAAAATTATGTATAAGGGATTCAAAGGAGTCACCATAGGCATATTATTCAATATCAGCGTTCAAACAAAATTTTAGCTGATTTTCAAAATATCACTTCATTCTTCACGTTGGAGGCTTTGTGAATAAAAATGAACAACATACAAGTTTATTTTATTTTAAGCAAATACGATTGCAAAGATAATATGTCATATATATTTAAGATTATTATGTGCTATGAATAGAATTAATTTGAATTATCTGACTAACTTAAAGGCACCAATCCGGATAGATAGGGTATACTATCCGATATAAATGAAAATCACATGATGCATGTATATATCAATCAGATAATGTCTCTCTGGAGTTCTGATTTCTGTGGCTTCAAGTCAAAACAACAACAATTTTGTAGCTACAGAATTTGATCTGGTATCACTAGAAGGATTCGAAGAGATACAATTTATCGGTATTTTACACATTGTTTAGAACATTAAAGGTAGGGCTACTTTAACCGATTCTGGGGTCTTCTAAATAAACACAAATATATAAAAGATCTCAAGACAACTGAAATGACGATATATAAATCAAATCCAATTTTATCGAAACAAAAAGTCATTGCGTTTTAGTCTATGAGTTAGTCCTAGTCAACATGAACAAAGTGTTCGGCTAAAATCATTCAGACCTAAATATAAAAAAAACAGGTTGCCTTCATAGTTTTGATCAGATTTTGCTAATGAAAACGATCTTAGCCGTGTTCTGCCCGAACCCTGACAATGATATTGTTCCGACGCCAAATTTGACGTATTTTCATCAAGTTGGTTTATTACCCAAAGTTCATTCTACTATTAACCCAACCATTAATAAAATAAATCATTAAATATTATGGTTTTTTTTCAACCAATAAATTTTTATTTTCGAATAGAACATCACCACCATTGAAGGGATTCTGTGAAACATTGAGCTTACAATTACTTGTATCCTGCTTCTCATTCAGTCATCGTGGGTTTAACAGCCTCGTCCAACAACCTATTACGTCAATTGCGTCATCAGACTAAAACGAGTCAAAATCAAATCGAGAATTAGTAAAATACTTCACAGAAAAAAAGACGAAATAAAATATCTTCAGCAGTGTAATGGTCAAAATGTTCAGATCAATTTCCGCCATCTTTTCGTTTATAATCATAAAGATACTTAATCGTGTATGCATTTATGTCTTTGCTAATCAAATCTAACTATGCGATACGGCAGAATTACCACCATTTTGTGAATCATTTTTATAGTCAATTGGAAGTTTTTCATGAATATATTCTAATCCCCCTTCATCAAAATCTTGCACTATCTGTCCGGAACCACGTAATATCCACTTAGTTGTTAGGAGACCTTCTATTCCAACGGGACCTCTAGCATGAATTCTTGATGTACTTATACCAACTTCGGCACCTATAATATACAATATTAGATGCACGATACTAATCAATATTATAGCTACGACGTTTCCTCCAACTTAAAAAGTCAATCAGGACTGTGAAATAGTTAACCGATCAGAGGCCCCCGAGGCTGACTGGCTGAGAGTAAGCACTTTTGAGGATATGTCAGAATTAACTTTCTTCTTAAGGAGCCTACTTCTGTAAAACGTAAAGCGTAAAAATTTGATAGAACCTACATGGAAAACTTCTTGTACCCGATACTTACCTAATCCAAACCTATAGCCATCTGCAAATCTTGTACTTGAATTATGAAATACACAAGCACTATCCACCATCTTGATAAATATCTCAGCATTGTCATCTGAAAATAAAATAGATAATTTATCAATGATAAAGGGACATATATTACGCTTTTTGTAGGTGGAAAATATTTTTAGCTCAAATATGTGAAAACTATACACCAAAATGTAGAGAAATGTGCCCTATAACGTATCTGAAAGTTTAAACTCAAAAAAATCAATCCGTTACATTACATTACATTACGTAAGGTTTTTAAATTCGTTATGCTTTTTGGAAGCGGAAAAAAAACTACTATACGGATTTGAGTAAAATAAACACCTAATTGTCTCCTACATATTCGAAAGGTTTTAACTAAATATAAAAGCCAAACACCAAATCGAGGTCAAACTCATTAACTTTAACTTAAATTAATTGATTCATTAACAATTAGTACTGTCAGTTTTTAATTAACCCTTTTAAAACAAATTCAGTTTGATCAATAAGATATACAGATATAAATAGCATATTTTAGAAATATTTTCATGTATAATTTACACCGCTTTTGATATGAAAATATTTCATCGAAAAAAGCAGAAAATCCAAAGTTTGTGCTTTTCCTTGTTCCAAACAAAGCTTCATGTGGTCCTTCTGAAATCTTTACATCCTTTGACGTTTGCTCACAAAATCAGCTTCAGGGTTCGATCCCGGAATAGACGGAGATAACATTATCACATTTTTTTTTACCCCTGTTTGCCTTTCGATGATGCAGGTCGCAAGAAAAAAATGGAAGTCTAATGCAAGTATCCGGGCTAAACGTCTTACGCCCTCCTTATCAAAGGCTATATAAAAGTCGTCAGCTGAAGGCAATTGATACAGATTGCGGCTACAATTCATCACCGTGTATGATGTCTTTGGAAAAGAAAACGTGTCATGTGCCCTCAAAATTCAAAAGTAAGTTAAAAAATAATGTTACCATCTTCAGTTACTATTGTATCAGTATGAGAACTACCATTATCATTAATATGTTTGATAGCATCATTAACATTATCTACAATTTCAACAGCACATTCTAAACTACTATATTCCTTCTTCATATCAGTATCATTCACCGGTCCAAACTTCATTACTTCAGCTAATCTAGGACCTAGATGTAACTTTACCTATAAAATATTCCCCACAGAAGTTAAACTTCGTTTAGCACCTACCAACCCTGACCTTATTGGCAAATTGGTTTCAGATCAAATAGCTGGCGATTGTTCTGTCATAATCTGCATTACAACATAGGCTACAAACACGTGGTCGACCTTCGAAGTTCGTGAGAAGTTGGTATACCGATCTATAGATAAATTTTGTGGAATATCTATATGGAATACAAGTTTAGAAATGTGTAATGAGTATGTTATAAGTAAATAAGTGAGTTTAAATAATGCTACTTATAGGTTGTCAAATACTCACATTTTCCTGCTTCAGGACATCGCAGATCTGATCAAACAAAGGAGTATATACAAGACTTTTATGTACCAAAACCGTTTCCATAGCATTACAAGCTGCTGGGTATTCACACTTAGAATCTAAAACTAGAAATAAGAATGAAAGACTATAGAACTCTCTGTATCTGTCAATTGATGTCAACCAAGTTTCGGATATGCCGACAAACGAAATTGAAAGCCATAATGTGCACGGTGTCTTCCCACATCTTGTCAATTCGCCCCTGTTTTTTTTGCCGCTTTCTCATATCGCCTCCTGCTATTGTTCCACTTTACCGCCCCTCCCCAATTCGCCCAATCCAACTTCGCCCCTTCCTTTCTTAAAATTAGGTCACATAAAAGATTAATCAAAGATTTTAATTCCGGTCCCACATGCATTTTGGCTCTGGGGCAGTTGGAATTTAATAAAGAGTAGGCGGGACTAAACAAAAATTAAGATTTGTATTCAATAACTTCATGAAATTATATGTAAACAGCTGATGTACGTCCTTTTCAAATTCCTTTTCAAATTTAATTGGAATTCTTTTACTGTATTCAGCTTACCCTTACTGTCGCACCCCTTTTTAAATCCAATGAAAGATAGCCTTGCGAAGCAAATTGACATACGTCCATCAGCAGCTTTGATTGCAAGTACAAATCATTGTTTGTTGTCCATTCACATTTGTTTAATGTTTAGTCTATAGAGAATTTTAAGCAGACTTTATTGTATCGCATCATGTCTTGATTCTTGCAAAATAGACAGTAGATTATGTAAAAAATATATGTATCTGAAAGATAAAGAATTGTGAATAATGAACACACTGCAAAACATTAAATCAATTCTTTACCCAAATATCAATCTTATGGCGAAATTCGATATATTTACAAACAAACAAAAATCAAAAGAATACATCAAGAACTGTAGTCTGTAGCGTTTTAAGTAATTTAAGGCCAAATGTGAATGAACAGACTGACAGACAGGGTGAAGACAATTTAAGTCCATACTACATGTGGGCATATACAAATCAAAAGAATCCAAAAAGAATTGTTGCCGGACAAGTCGGGCACGATATATCAGGGAAAAGTTATCAGACCATCATGAAAATCGATAGGGTTCATCATCATAATGACATTGACCCACAAACTATAAAACAAAAGAATCTGTAAAGAATTGTTGCCTGTAGAGTGAGCACGAGTTGCACTATATAGCTAATTGAGTGAAAATGCTAGTCGGACACGTTATTCCTATTCTATCATGACATTGTCTCACAAAATAAAAAGCAAGAGAATCCATAATGAATTGTTCCCTTAAGAGTGAGCACAAGTAGCACAATACAGTTAATAAGTGAAAATGCTAAGTTGCACAGAATATTTCGGTGAAAAATTATCAGATCATCAAGAAAATCGATAGGGATCATCTTCATAATGACATTCACCTACAAAATAATCAAAACAATCTGTAAAGAATTGTAAGCCCATAGAGTGAGCACGAGCCAAATGTGAACGGATCGACGGACCGCCATATGGGTGATTACAATATACGCCCAAAATATATTTGTGGGCGTATAAAAATGGGAAAGGGCGAACTAGGAAAGAGACGAAGTGGGGGAATAAGGGGAAAAATGGTGAGAGGGATAGAACGGGACGGGGCGAAATGAAAAAGACGCGAAAAAGGAAGGGACATAATGGGAAGGGGTGAAAAGGGAAAGTGCAAATTGGGAAGAGGCGATATGGGAAAAAACCAATGTGCGCTTTCTATCCTGCATGGTTAGTGATAAGAATTTTCTTGGGCTCTTCGATCTTTAAATGCAGTCGATCGAGCGTATGTTGGAGTGGGTGAAATTGCCAATCAACATAACATACGAGTCCATGACAATGCAAATTATACAAAAAAGTGTATTTGATCAACATAATACCTACCAATTCTGAGAGCTTTATCGATGTCAGCATGTTTGTCTATATATACATGACAGACACCTTCACTGTGCCCTAAGACAGGAATCCCTGGTAATAACAGCATGGACAATTAATACAAAGCTTTCAGGAAACCACTAACAACGTAGAAAGATGATAATATGTATGTCTGACCATAAGTAAATACTAATTTTGGTGCTATTATCAGGCATTATCAAGGAAATAAACCCGGTCAATTATCCTTCTCCCTTTCTGGCTCTTCCAAGTTCAAGCTTCTGGACCTATAAGTCACGACTTCGTGACTGGAGTCAGGCCTGAAAATAGTTTTATCGATGTGCTTTCCAAGTCCGTTTATCATCTTAACTGTTCAGTGAAAACATACCTTTACTAGCATGTTGTATGCTTTGTACCAATTGACTGGAACCTCGTGGTATGATTAAATCTATATAGTCTGATAAATGAAGTAAATCTTGAATATCTTCTCGTCGACTCACCTAATATTGAAGACATAAAAACAGGTAATAAAATCAAAATGTAACGGTTGTGCCAGTTATGCGCTAAAGTTGACGTTGTCAGAAATGCTACGAGGGCTGGCTGAAACGATTTATACTTAACAGATCGAAGGTTTTCATTCTTTCTCTACACAGTTGCCTTCCATGTTTACACACCAGCAGCTCTAAAAAAATGTCATTTACAGCGGAAATGACGTCATAACTCGAAGATAGCTTGCCAGGCAAGGTAACATACGCCCACTGGCAGCTGTCAGAAATGATATAACAGTCATTAGTGATTAAAGTATTTTCTCATATTAAAGAAATTTTATTAGTTTGAATTCAATGATGTATATATTTAAAGTTATTTATTATGCTGAGTAATTCCACAAATATTTTTAAAATCAATATCAATAACCCAAATTTATCAAATTATTAAATCACACAGCTCTAATATCAAGGGCAAACAATTGTTAAGAGTGAAATCGTTGAAAATTCAAACTTGACCAAGACCTCATCAATATAAAATAAAAAGACGTAAAACTCCATTCATTTCATTTCAATCATCATAAAAATCACATGCAATCTGTAGTCTCTATTGTATTTATCAACAAGTTTGAAGCATTTTATCTAAGTCAAGGCCAATAACTCAAAAACTGTTCATCGAAAAATCGTCAAATTCAAACTTGATCACATCAAGTTTCATTAAAATCAGTTGAAAACTGTAGTCTCTATTGTGTTCACAAAACAAATTCTGACTCATTGTCAAGAGTTTTATCACCGATCTTCAAGATAGGTATGTTGACAAGATCTATCCCGAATACGGGTTTTGACATGGTCTTATTAACCCGTATTACACTAAGCACGCCACAATTCGGATTATGGCGTGGAAATGAGTTTGATGCTATTTGAATCCGACCAATCAGATCTGTAGAACGGAAATGAGGTCATGTAAACAAAATACAACACCGCTTTGCCGCCGCTCGTTTGAATAGATAAGAACACATTCTGTCCAAGTAAATATTCAAAAGTAAGGTTTAATTTTCTCTCGGCTTCAATTCTACCGTCCATATTAACCAAAATATGTAATGAGTACGTAGGCGTACGTTGCTTTCGCAAACAAAGCGTAACAGCGGGGGCCAATTCGATTGAACAATATTTAGCTATAAATACGTTATTTAACTACCAACTACTACGACTTCCAACAACTACCTAGTTTGGGATTATAGCATACGCTGGAAGCGAACGTTAACTTGTCATCTACCAACCAACCACTTGTATTACCTCCATGAAGTATGACGAATGGGGGCAAGGTCTGGTCACGATGACAAGATTGTGTGATACCAAGACAATAATTACACTTATTATAAGTTCCATTTATTATGTTTATGATTTATTGAGTGCGCGTAGTTGTTGTTTCCATCTAATAGAGATATCCCACACAAACTTAAAACTTGTCAGCCAAGCGTGTACCTTATGAGCTTATTAAGCTGGGAGTCTTCAAGATTGTGGGCGTGAAGAAAAGTCTTCTAATCTTACCAACGATATAGTTTCTTTAGGTACAAACAGCAATAAGGCTTCTTCAACTAATTCATGTAATATCTTATTAGTGTGAGAGGCTTCTTTGCCCCCTTTCAATAGTAAACCATTACCACTACATATTGCTAAAGCTGCCACCTTAAACAAGAAAAAAAAAACTTAGACGAGGTCTACAATAGCTTATCATGACATAACATAATCAAGCAAAATTTTACAGTTTCGCAGCTATTATAGATTTCTGTCTGGGCATCTGTGCAGTAACTCCGTAATACTACTAGTAAACAGATTCTTGTTAAATGAGTAAACGTGAAACTAGAGAGACAAAGATAATATTAATATACCTGGGGCAGAGCATCGGGTCTGGATTCAAATATCACCATCAATACCCCAATTGGCACGGTTATTTGTTGTAATTCCATTCCATGAGATATTCTGGTTTTCTGTAGAACTCTTCCTACTGCATGCAAAGCTTCGTCAGCTATTTGACGTAAACCATCGGATAATGTCGTCAACTTCTTGTCATTCAAATATAAGCGGGATGCCAAAGGTCCAGACAATCCTTAAAACATAACCAATCAATGCGTGATAACTAATAAATCAGACCGTGAAACACTTTGGTCGAGAGAGCATCCTCAAAAAAAAACTTCTAAATTCTAAACATAAATTTCTGTAAGAAGGAAAGATACAAATCATGTATTAAGTACGGACGAACATTTTGCTATTTCCATGCCTTAGCCAGATTCTAACATATGTCTGGCTGATCACGAGGTTTCGGCAAACATTCAACCTCTCCAATCAATATTCAGACCAAATCAATTGAGCCATTACATAAGGTATTGAACATGTGGGAACATTTGCGAAGTGAAATTTCGTGAAATTAAACATGGCAGATCAGGGGATATCCCCAGTCATCATAGAAACCAATAAAGACATATCTGAAAAGTAGGGAATTCTAGCAGTATTCAACATTAAGACTCTTGCAGCAATACAAATAAACCAGTGAATCAGACAGTAATCTAAAACAAGCGATTTCCAGCACTAATCAACAACCAGAAATTCAAGAAGTAGGCCTTATTGGACAACCTGACGCTTCCAGCAGTATCTACACCAAGAAACTTCAAACAGAAATCTACAACCTGTTTGTTATCAACAACCATAGACCTCCAGTTGTAATCAACAACTAAAAACTTATAGCAGTAATCTAAAACCATAGCCTAGTAACCGACAACCAGAGACTTCTAACAGTAAGCTACAACCAGGGACGTCCAACAATAATCCGAAGATATAACATTCGACAGTTATCTACAATCAGAGACTTGCCAAAGTTATCTATAACAAGAGAAAGTCAGACTTCTAACAGTAATTGCAACCAGGGACTTTCAAAAGTAACCTACACACAGAAACTTCCGACACAGGCAGAAATCTACAGCAAGAGACTCGCAATAAAAATCGACAATCCGAAACTTCAAAGTGCAGTAAGCGAGCCAACCGGACTTACAGCCGTACCGAACAACCAGTGACTTGCGACAAAAATTGACATCAAACAGAAATCGACAACCAGAACCTTTCAGAAGGAATCTTGAACCAGATATTTTTAACAGTTAGCTAAAACCAAAGCCCCAAAATCGACAACCAGAACCTTCCAGGAGGAATTTCAAACCAGATACTTATTACAATAAGCTAAAACCAGAGACGTCCATCAATAATCGTCGACTTTCAATAATCTATACTCCAGTGCTACTTTGAAACCAGAGAAAATTTTAATAAAGCTTGTCAAATCTGTTATTTGTTCAAAAATCGCCCACCTGATTTGGCTGCTAACTGTATATCTTGTTGATTTGCGGCTAAAATTTCCTTTTTTCTTTCTAATAAAAGATCAGCTAATCTGTGAACCATGGCGGCTCTTTTCTCTCCAGATAAGGCTTGAAGGAGCCGACTGCCTTCCCGAGCTAAAATAATAATGATAAGCCGAGTTCAAATATAAACTAGTGTCCAAAAGAAACGATACCAACTTATTTTCAAAATTGTTTTTTACTAAGTGAATTGTCTAATATGAAAACATGCCAATTCGTATTGCACATCCTAAACACAGCATAGTCGATAAAAATACCGGGAACACGTGATCACTTCCGGGAAAAAACGTAAATTTCGTGAAAGTGACATTTCCCTCTCAAGCATGTTCTGCACGTGCATAAAAACTGTATAAAACGGCTGATCAGACACGTTGATATCACAGCAACAAAAAGAACACAAGATATGCCACGTTTGACAGCCATCGAGAGAGAGCGAGCCGTTGGAATGGTCCAACAAGGAGCGACACACGTCGACGTCGCCAGAAGGTTGGGCTGCGCACGCATCACTATCACGAGGTTGATGCAGCGGTTACGTCAGACAGGTCAGACGTCAGACAGGCCCAGGAGTGGAAGACCACGAGTAATCACGCCCCGTGAAGATCGTTACATCCGAGTATTACACCTGAGGAACCGCACCGTAACAGCGACGACCACGGCGGCTACAGCACTGGGACACAGGATCAGTCGACAGACCGTCTACAGGAGACTACGGCAGTATGGTATCCGGCCACGTCATCCCTACCGCGGACCGCTCCTGACGCCTCGACACCGTAACAACAGACTGATCTGGGCCAGGCGAGTTCGACGTTGGCAACGGCGGGACTGGGCACGTGTTATGTTCTCTGATGAGAGCAGATTCCTCATCTTCAAAAACGATGGACGGCAGCTTGTATGCCGACGATTTGGTGAACGTTTGGCGCCTAACTGTATCCAACAGGTCCGGCCGTTTGGAGGTGGAGGGTTAATGGTTTGGGGTGGCATATGTGGTGACGTCAAAACGAGGCTTGTCGTAATTCGTGGAAACCTGAATGCACAGCGTTATATTGATGACATCCTACGGCCTGTTGTGGTGCCCTTTATTCAGCAACAGCCTCGTGGACTCCTTTTCCAACATGACAATGCAAGGCCACACACAGCAAGATTGACACAGAACTTCCTTGCCAACGCCAACGTAAAGGTTTTGCAATGGCCCGCATGTTCACCTGACATGAATCCCATCGAGCACTTATGGGACCACCTCGATCGGCAAATCCGACGTCGCCGTGTGCCTCCAGTCAACCTTCCGGACTTGGAACGATGTCTCCTCGAAGAATGGCAACGCATCACTCCCAACGTCATCAGACGTTTGACGGCATCGGTCCGTAGGCGTGTTCTGGCATGTATTGATGCTCACGCTGGACATACCCGCTATTGACTTGACTTTGTGACGTGTGGTGTGACATTTCCCGTTGTTTCTGTGATCAGTGCTCTAACGAAATGTTCGACCCCACCCATCTTTAAAGGCTTGTCATATTGGTTGTACAGATTTTATTGAAATGAAATTTTTGTACAGATGTTGTGAAAGGATTCCTCAAAAGTATAACACCAATCCTAAACTTCTGCATTGTTTAGTTTTTCTTTTATGTCGTTGCAAACAGGTGGTATCGTTTCTTTTGGACACTAGTTTAGATGACCATGATAGCGGTGTTTTTTTTTTCTCAAAAAATAGATTTAGGAACGAGAACAGGATAAGGCAAGCTTATTGACCAAAAACCGTAATAAATCAAAATGTGGTATAAGTGTATCTAAGAATCGAAGATGAGGTGATCATCTGACCGTGTCTTTAGATGTTGTTGAGAAATAACATATTCTACTTTATAAAATGATATAGAAATATTTTATATTAACTGACCTTGAATAGCTTGTAGTTCAACAGGAGTCCCTGTGGAAGGTTGAGATGTAAAAAATGTTCCGACTTTTTTCCCTCCAGCAATATTGATGATGGCATTATCTTCACATCCATTGCATATAACACAAGATACACCATGTTTTAATGCCCAATTTGCTGCTGTTACCTACAAATTATACAGAAAATCGTCTCCTTTTGGCTTTTATTTGTAAATAAAAATTAAAATGGGCCGATTTCAAGCATGCAACCTTTCAAATCACTACATGACTGGAGCATCTTTAGGTGAAAATGGTGGAAAATTAAAATTATCTTAAACAGGTCTTACTTTTGATTCCATTCCTCCAAGACCAACTCGAGATTTTTCACCAAAAACAATCTGACTACTCTCATTTGATGGACAGAATGTATGTAGTAATCTGGAACCAGGTGTACCGGGAGGAGTGTTATATAAACCATTAACATCAGACATTATAATCAACAGATCAGCTTTAGTTTCAACTGATAATCTGGCTGCTAAACTATCATTATCTTTAACACTAATAATCTAGTAAAAGAGTGAAACAAAATATCAACAGATCATATATATATAGATATATGTAAATATAAAAAAGTGCACACACAGCAGAAAATTGTAGCATTTAAAGGGACACGTTGGTCACACACTTGACCAATCGTGCCTTAATCTCGGAAACGGGAATTTTTAGCTAAAGTAATCAGTAATAGTGTTATCAGCCCGCCGTCGAATTTTGAGCCTTCATATCCATGCTTGATACCCACAGGCATCTGTTTCTATCAATATAGTCGACTCTATCTATAATAGTATATATACTATTATAGAGATGGTCGACTATTGATAGAAACAGATGCCTGTGTTGATACCCCTAAATGTAAAAGGTATTAATAGGAAAAGAAAATGAAATTTCTAGTATCTAGTAAATCATACTTGAAGGGATTATGCTATTTTCGAGCAGTTCTGGTAGTTCTATTTACATATATTCAAGACCCTGTAAGCTACTTGATGGCAAAATCCAAAAAGGTTGTAGCAAAATTCTGTTCTTACACACAAAGCAATAAAAAAAAAATACATTTATATTATGAATGTGACGTAATAACGTAAAGCGAGGATCAATTTCATGTTTACCTATTGATGCTAGTAGTTTCATCAAAACTCTTGCATACCAGGTGCCATTTTTATGCTTAATCTGTATGATCAGGTTCAAAGATTTATTACAAAGATATATAAATATAATATATTTTTATAATATCGTAATGCTAATGACACTAAAGCGCATGCAATCAAATGTCATGAGTGTAACAGATTAATTAAATCCCTAATTTTATATATATTTATGCACATTTTCAAAACTGCCGTTTCCTTAAAGGGACTTATTCGCCATTTTTGGGGCGTACCATGAACCCAGAAACGGAAATTGTTCAGCTAAACTAATCGATTATAGTAGTAGTTTACAGTCTAAATTTTAGTCTTCTTGGCAATGTGTATCCATAATCATCTGAAGAGTCGCTTTTTCAAGAGTTTCCAATTTGACAATCGGTTAATGACTTCACTTGCATACAGTAGACTCAATCATCCTGTCCACCTTGGTCTACGCACAGCTGTGACAAAAGATGTGTCTGGGTGTCAGAGACTATATCAACAAGACGTTCAACTTTCGGATACCCCGATTTTTAGAGAGAAGATAAGCTTGTGAACGAAATAAAAAAAAGTGAAATTTCTTGTTTGGGGTCTTACAGTTACTTTTTACATATCTTCATTAACCCCTGAAAATGGCGAAATTGTCCCTTTAAATATATTTCTCCTATGCAAATAGTCGAAATAGTTTTTTGAGCTCAGAAAACAAATGTTTCGGCGATGTATCTATAATGCATTTATAGCAGCGAAAAAGAGTAATTTAAAATGTTGAATAAAGAGGTCTTGCAGTGCGATAAACGTAATTGCAAAAGTGGAGAACACTATATAACACAAAATTTGCAATCTACTTTAGACACAAATGATAAAACAATTTTTACAATTAGCCGATTTATCTTTTTTAAAAAAGCTAACTTATCCCAATCATGGAGGTACAACTGTTGTGTTTTCTGTTTCGAGCGTCATGATTGGCCATTCGCAGCTGGTCATGAATTTCATCTGAAATCTTTGGTTTGGATACGATGTGATACGAGTCGATCGTTAAAATGCTTTTATGATTAAAGATGATACGCTTCCTTATGTTCAATTCACAAGGTTTTCCATAAACAGCCAAACTTACTTTACACGGCAGAAAAAGCTAGGGAAAAATTCTACAGCATGTTTAAGAGTGTGCATGCATTTATCGGGATTTGAAAGATATAGGATTGAGAATGGTGATAAGAACTAGGTATACATACATCAGGCTCACGCCTTCCATGCAGTAAAATATTTAAATTTAACTGAAATACAGATGTTTTGTTTTTATTTTTTTGTTAAGTTTAGTAGATACAATCATCTACAATTCATCAGTCTTAAATCTTTGAAGCCTGAATAAAATTGTCCTTATACAACACCCTATAAACCTAAACAGTACACAAATAGGACCGGGTAAAAAGAGCATCTACTGCTACTATTGGATCACACATAATAATATACCAGTGTAAACATTGCAAGTGTCATTAATCAATGTTAGTTCAGAACATCGTAATGAAATGCACCAGTGTGTGTGGATGATTTATTAGAATATAATTATACATTATATTATAGTTATAAAAACATTGTGTCATAAACATAAGCAGTGAAAGAGGATAAGTTGCTCCTACAAGGTAAAGCATTTTATAGTTTTAAGAAAATCATATCAGAGGACACCAAAAACAACATGTAAAATAAATAATTTACCCCAGCTAAGTCTCTGTCAGTTTCTGGTGGAGGTGCAATGGCATCATTAGCATTTAATATTGGAATAATATTCAATTTAAGCAGCTCGTTTAATGTACTTTGTAAATTCTTACATGTATATGCATCATCAAAATCAGGTTTAGTTAATAGAACCTAAAATAAAGAAGAAAAAAATATTACACAATGTTACAGACAAAGGATTCTTCGATGCATACTTAAGAATGGGTTTGAAAAAATCGGAATCTATCAGACACCGAATAAATTCTTTTAAGATAAGGTTATTGATATAGATCTTCGTGTATGTTATACGAAGAAACACATATCATTATTAGCTGCATGGAAGATGTTGAACAGTTCACGACCAAAAGATCCTGTCCACCCTTTATCGCAAAGTATCAATTATTACCTGGGCTGTTCGGATACCATACTGTAAAAACATAGCTTCATATAGCGACATCAAACCACTCTGTCCAGCAGCAGCACAAGCTCTTGGTTCTAATAAAGGGTGATTCTGTAAAAGACAAAATAACGTATAATATAATATAATATAAATTGCATGTAAAATATTGTCCTTTATGTTTGTGGATCGAAAAGGTGTTACAATCAGGTCAGTGTGGTGTATAGAATATAATATAAATAATAAATATAAAAAAATCTACCGAAGAGTCACGTCTTGAGATAGTCTGTCTCATACTTCTGGACATAATAATTTCTTGGTGTAATTTCTGTTTACCAAACGCAACAGCTCCACTAGTTACCATGAGCACATCTTTTCCTTGGTTCTGCAATTGCGAAACCTAAAATTCAAATCAGTTAATGTTCTGTTCAGCAAAAATAAAAAAAATTCCATTCACCGCCCTTGTCAAATGAGTAGTTAATATCTCCAAAATATCAATATTATTGATACTCTATGACTCGACCGATTTTTCCAGATTTTAGTAGAAGCTAGGTAGAACTCGTTGTGCAGTTACGAGATGTACCTCTTTGCCCGAAACGCCTCTACTATGTAGTAGACTTGGTCAATATGAATGACTAAAGCAAGTAAAGTGAAGTAGCGTTAGGCTAGCGATCTAATCAGGGTCGTAACAATATAGTTAGCCTAGCTCAATGGTTCCCGCTTGATGAACTGACCGAGTCTTTTAGGCAGGAGTTGCGCCCCTTATTTCATTATTATATTTCTTTTGTATTTCTTTTGACTCATAGCCGTCATCCTATCGGAAAGAGGCATTATTTAATTCATTTTACCTGTTCAACAATTGAAGCTAGTCGACCTAACGCAATACCACATTCATCTTCCCTTGTTATAACAGCACTACCTAACTTCACTACGATTCTTTCTGCGTTTACCAGATCATTTCGATGAAGAGCATGCTGTTTCTGAATGGCTGAGGTTGAGATATTTCTGTATTGTGCTGCCATAAACTTTGTCTTCGATCTGTGTTTACATGCCAGTTTACCAAATTTACCGATAAGAAAAGATGTTGACTGGAGTCTAGATGAAGCTACCTTGTAAAACATCTTGAAAACTCTGCTCCTCGTCTATTCCCTTAACCTCGACTGAAAATAAATGTTTCACTTGTAAATCATACCATATTAATTTTAAATTTTAATAGTTTGTATTCAATGATATATATATTTACTGCCAGTTATCTATGCTGAGAAATACCATCAATTTTTAAAAATCAATATCAATAACCCATGTGGGCGTATAAAAATTGTTTGAAAACTAAAGTAGTTTGAGCAATACCACTGCTTCAAGTAATTGGAAAGCTTCTGAATTTGAACTAAATCTTCATTTTTGCTTATTATATAAACAGCAGTAGTGTTGTTAATTCATTGCAAACTAATTGAGACAAAACAAATATCATACGGATATGCTGAATTTCAAGAAGAACGATATTTTAGCCAAACTCATTAAAATACAGTATCGTTCGATTATTAAGTAATAAGTTCAAAGCTAGCATATCCTCTTCAATACACAAAGGACAAAATTAATGATGACAAGATAGATCACGATATTGTTACAGATGTTACAGCTATTAGGCTGTCCATATGATATACTTAGGCCTACATATGTACCTAATTTTATCAAAACTTTCGTCTTCTTGACACTTTCAGGCAAGGGTCTCGATAATTTTTCAAAAAAAAAAGATCGATATTCCGATTTTATGCTCTTGTTAAGAAATAAGATATCTACGCTACCCTTAGTAGTTGAAGTTAAAAGTTCTTTATTAGTTTTGTATTATTGCGTAAAATGTATTTAATTAAATGTTTTATTTAAATTGTCGCAGGTTTCTAGGGGCGCCAAAAACGGATTCTGTCAGTCCAGTCAATTATTTGGAGCCACAACTCCACTGCAATATCTAAAAAAAAAAAACGACCAGCCAATTTGTACCAAAATTGAACTCGTCAATATCAATATTATTATCAATATACACATTCCAGTTTTATCAAATAGGGAATGAATTACGTAATTTTGACGGACATCGGCAACAGCAAAATACGACTACATTTTCATGTGGGCGTATAAAAAGAAAAGAGTTTTCCTTGCCTGTCGACATCAACGTGTAAAATATCCGATACACAAATATCTCTTTCTAATCAAGGATCGTTTACCTTCGAGACGTTATAAATAATGCAGACTTTAGGTAAATATAAACGTGAAGTCACCTTTGGAGTTTGGACTATCACATTAACCCCGAGTGATTCGACCTTAAAAAATTGAAATTTACACATACATTATTGCCATTATATGCTTACTTAAAGGACCATGACATTCGGAAAGGCTATATATGGCGCGAGTGATTCATAAAAACTTTTCTTATATTTTATTCAGTTGACCTTATCTGCTGCTTGGGACAAAATGGGTAGTTTTTGACCACTCAACCAACAACAACCACCAGATCTAACTATCATGGGTCCCATCTCCCATCACATGTCTACATTCTGCAGAATCGTATCATCTATGATCAACCAAAGTTTCTAAAATAATTTATCATGTTTCATTACAGTGATTAGAGGACATCTTAATCTTTGTTGAAAGCTTTTACCCCTTTTCTGCCTCTTTCTCACATTCTCTTTCTTTTCCTTTCGAGTCTTCCAGATTTCAAATATTTATCGAATAATTAATCTGACCATTAACCAAACCAACGACTACCACGAATTACCACAATCAGAACTTTTACATTAGAGTACATGCATAAACACCGTGATGCAATCACAATGCGGGCATTCAATCATGTTCCTTTAGCAACGGTAGGCCTAGTGGTGGAGAAAAAGTTGGGGGGGGGGGGGGGGGCGCTGCATGGGGCAGAGGGATTTTCTGAAACCCTCGCAACCCCGAAGGTATGTTTTTCGGGCAAAAATCTTATCTTTGTTGAAAGATTTCCCCCCCTTTTTTTCTCTCTTTCTCACATTCCCTCTTTCTTTTCCTTTCGAGTCTTCAAGTTTTCCAACACGTATCGAATAATTAATCTAAACAAACCAAACCAACGACTGCCAATCCCCAAGAATTACCAAGATCAGATCGAGTTTGGAAGAATGAAGAAGGACGACAAGAATGGCATTTATAGATTGTTTGCAAAAACATATGTTGTCAAGGTCATTTTTTAATTTGATTATAATAATGATATCAAACTAAAATACTGGAAAAGAAAATCAATTCGTTATATTTACCTTGTGCCTTGAATTTGAAGGATTGTAGTAAATACTCCAAGTTCACAAATTACGGACTGAAAAGAAACTTTCATATCAACATTTCGTTGCATTGCATCAGCTTTAAGTATTTTTGGATTCCGTAAAAAAGCTCAACAATAACAACAGTTTACAGTGTTTACAGTGAATACATGTCATTCAACAGCTGAGTTGTGTACTGTCATCAAATAACATCAACAGCTTGTCTAGTATAGTCCGAGTTCTGACCCTAATTATCAGTTCACTCACTGTCCTGTGAATTTACTGGTTGATATTGTATTCATAATTCTGCATAATTCCGAAAATGTTGGGGGCAATGAAAGTTTGTTTGGCATTAGAATACATGCATAAACACCGTGATACAATCACAAAGCGGGCATTTAATCATATTCCGCAACGGTAGGCCTACGATGATTATTCGTTGCTTTGTTGATTGATTCGCGGTTCATTTGAATAAATGTGAATATTTTTCGAGAAGGCGTATAAAAATTGTTGATTTTTTTTTTATTCTTTCTCTGAAAACTATCAAAGCTGATTGGCACTATGACAACATCTCAACCATGAACTTTGATATTTAAAAGAAAGTAAATTTGGTCCCTCAAATTTTCCGACTTGTTATTCAAACATTTTCCCGCAAAAATACTTTTTTATTTGTATTGGGGGTACTGATAGCAAAATTACAATTTTTAGTCAGTTGTCTTCCATACGAAACTTGGTTCTTACATAGAAATAACACACTTGAACGTAGTTCACAACCAATTTGAATCTCTACCTCAAATTTAAAAAAAAAAATTCAACCAAGCAAATTATTCACGCTTGAAGACTTTGTTGAAATATAGCCTTTATAAAATTTCTACTTCAGCGAGAATTCAAAATGGTTGTGAACTACGTTCGTGTTATTTCCATGTAAGATCTATACGTAGTTTCGTTTGAGACTTCTACGTTAGGGTAACGTCACTTTATAGCGTATACGTGTTTATAATTTTTTTGAGGTGCCATAAGACGCCTAAATCGATATCTCGTTTTCGAACAGACATCAAAATTAAGACCTCGATCTGAACCTGTTCACCACTTAACCTTGTTAAAGGAGCATATTAGGCCTATGCACAATTTTCATTATCAAAAACGTCGTAAATAAGGCCTATACCTGAAAATAGTTTTAAAATATATGGTATTTACATCTATAATCTACATCGTGAAACTGAATTATTTTTTTAAAAGGGTTCATTAAAAACAGAGTGTACTAATTAATAACTTAACAGCTTCAACTAGTTTTTGATGTTTGGGTGTATTGAAAGCACCGATCTTGGTCGAAATAGCTAAGTTTATCAATTATATGAAAAGAAGGATGCTTGAGTCAGTTGAGAGACCCTTTTCTCTGCCATTTTTTTGTTTTTGTTTCTAAAATCGTAACGTACTTAAAAAGTTTACATAAACCTTTTAAATACCCCGATAGTTTTTTTTTTGGGGGGGGGGGGGGGGCAGAATTTTGAGTTATACTCAAAGGTTTTTCAGTAAGTGGCTATGTCTATGGTATGTACAGATCAAAGCATAGACAGGATGTTTATGGTGGAACTAAGAGAATCCGAATAGAAATATGATTGAATCAAACACACCCAAAGTACCCGGATGAACACATGTATTCGACTTCCTGTTATATTATCAATAATTATTTATATTTTTCCGAATTTCAGTTCCAGTTTATATCAGAAACATGGAAGGTGACGATGAAGTGTGCGTCCCTTTTCAGGATATGGGATTAGACGACAGGCTTCTAAAGGTAACTGTGTTGAATAGAAAACTTATCGAATATGTAAAACTTCTATGACTTTTTTGCATTTTGGTGTGTCAGATTTGCCAACTTCTGCAATAATACTGAGAGTGAGAGCAAACAAATGCAACTTTAACCATGTGCCAGTGTCTTCTGTTGATGTTAAATAGTGACTACTCTCTGATTTCCAACCGTGTGTCATTTGTCTTCATGTCAACATTTGGTTTCATGGAAATATAAGGTTCAGTGATCTTACATTTCAAATAGACACACTTCCCTCCCAAATATTCACGAGAAAGTGACCTACTCTTTGGCCTGAAAATTCTCGTTTGTAAAATTATTGTTACAAATAATAACTTTTCCAGTGATAACATTTTCATCATCCCAAAGACAATGCAAGACACTGACAGTAGTATTTTGAAATAAATATTTCAGTTCATATCAAAATAATTGCCAAATTTCAATTAAATAAACATTGTAGTCAGAGAGTGGTTGCTTGTCAATAGACTACAGTTTTCATCTGATTCGAATGAAACGGTTTTTGAGTTATTGCCCTTGACTTAGCCAAAAGGCGTCAAAACTGGCTTGTGAATGCGATAGACACTACAGTTTTCATCTGATTTGAATGAAATTTGGTGTGATCATTAATATTCATGAGATCTTGGACAAATACGAAATTGACGATCTTTCGATGAACGGTTTTTGAGTTATTGCCCTTGACTTATGAAAAACGCCTGAAAATTTGGTTTTGTACACTGCAATGGATGGATGACTGGAGACTACAGTTTTTATCCAATTTCAATGAAATTTGGTGTGAATATTTATAATGATGAGATCTTGGACAAGATCGATTTGGCTTGGCTATCTCTCGATGAACAGTTTTTGAGTTATTTCCCTTGACTTATTAAGAACGTGTCAAAATTTGTTTGTGAACACAATAGAGACTACACTTTTCATCCAATTTCAATGAAATTTGGTGTTAATACTTATAATGATGAGATCTTGGACTAGTTCGAATTTGGCTATCTTTCGATTAATGGTTTTTGAGTTACTGCCCTTGATTTATGAAAAATGCGTCAAAATTTGTTTGTGAACACAATAGAGACTACAGTTTTCATCCAATTTCAATGAAATTTGGTATTAATACTTATAATGATGAGATCTTGGACAAGTTCGAATTTGGCTATCTTTCGATGAATGGTTTTTGAGTTACTGCCCTTGATTTATGAAAAACGCGTCAAAATTTGTTTGTGAACACAATAGAGACAACAGTTTTCATCCGATTTAAATGAAATTTGGTATGATCATTTATAATCTTACGATCTTAGTCAAGATTAAATTTGACAATTTTTCGATCAACGGAATTTGAGTTTTTGCCCATGACTTAGTAAAAACGCATCAAAATTTGTTAGAGATAAGAGGTGACAGTTTATGTCAGAATTTTATTAAATAATGTGTGTTTGTTTAAATCAACAATATCTGACACTAATTAGATTTTTGGTATGATTTGACACAGATATCCTTGATATACTGAAACTGTGTCAGGAAAGTGGGCGTATCTTGCTAGGCAACCACTTGTTACAGTAAAGAACTGTCCCCAAACCCTAAAAGTAACCCAGTAGCAAAGACCCTGACTGCTAGTTCTGTAACAATAAACACTTCCTCAAATATTAAGCATAAATTTATCATTATTTTTTTTTGTTAATGCCAAAAATATAGTAAAACCTTAGTCATGATGATATTGGATACTGGATTTTGTCTCTCTCACATTATCCTTTATTTATTTATATTTTGTCCCTCAGAGTTACTTTTAAGGGGATTGTAAAGAGGTTTTCTCGCCTTTTTATGTGTATCAGGGAAACCTTTGACTGCTATTTGGGACATTCTAATTTTTCGTCTGATGCTTGTGGTTCCTGCAATTCCAGAAAGAGTTAACCTGAAAATAAGCAACTCCTGCAAGAGAATTTGTAACCAACCTACCACCAGACAACGATAACACTATAATATATCTCCCCTTACAAGATAGCAGCATTTCTAACTAAAAATTGCAGATTCATTCATATTTTGTTTCACCGTTGCCTTATAAAACTCTTTACTACGTCTTATATAGACCGAAACAGCCGTCTCTATTCCAACCTCTGGCAGCTCTTTGGACAGAATGTAGGTTGGTGTAGAGAAAAAAAAATACACTGTCAAATGGAGACATTCTGCATCTTCGCAGGTGTAGTGTTTTTCAACCTATTTACATTTCTCTGATCTACGAAACCGAGATTTATTTGGACAGATGAATGATTTTGTAGTTCAGTCCTACCATTGTTTTCTCCTTAACCATTTGTGTCACGATTCTGGTTCCATCAAAGTTTTTTTTCACGAAACTGATCTGGAATCAGCCGTTTAAAGCTCAATGGTAATAGAGTCACAGGTTACTAAGAAAACAAAAGTTATGATGCCCAAGATTAATATACTATCATGGTAAAGGTAATTTGATATTTCATTATAAAAAACAAATCTTCGAAAGTTCGAATGTGTGGAAAATCCCCATTTAACAGGGTCTTTTTTTTCGGACTCTTCTCCATCAGAGCCTGTGATGGAGTAGAGTCAGAAAAAAAAGACCCTGTTAAATGAAAAATCTGGAGATTGGGTGAAAAGTCGGGAGATTTTTCCAAAGCGCGTAAATTCGTGATTTGAAACTCCAAATTGATTGTTTTTTTCTTTTTTTTTTCAAATAACCTTTAAGCCTTGTAAATTAATTATATTGATCATAGGCCTATATGACACAGTTAAAATTAACAATCTATAATTATGGATAATTCTAGAAATAGTGCCTGATATTTCAAATTTAGGGGCCCAAAAAAAATTTTATATTATCATTCTTCAGTATTGATTGAATAAAAAATGATGTAAAGGTGAAATGATGTTTGAAAACAAGAAAGCAAGCATGATCCCAGCCCTCTAAATTAAATGGTACCGGTAGGCCTACATGTAATACCATATTAAAAATCAGTATGTCCTGAAAGCAATATTTAGTAAATAATATGTACAGGCAATGTTACTTTTTCTAAAGGTGTAATTCATGACATCTTAAATATCTCCAGTCCGATCATTCAATACTTTTCCTGCAACACTCTCATGAAGTATTGAACTAGATTTTCTGCTTCCATTTTGACGTTCTTCAGAATGGAAAGACTTGTAATAAGTAAGCCCGTTATGCAGGCAATCAAATGAATGTTTACAGGCTACAGTAAAAATTACAAAACGATTTTATGAAACGAAGTTTGAGTTTACATAAGAATTAGACAGGCAGTCGCGCATGATAATCTATCGATAATAACAAAGATTTCTGAAACGACGTCTATGTTAGATAGGCCTATCATAGACCTCGCAGATTGACACTGACAGTATAAGATACTGAGAAGACTTAAAGATTTCGTTTTTTAGTAAAAGTAGGGCTACCGTAAAATTTATTATAAAAGCGAAAGTAGAATCTACCGGATGTTGTTAGAAAAAGTGTGTCATGTGGGCTTAAAATACACATTATCGGGCGAAAATTATCAAATTACCATCTTAATTGGGGGATTAATTAATCAGGCAATGATAATATTATAAAGTTGATGAGATTAACGCGTGTTACTGGCAATAAAGATACAAGTGATGATAGATATTTTGTTGATTTATGGTAGAGAATTTGAACATTGAAAACGGTAGGTCCCGTGAAAATTTGATCAGGAAAAAAAACAAAAATCCGTAGAATCGGTCATCCCGCCGGTAGAACGGTAGACAACATGCAAAAACGGTAGAAACCCGACAACATCGGTAGATTACACATGTATGATCAGAGGATAGAATAAAAGCAGATGTTTCGGACTTCATCTTGTACTGCTTAGTTTTAACAGAATGGAAAAAATAGATAAGTGCAAATCATAGAGTTAAATATTTTTACTTATGATAATATGGCCGTTTCGAATGCAGTGAGGCGATCATTACTGGATCACCTTGATTTAGTTAGCTCTTTCTCGATTTGCAGGTCAAAGGTATCCCCGATACACATAAAAAGGCTAGAAAACTGCTTTACAATCCCTCTAAATATTGCTATTTTCACCCCCTGAAAGCTATTTCCTCAACATTAAATTGCAAAACTATGAATTTCAATCAGATGAGATGATTTCAATGAGAGGTGAAAATTTCAACAACATGTCCACCATTTATGAAGATGTTTTCACTCTACATTTAAAATCATTATGAAGTTTCAAAATCCAATGTTAATAGACTATTAGTTAGCAGAGAAAGGTGTGCTCACCTTGTTTTGATCCAGGAAGGACTTTTAAGTCGTATGTAAAATAAAATGATCAGATGAAATTTTTAATTGTCTGTCTTTTGTTTCGCATTCTTGGTACTTATTTTTGTGGTATATTAACCGTTATGTGTTTGCAAATTAGAAAATCATATTCCACCAGAACAGTTTTTCATCTGTCCGAATACAATCTGTAGATTATATTTGAGTTGATATTCAGTAAACAAACTTATTGACTGGTAAAATTCTGATTAAAGACAAATAGGTGTCAGCCAATTCTGAATTAAACACCTTTTGTTCTAATTTTAGGCAATATCACTTATGAATTGGGGAGAACCAACTCCAATTCAAGAAAAAGCAATACCTCTTGCTTTAGAAGGAAAAGATATTCTTGCCCGAGCCCGAACAGGTTCTGGAAAAACTGGTGCCTTCTGTATTCCTGCGATTAACAAGATTTTGATGCACAAGAAAGTAAGTCTGCAATCTCTAATTCATCTACAGCATATATAGTTATTACATTCTTAATATACTCTATGTTTATTGAACAGTCATGATAGGTACGTACAGCAGATCATTGAGCAATATGTATCATAATACCATTATAGGGCTCTAGTCTGATTTTCACTGGAATTTTGAGAAAAAAAATGTTTTTTTTTTCTCATCTAAGAATTTTAATAGTAATTTGATTTCCTATATGTACATATCTTAAACTTCGAACCACTTTGAAAATTATGTTATAGACAGTACTCAACAGTTGTAGTTTGAAACTATCAATTGCAAAACAACTGTTATACAAAATAATAATTGGTGATTATTAAATGGCTCATTGCAAAATAATACACCAATACCAAGCTATATCTATATTGTTACTATTTTATTATACATATATCATAATTCTAAAAATGTACCTGTTTTAGAATGTAGAAGAACAAACAGTAAAGGCTGTTATCTTAACTCCATCAAAGGAATTATGTAATCAAGCATTTAAGAATGTATCTGTGAGTACATCTATATTATATCTACTTTGACCTTATAGTCAAGTCCTAAAACATAGTTTGAATTTGAGATGTGTTGCTATTATTTATAGTGTGAATTCTTTTGCTATCAAGGCATTATTTAATACCTTATTTATTTGTCAAAAAATTCTTTACAGTGATGTAACCTATATTGGTGCAGATTAGGATTCAACCCTAAATTCCATCAAAATTAAAAAAACAAAATTTTTTTTTTATTATTTCTTAGATGTTTCAGATTCACTTCAAAATTATTGAAATTGGTTTGTTTCGATATTCTTTATGAATTGCTCACCTTGACCCATATTTCATGACTAGCCACCTCTACAACGGCTGCAAAATGCATCACCTATTTTCTTGTACAATGTTTAATCTATAAATAAGTTGAGAAAAACATGTATGGTTACCCAGCAGTATAATTATCACCTCTTAGTATTTATTTGCTTTGTTTTCGTATTGATTTTTTTTTTTTTTTTTTTTCGTCCAGAGCAGGCCGGTTTTCTCGGAAACGGCAACAGGTACGGGAAAACGGACTTCGTGGCGTTTCGTAACGCGTGGCTAATCCCAGCTTAAATGTAAAACGAAAATTTTGTGAGCAACATTACGCAAAATTGCAACAAACGGAAAATGGACTCTAGAGGGCGTGTTTATCAACCGATTTTGATCGGGTTTTCTGCATCGTATTTTTTGTAACAAAGGATAGCAGTTGAAAATTTTCAATTTTCGAAAATTCGTTCGATAATTTTTTTGGCGTAATTAATCAGAAAATACTATTTCGGTTGTAATTTGGTGGATTGACTTGAAACTCACATGGTGGAATAAAAGCACACATTCAAAAAAAATTTATCACTTCCTGTTTTGATGTTAGTACTTCCGGTGGTATCACTTCCGGTGAAATTGAGTTATGTCCAAAATAAAATATACATTATATTACCAGCCTTAATACAAACTTATTTAACTAAAAAAAATCGCACCGGAAGTAACATGTAGGCCGCCATTTTGGTTTGCCTCATTTTCCAGAAATTGCTATTCAGAGGCCATTTATCATCCGATTTGCATAACTTTTGTTTCATACGATACGTTTAATGTCTGTCTACAAAAAATGGGAAGCATAATTTTGATTTTCGGTTTAGCCTTTTTTGTACGACCTGATGTTTTTTTTTCAAAGTTTGAAGGCTTATAACTCATGACCTTAACCTTTGATGACCTTTATATTGACTATAGTGATAAAGGCTGTCCTTGACCTTCTCATGACCTTTTGACGTTCTGATTTTATAGGGGTCTAAATATGGTCAAAATGGCATTTTTATGGTGCTGTATCTCAAACCCTAATTGATTTAGCGCCATACCACTTTCAGATTATTAATGCACTTAATAAATGGTTTCAATTCATGTGACATTTGATGATGTCAGAGTCACATTAAAGGAAATCAACTTTCTTATTCTTATCCGAATTTAATCAAACTTGGTATGTATGTGTATAATCCAATTCTAAATTTGATGGAAATATGGAATTTTTGTTGTGCGCATGCGCATTATCAACTTTCTTATTTCTTATCCGAATTTCACCAAACTTGCTAGGTATGTGTATAATTCAATTCTAAATTTGATGGAAATCATAAATTTTTGTTGAGTGCATGCTCATTACCAAATTTTGTATTTCTTATCCGAATTTCATCAAACTTGGTCTTTATTAATTGACAAATATTCTTTTATTCCTAGTAAATATACTTTAAACTCCAGGCACTTTTGGATATTTGCATTTAGGAATGCAGAAAAATATTTACATCAATGTAATTGCAATAGACCATCTTCGTATGTACCTGAATGTTGTAACCCGCCCTGCATCAGTACTGTTATTAGAACAGTTCTAGTTTTAATTATATTTCATCATAACTAATGAAAATTCTTTCAAAGAAGGACTGACAAAATAAGATAAGCAAAACGTAAGATTAATTTATTACTAATAGTGATTGGAAAAATCCTGCAGGTTGACGTTATAGAGATAAACCATTATCAAAACATGCAAATGGGGAGGTCACATGAGGTGGCATGAAATAAAGTTATTTGACTATATTATTGGTCTGAAACTGTTATGTCTTATTACAGGCACTTACACGATGCTGCTCTCGGGATGTCACATGTTTTGATGTTGCTCCACAAGTTTCTTTATCTTCACAGAGGTAAATATGATGTAGTTGATATATTTGATATAATTATAATCAGTATGATGGTTATTGCTAGTAAAACATATATAGATGGATAAAGTTAGTTCTTGTTTTAAATCCATTGATGTTCGTTTATTTGTCATTTTCTTCTTTACAGACCGATGTTAATGGAAAGGCCAGATATAGTTGTTGGGACACCTAGTCGTTTATTAGCTCACATTAAGAAAGGAAACCTGGATGTAAAATCTAGTCTAGAAATGATAGTAATTGATGAAGCTGACCTTGTATTTTCCTTTGGTCATGAAGAGGACATGAAAGAATTATTAAAGTAATTATTATTATCAGACAAAAGGATTTTAAGATGAAAAATAATCCAGATGTTGAACATAGACCTGATGTCATTATTTATGAAATCCTTTCAAGACAGTTGTCTTGTGGTTGCACAAGTGAGATTGACTAAATTTGAAGAAACATTTTGAAAGTTTATTGATTATGGTCAAGCATGATAAAATATTTTAAATATTCTGAAGCTTCCACAGCAATCATGATTTTGAAAGCATTTTAGCACCATGGATTTATGCCCATTATGTTTTCAGACATTTTCCTGAGAAATATCAAGCTTTATTAATGTCAGCTACGTTAACAGATGAAGTTAAAACATTAAAGAAAATGGTTTTACATAATCCAGTAAGCTATAACTACTTTGATTCTTTGTAAAGCTCATTGAGAAAGACATTGGTTCATGATCGTAATTTGAAAACTCTTGAACAGTGTGCTATAGCTTGGTAGATGAAAATCAAAAAGTATCTTGTATTTTGCTTCTGGAGTACGGAAGAGATGGCTTTGCAAATATAACTATCTGCTTGATGATGATTTGATCTATGTGCTTTAATTTGAACTTCCAGGTAATATTAAAGTTGGAAGAATCTCAACTACCAGAAACAAATCAATTAACACAGTATGTTGTCAAGTAAGTAAATATTCATATCAATATTATTTTAATATTTTAACAGTGACCTCCTTTTGCGATTCTTTGCAAACTTTATGAATGTAACTCAATTTGTAAGGTCAATAAACATCTCATTGAACATTGTCTATAATTCTCATACATCAAATCAAGATAACAGAAATTTATCCTGTTAAGTAGAAAAAGGTCAACTGATAATTACATTGTTAGTTTTGTGTATATTGGTCATATTCTTTTGTATATCTGTTTGTACTGCTAATGATCTGAATTAATTATTTTATTTTAGGTGTGAACACAGAGATAAGTTTGCTTTATTATGTGCATTATTAAAGCTGAGATTAATTCGAGGAAAATCGATTTTATTTGTTAATTCAGTCAATAAATGTTACAAGTAAGATCTTTTACATTGCCAAGCATTAGAAATTGTATGTTTTTCTTTTCAAGGTAATTGTTGGTGCATTGTAGTGATATCAAGAGCCTTAAGTCCAGCGCTCAGCCATTTGAGTAACTGAAATCTTACTTGTGCGGTTAATTTTTGCTACATCGTTTGACTCATGAGACACTGCATCAGAAATCTATCCTGTTTGATATTTTTTGGCACGAATGACGATTTAGATGATAGCTCAGTCAAGATTTTCTCAACGGCCAATAGAATGTGTTAAAGTTGTCATGTGATATTTAAGAGCCTTTGTCAAAAATTGAACTTTGGTTGGACTCTCGGTATCATGAGCCAAAGTTGCACCCACTGCGGTGAAACCATATGGCTGAGACAATTGACTCATGTGTGTGCCGGACTTTAGTAAAATGTGTTATCAGTTTCAGTTTATTTATACAAACTATAATAATTGATATTATCATGTACAACTTCAATCTTCTATATTTGTAATGAATGTGACTGTCTGGTGTGCCAATTACTCTGAAATGATAAAAGAATTTGTCTGAAATATCCTACCTAACTGGTACACCAGTAGAACACTTCTAGCTTACTCATTCATACAATATAATACAATTAATCATGGTTACAAGCTATATTTCATAATTACTTTCAGATTGAAGTTGTTTTTAGAACAATTTGGGGTACCAACTTGTGTGTTAAATTCAGAACTTCCAATAAAATCCAGGTTTGTTACAAATAAATCTAATTAAGTACAAAGTCGATAATTGGGCTAATGCTTTACAATAAATTGTACAGAAAAATTTGTTGTTAACTATCAGCCTTTTGTGCTTTTGAAAGATAAACTGCAATTCTCTCTAAAAAATTAACCCAATACAATATTTTACTAGATCAGTTGATGAAGATTTGGCTTCATATTCCTTTAAATTATGAGTGGTAAGAAAAATACAACACAGAGGAAATAAACATTTATAATTGAGATTATGTTGTTATTGGATTTTATATTTTAGATGTCATATAGTAAGTCAGTTTAATGAAGGTTTATATGATTATATTATTGCCTCTGATGAATCAGCATGTTTTAATCCTGTTGGTAAAGCATTAGACAAATCACATAAAAATAAGTGAGTACATAGCTTTTCTGTCATGTCATATATATTAACTAAATTTAAATTCTTTATTCAAGGTATCAACTAATAAGACATATTACCAACTAATATGTTGCCAACCTTCCCAGATTACTGAGAATTCCCAAATACTGACAAGTTGTTAAAACAAAATCTTTGCTGGACATTTTCACAGATTTTTATGTCTAGGTTACAATAACACCCTGTTATCATGGTTTAATAAAATATAAGTCTATATTAAGGAGTAGCATTTACATTTTATTCAATTTGAATTAAAGGGGTTCCAAAAAAGACAAAGAATATGGTGTTTCACGAGGTATTGATTTTCATAATGTAACAAATGTGATCAATTTTGAGTTTCCTAAGACTGTCAAAAGCTATATTCATAGAGTTGGAAGGTAAACATAGATTTTTTATTCATTGATATTTATTTTTGTTCTTTAAGATATTTTAGTAATCATTAACAATAGTTTAAGCAGAGTTTACAGTTTAAGAGAGAAACTGGTATTTTGTGAAAAACTATTTACTATCTGTTACTGTTACTATCAACAGTCTCTTGATATCAATTTTACATCCATACTTCTGAATATTTTAGAACGGCTCGTGGAACAAAAAAAGGTACAGCCTTGTCATTTGTAAATGTAAAAGAAATGAAACTGTTAGAAGATGTAGAAAAGGATTTAGCTGAACAACCAGGTAAACTTGTCTTCTTTTCTATCACACAAAATCTTTTTCTTTATTTTGTCTGTCTTTGTTTGTCAATTGCAAGTTTTTTGCTTTTAAATTTGAACAATTTTTAGCCAGTATGGAACGATTGTAAAAATTGTATAATTTCCATTGCTTTTACTTCATCTAATACATTAATTTATTTTATTCTGGCTATAGGAGGTAATAAACTAGAACCATTTCAGTTTAATATGGCAGAAATAGAAGGATTTAGATACAGATCAAAGGTGAAGAATATTTATCTCTATTACAATAGAAACTCACACCAGTTTTGTAATATATTGTATAGGCCATGTTCTTTGAATATTTACATCTTAATGAACAAGAATATTTGAAACTACTGTTTTGATTGCATTTTAATGAAACTTACTGATGAGTTTGAGGATAGGGGTTTTAAATGCCTATGAAATAAATTTTCTATGATTTTATTTAAAACATATTTCTATGTTAACTATTCTGATGGTGAGGAATATTTATTTATTTACTGTGTAAAAGATTGCCTTGTAAACTATATTTATTGTATACCCTGTTATAGGATGCTATGATGTCAGTAACTCACCAAGCCATACAGGAAGCCAGATTGAAAGAAATCAAAAGTGAAATGTTATCTTCACAAAAATTGAAGGTATTACTGTATTTATCAGATATTTATCCCTTTTTGGAATTAAAAAAAATTTATTGAAAGAATTCTATAGAGGTTCTCTAGCATTGGTATGGTTTGGGATACTTGAAACTTATCTCATATTCAGATTATCATGTCATGTTAGCAAAATCCATTTGGCTTGAATGATATGTGCAATAATGTCAACGCATTCTTAAAGTCTGATATCTCATTAGAGCTGTACAAAACATCTTGATAAACTGTAAAAGAAACTCTGTATCAAGTTTGATGCCACATTTAGCTTGTACTTTCATATCTCTCTATTGATACTACCTGGTTCTACATTAGGAGGCAGACAGCAAGTTTGATTTCTAGAAGCTAAAACCAACTTTAACATTGTTAAATTTCACATAAATTTTACTTGGTTTATTGTGTTGATCTTTTTCAATAAAATTATTGGATCATCACCAAATTCAATAGTGCACATCTTCATAATGATATTGACACACATACAAAAGATCAAAAGAATCGTTGGAGATTTGTAGCCTGTAGAGTGAGCACGAGGTAAATGTGAACAGTTCAGACCGATGGACAGATGCAAATACAATATACGCCCATACTTATGTGTGGGCGTATAAAAATGAGAATAATTGACAGCAATATTCTTTTACTGACAATCTATTTTGTTCATTTCAGTCATATTTTGAAGATAATCCCAAAGATTTACAAGTTCTACGCCATGATAAACCATTAAGAACAGTTAAACAGCAGGAACATTTGAAACATGTGCCTGATTATATTGGTAGGATAAATTTTATTTTTGTAGGCTCCTATAAAGTTGTTGTAGGGCAAAATTTTCCTTATTGCACACTATGTTACATTGATCATCCTCTTTATCTGAATATTTGGTCCTTGGCCAAATAACTGAGCAATGAAAAAAAAGATTTGAATAGTTTATAATTCAGAAACTGAACTTTATATCTCTTCAGTCCCAAGAAGTTTACATGGTTATAGGGGATTGAAAAGCAGGTCAAACCAAAGTCACCATCCTTATGCAAGCACACAATCACATGCTCAAAAACGATACCAGGTATGTTGAATTTTTGCTAGCATTCCTTATAATAATTTTCTTAATATTTAGAATTTGTATAGTTTTTATAGGCCCACATGGAAATGTTGACGTATATTGCCCCAGTCCATCTATCAACATTTCTTGTGATCACAATAGAGACTAGTACAGTTTTCATTTGATTTGAATGAAACTTAATGTGATCATTTACACTGGTAAGATCTTGGACAAGTTCAAATTTGATGATTTTTCGATAAAAAGGTTTTGAGTTATTGCCGTTGACTGATGAAAAACATGTCAAAATTTGTTCGTGAGCAAATAGATAAATTTTATGAAATTTGGTGTAATGATTTGAGCTGATAAATGAAATGAGTTATACATCCTATTTATTTATATTGATGAGATCTTAATTTTGAATTTTGACAATTTCTTGCTTAACAATTTTTGCCCTTGACATTAGAGCTGTGTGATTTGATGTATTTTGGTTATTTTGGAATTGATTTTTTTTTTTTTTTTTTTTTTTCGTTGTTGCAACAAACGGAAAATGGACTCTAGAGGGCGTGTTTATTAACCGATTTTGATCGGGTTTTCTGCATCGTATTTCTTGTAACAAAGGACAAATGATAGCAGTTGAAAATTTTCGATTTTCGAAAATTCCTTCAATACTTTTTTTTGCCGTAATTAATCAGAAAATACTATTTCGGTTGTAGTTTGGTGGATTGACTTGAAACTCACTTAGTGTAGACTGCCAGCATAGTGGAATAAAAGCACACATTCAAAAAATTTTTGTCACTTCCGGTTTCGATGTTAGTACTTCCGGTGGTATCACTTACGGTGAAATTAAGTTATGTCCAAAATAAAATATGCATTATATTACCAGCCTTAATACAAACTTATTTAAAAAAAAAACTCGCACCGGAAGTAACAAGTAGGCAGCCATTTTGGTTTGCCTCATTTTCCAGAAATTGCTATTCAGAGGCCATTTATCATCCGATTTGCATAACTTTTGTGTCATACGATACGTTTAATGTCTGTCTACAAAAAATGGGAAGCATAATTTTGATTTTCGGTTTTGCCTTTTTTGTACGACCTGATGTTTTTTTTCAAAGTTTGAAGGCTTTTAACTCATGACCTTAACCTTTGATGACCTTTATATTGACTATGGTGATAAGGGCTGTCCTTGACCTTCTCATGACCTTTTGACCTTTGGGGTCAAACAACAACTTCTGATATAGGGATCTAAATATGGTCAAAATGGCATTTTTGAAGTGCTGTATCCCAAACCCTAATTGATTTAGCGCCATACCACTTTCAGATTATTAATGCACTTAATAAATGGTTTCAATTCATGTGACATTTGATGATGTCAGAGTCACATTAAAGGAAATGTTACAATTTCCTTAAATCTTTAAATGCGTCTATCAAAGGAACTTGGCCTCGGATGACGTTGATATTTACATTAATGTTTACTATTGACTTCAGCTTTCACATGATGCTAATATTTTTTGTGTCCGACACGTGGTTTCGGTGTTATGGGTGTCACTGAAAGTTGATTCTGCATCTTTAAAGCGTCCTCACATATGCCCTAATAGAGGTAGAGAAATAATTCTGTCGGATTCAAAATGCTGAGATCCTGCGCTTTCCAATGATATATAACATACATGCCTTACATGCAAATTCGAAACCCCATTCACTTAACATGGGGTTATTATTAGATAAATCGGCTAATTAGATTAACCTGGCTGTCAACCCCAATAGAAATCAAAGTTTAAGTTGTTTTAAAGACACCCTCCTTTTTATATTTCTTTAAAATGTTTTGAGTCCCGTTGCGGTATATAAATAATCTCTAGGGTGGATTGAACCGTGTTATACTGTAAGTTAAGCTTACGGAAGCAAATTAAAGGGATACCTCCACTTAATTTACCAACTTTCTTATTTCTTATCCGATTTTCATCAAACTTGGAATGTATGTGTATAATCCAATTCTAAATTTGATGGAATTATCGAATTTGCGTAGTGCGCATGCGCACTACCAACTTTCTTATTTACTATCGGATTTTCATCAAACTTAGTATGTATGTGTATAATCCAATTCTAAATTGGATGGAATTATCGAATTTGAGTAGTGCGCATGCGCATTACCAACTTTCTTATTTACTTGATTTTCACTAAACTTGGTATGTATGTGTATAAACAAATTCTAAATTTGATGGAATTATCGAATTTGCGAAGTGCGCATGCGCATTGCCAACTTTCTTATTTATTATCTGATTTTCATCTAAACTTGGTATGTATGTGTATAATCCAATTCTAAATTTGATGGAATTATCGAATTTGCGTAGTGCGCATGCACATTGCCAACTTTCTTATTTACTATCCGATTTTCATCAAACTTAGTATGTATGTGTATAATCCAATTCTAAATTTGATGGAATTATCAAATTTGAGTAGTGCGCATGCGCATTACCAACTTTCTTATTTCTTATCCGATTTTCACCAAACTTGGTATGTATGTGTATAAACAAATTCTGAATTTGATGGAATTATTGAATTTGCGTAGTGCGCATGCGCATTGCCAACTTTCTTATTTACTATCCGATTTTCATCAAACTTGGTATGTATGTGAATAATCCAATTCTAAATTTGATGGAAATATTGAATTTTTGTTGTGCGCATGCGCATTATCAACTTTCTTATTCTTATCTGAATTTCACCAAACTTGATATGTATGTGTATAATCCAATTCTAAATCTGATGGAAATGTTGAAATTTTGTTGTGCGCATGCGCATTATCGACTTTCTTATTTTTATCCGAATTTCACCAAACTTGGTATGTATGTGTTTAATTCAATTCTAAATTTGATGGAAATATTGAATTTTTGTTGAGCGCATGCACATTACCAACTTTCTTATTTCTTATCCGGATTTCATCAAACTTATTCTTTATTAATTAACAAATATTCTTTTATTCCTAGTAAATATACTATAAACTACAGGCACTTTTGGATATTTGCATTTAGAGATGCAGAAAGGTATTTACATAAAGTAATTGCAATAGACCATCTTCGTATGTACCTGAATGTCGTAACCCGCCCTGTACTGTTATTGGAACAGTTCTAGTTGATATTGCTTTTTATACGCCCACATGAAATGGGGCCCTTGCTATTGAAAACGCTACAATTTTTAGCTCGTTGACACTCTAAAAGGCACAATTCCTGACGGATTTTGACGAAACTTGGCATGAGTGTTTGTTATCACCCAAGTATAAACCCAATTGAAAATTGAAAATATTATTAATGCCCTTGTTCTTGAAAACTTGTTTAATTTTTAGCTCGTAAACATTCCATAAGGCTCAATTCTTGACAGATTTTGACAAAACTTGGTGAAATTGTTTATCGAAAATCAAAAAAATAAAAAAATGTTTCATACGAGTTACTGACCTCGTTCTTGAAAATGCTTTCAAATTTTAGCTCTTAACAGTAAAAGGCATGATTATTGCCAGATTTTGACAAAACTTGGTTTTATTATTCAGTACTGCGTTGAAGGTTATAGTTGCCTTTTAGAGTTTTCATGAGCTGATAATTGAACATGTTTACAAGAACAAGGGCAATAACTCAAACTCTATATTATTCAGTATTGCCCCAAAGTGTATGATGTTACTGTACTGCCAAATATATTTCATTCAAAATCAAAGCTGCCAGTGGGCATATATTTCCTTGCCTGGCAAGCTATCTTTAAAATTTTTGTGGAAAATCTCAGCATAAATAACTAACGGTAAATATCTATAACAATGAATTCAAACTACAAATGCATCTTTAAAATGAGAAAAATTCGTATTTTACTCACTAAAGACTGAATCGTCATTTCTGAAAGCTGCATGTGGGCGTATGTTACCTTGCCTGGCAAGTTATCTTGTTTTTTTTATATCAATGTTTATTGATGATATATTGTTTTTGTTACAGAGAATGAAATCTGATCCACTAAGAAGTTTTGAATTTACAAAAGGCAGGAAGCATTTTAGAAAAAAATAAATTATATGGAAGCCTTGTCTTTACTTTTTGACTTCAAACGTAAATAACTTGTTCTGAATTAGGGGATAAATGACTGCAAAGATGAAGTTCATGAATTAATGATTAGATAGAATATTCTTTTGTAACTGAATACCCATTCATGTTAATGAAAAAAGTTACAATTCTAGTTGTCATTTCTCTCCACCCATAGCAAAAAGAAAGATGGTGGACCACAACCAAATACGCCCTTCACGGTATGCAGATGGTAAAAACGATACATCCAAATTTAAGTTTCATCAAAATCGGTTGAAAACTAAGAGTAATAGCACATTCAAGATTTTGGGGCAAGGGCAATAATTCTGCTTCTAACGGTTGAAAATAGCTCAAATTCGAACTTGATCTTCGTTTTATGAAATGTTGACGGGCGGACGGACAGACATGAATATGTATGCACATGCCGAATTTCATTTGATTACTTCAAACACTCTAGTTTTTAGAGTGTTTATGAGCAATAGATGTTGATAGAAGCACTTACTGTATAGAGGTTAAAGGGCAATAACTCCTCAAAACTGACGTAAGAGGCCTAAATCTTGAAAAAGCCTTAAATTTAATCAGAAGCAAACTAAACTTTCTCAAACCTTTCGATTTAGGTCCAATTACATCCATTTTAAGTCTCATCAAAATCGGTTGAAAACTATGGGAGTAATAGCATATTCAAGATTTTGGGGCAATAACTCTGCTTCTAAAGGTTGAAAATAGCCCAAATTCGAACTTGATCTTCGTTTTATGAATATGTATACACATACCAAATTTCATTTGATTTCATATGCGTTTACAAGCAAATGTTGACGGACGGACAGGGGTGCCGACAATATACATCCACATAGAGAGATGTGGGCGTATAAAAAACTATTAATCTCTAATCAGTAAGATGTTACAAATTAACAACCACCATTACTGTACAAAACAAAGTTTTCAACAGACTAAAGAATGTCCTGTGAAATTTCTGTCATATGATATATTGATAACACTGATATACATTATACACTTTATTTTAAGTGGCAAGTTGTGTTTTTAAAGTTTGTATAATAGAATCATATTTATCAGCAGTAAATACCATCACAGATCTCATAGCCTCCATACTATCATCATCATCATCCCAACTTCCACCAACAATATTATCTCTTTCTTTAGCTACACTAAAACTTACTGCTATATCACTCAACTAAAATATACAAACAATTTCACATTACTTCACTGTCTTCTTTTTGTTTGATAAATTAAATTGTATTATGTATCATTTTATGTGAATTGGAATATCAGCTTCAAAATAGTAACATTAGACTTTCAATTACACATGTCCTATATTTTGGCTGAAAACTTATCTTATGTGAAACAAATAGCAATGCAATACAGACTAGCTAAGGTTTCTGTCAAATCAAAATACATAAAATGCAGTTAAAGTGGTAGTTAGCAAGGCAAGGATAATACAGGATGCATTTTGTGCTGATTGACGTAAAAATTGATGGTTTAATTTATTTTAGTGATCACTGTCACAGTGTGCCCTATGTTGACAATTCTGTAAAAAGTTATTAAGTATTTTTGCTCTTGAAGAGACAAACAATACTAACCTCATTTAATATTTCATCTTCAGGATTACTGTAAAACATCTGATTATTTAATAGACTATCTCCTCCCTCTACTCTAGCTCGATAACATTTACTTATTAATACATAATAACCAAAATTATAATTCATATTTTTCTTGTTAGCTTTAGTCATATCCTTCCTAAACATAAAAAAAACAATAGAAAATTAAAATACACAAGTGACACATAATATTATTTTGAAATTTGACAATTAACTTTTGTAATAAAAAAAACATTCACAGAACAGCTACAATAATTTCTTTTTTCTCTTTCATTATAACCTGTCCTCAAAACCAATATTTTTTACTTTTTTTACTTTGTTCTTTACTTATTAATTGACAAACAAATGGAGAGAAGATATTTCATGTAAGTTATATGTGCCTTATATTTCAAATATAACATGAGATGACCTTTCCATAATTATAGACCTTATTCACGCCTTGTTTTTGAGACACTGAAAGCAGGGTTTAGAACACAAATTACATCATCCATTGATAAGATGGAGACCTCATTGAATGAATAGCCAATTTGTAGCTCAACAGCAATAAAATGGGATTAAAACTGCCCTTTCTAGGAAATGTGTGAAGGTAAATTTCATCTGAAAGTATCATTAAATAGCTTAATCAGTTTTGAATTTAATGATGTAAAATATGATTAGTTTCAAGTTAGACGTCAAGGTGGCGATTTTATGCAGTGACGCAACGGAAAAGGTAAGCGTTATGAGCCTTGTTCTAGATTCAATATGGCTGACGTGTGAATAAGGTCTACAGCATAATACTATATGAAAATTACACACAACACAAACCGTAAAGATTCATAAGATGGTGCTGCTATTTCAATAGGTATATTGAGAAATCTTTCACTTATTAATAAACCAACATGACATTCCTTGTTATTTAGTACTTCAAAGATTTTTCTTCCATCCTCACCAGCTGATTCACATTTCTCTGATAACCAGGATATAATCTCTCTTACACATGCTAAATCATTCTGAAATTAGTGATTTCATTAGATTGCACTGTAAATAATTGTCGAAAACATGTATACCGGCTTTCTTTCTTTGACGCTTGGGGAGTTAAAATCCTAATCATTTGCTGGGTCATGTCTAACAAATTGTGTTTGTGGGTTCTAATCTTATCTCTGAGGTAATATTTATAGTTCTGTTTTCAATGTCGGTAATGATCTGCAAATACAGCTCCAGTCAATGCCTTCTCTCTACACAATTATATAATAAAACATGCAACTGAACTGTTTAATGCATGGCTAAGTGCCTTTGATGCAATTATACAAAAACAGATTAACAAACGTACTTGTCTTTCTGTGAGATTTATAGCTGACATAATACCAAATACTGGATCACCATCATCAAAACCATTTTCACTATCATCATCTTCATCATCATCATTTAGTTGCTATAAAAACAGTTACATTAACACTGAGAGAAAGACAAACATGTCAGTAATTAAAATAACCAATTTGGGTTTGCTGAATGATTTAAATTGAATTATATGCCATGCTAAAAGTCATCAATCTGAATTCCTGCTTCCTAAATAAAATACTGATAAAGCCATAACCCTATTATCCAAATTTCTCTTAGAACTGGAAACCTAATAATTGTAGGTGCAGCTGTCTAGGCAAAAGTTCTTGCAAAGTGCAAAAAAGTACGGTTAAATGGTATTTAATAAAACATCATTTCCTTTACCTTTATTGCATTACCAATGTAGTTCTGTGATATAATGGTATTTGTCAGTTCTGATAAATTAACATTAGCTTTTAAAAACAGCTGAAATAAAGACATATTTTAATATTCTGAAACTTTGTTTTAATATAAAAAAATCTTCCATTACACTTTTTGTATTCTATTGTATTGGATAAGAGACAGATGTTTCCGTCTAATATACACAGAGCACAGAGCTTTATGTAAAGTGTCATTAAACAACTAAACTAAAGATTTACCTGCTGGAGGAGTGTCTTTATTCCATGAAAGTCTGAATCTTGTGGCATTCTTGCTTCAAACTCAACTTCCATTTGCTGAAGTGAAAGGAAAAGAGATCAGAGAAAGGTAACTACATCTAATAGATGTAACATAGTTGACCCTTGGTCTGGTATTTTAATTCTTGTAAAATTAATGCCAGTGTGTTGTCTCCCTTTTGTTTACTTTTTGTGGTTTTCAGGTAGGCAAATCTCAATACTATGTTATCAAGAAGTTTCGTATTTTTTGATGATTCTTACTTGGTCCATCAATTCATCTCCAGAACCCGCTTCATCAAAATCATCTTCAACATTGTTCATTTCCTCTTTATTTTCTATATCATCTTCAGCACGTTTCTTCCTGGAGGACGCCATTTTGAAATATGGCGGTATTTCCAATTGACACTTCGTCATTACTTCAGTGGCCGGCCAATTTTTGTGGCCGATGGATACACTAATTTTTTGGATTGATTGTCTCCAAAAGAAAATCTGATCAAACGAATTGTAGTATATAGCGTACTTTAATTAGATCATAAATTGAGTACATTTTCAATCAAATCGATGTTTCGGATAATATCTTTTATTTGTCACTATTTTTTCGTTTTGTTTAATACTATTTCAAGAATTTGAGCTTGAGAGCGGGATCAAAATATGAGACAGTAAAAACTTCTATACAAATATGAATAAAAATTACAATAAATTAGCCTAACTAAACGCAAAAATTATGGATTCATTTTCATTTCCTCAACAGGTATAACTGGTTTTGATCTATTCTCAAGAACTGTAATGTCTGGAATTGAATGAATTGATTATTTTTGAGGAACAAGATAGAATTAGAATGCAGCCGTAATTTGAAATAATTTTTCTATGCTTACGGCAGACTACTCACTTTTTTGTTTTAAACAACAAAGAACTGTTTAGACCCAAACAAACACGCTAAAGGCAACTAAAGAATTCATTAAAAAGTTCATGGCTGCCATAAAACAATAGTCTCTTCCTATTTTTATCAATCAACAAATATGAATTGGGTCATTAATTAGACAGGTCCAACTGTCTGATCACATTTTAAAGCCACATAAAAAAAACAATTGGTGACTGTCCTGTCTGTGCCCGAAAACGGTCCCGACCCAGATTTTCTTTTTTCGAAAACCGTTAACAATCTGCTCAATAGCGTAGGTATAGCAAAAATTAAACTTTTCGCGGACATTTAAAGTGGAATAACGGTCATATAATAGGAAATACCAGCAGTAGGTCCATCTAGCGACTTTAGAAGGAACTACAACACCCATCCGCGGATGGCGCTGCCATCACAAGGGTCACTATCCTCAGTGTGACAACTGCTCTGGGAAAAAGGCTGTGAGGTGAAAAAGACAAAACCATGAGCTGTTATTAGTTGAATAGGCCCAACACATATATATCATCTGTATGTTAAGGGGCCTAAAACATGAAAGGCTTCAGTATAAAAGTAGAACTCTTCTCAAACACAAATATTTGCTTGACACTTCTAGAACTGTCTGTTTTGAAATTTTGATTCAGGGAAGAACAGGACGATGACCAATTTGTTGTTTATTTTGATTATTATTTGTGTATGATTTGTGATATAAACCCCAAACTAATACTGAAGGTCTTAATTGTCTGTCGGTTGATGAAAATGCCTACCAATAGACCTAATAAAAAAATGATAATGGGGAAGTATGATTTTACAGATGAGGAGTTCCAGACTGAAATGTGGGTCATTTTGATGGAATATATCTGGGGGGGGAAGTGGTATTATGTCAGAGGGAGTGTTGCTAAACCTTATCTTGTGTATGTATCATGAAGACATTCTCATAAAAAGAAGTTGACATTTTGTTGTTGTTGATATGGATGGAATGACAGAAAAAATTCACATCTGAACTCACAGTCTCATCATTGGTTTGAAAATAGCAAAGGATGTCTTCAGGTCCTTAGATTTTAAATTTCTTTTTTGAATTACTGGTATATGTGAAAATTACCCTCTGCAAAATCATATTTCCAAATTACAAATTTCCGATTAGATTCTTTTAAAAGCAAAAAAGACAACCTTCAACTTTCATGATCATTTTGGAGTTTCATTTTCAATTCATTTAGTAATGATTGGCACACAATATTTATTGTAATAATAGAACACAATTTTATGGGATACTCTTCCTGATTTTTTTTTTTGGAGATAATGTTTCAACAATTTACATTGTCATCATCAGAGGTGAAAAAAAAAAATTAAGAGTGGTATTAGTATATCATATGATTGTGTTGCGTTATCCATAAAGGATTCATATTTATTGTGATTGGTGATATTTGCTTTTTAGAAAATGAATTCATGGTGAAAGTGACACACTCTTAAATGTTGATGTATACATATCATTCTTTCAGCTTGTTTGATTTTGATAATAGAGTTAGGAATCATTTGTATGTTTATGGTTAGCTTCAAATATAAACCTGTAATTTCATTTCAGAAACTGGATAGTCTCTTTCCAGAGAAATCAAAAGCTGCTTATCAGCAACAAGAACAGCATTCACTGCCAAAACCAAACTTTCATAAGTGTATCCTTTTTTCTTCAAGAAACATTAATTTGAATATCTATGTACAAAAATTGGTATCATATTTGGAACTACTGATCAGTATGAAATCAGTAACTCTTGATGAAAAAGCACAAATGGGTTAAGATTTTTTAGTTTGTATCAATTATATTTATTAAATTAGATTACACCATAAAAGCCTTAACTTTTGATTAGCATTACAGTTATTAGATGAAGCTGTGGCTTCCCCTATCCATCCACCAAGATTTCAACAAACACCTAAATCTGGTATTTTGAGGAATAGTACATGTAGGTATTTTTATCTCTTTTATTGTGGTATTCTGCATGTGCCCTATTTTATTTTGTTTTAATCTTTTGACAAAATGTTATAAAATGCAATTCTATACTATATTTTTTCAGATACAACAAAATATGCCTCTCCTATCCCAGGACCAAAATTTGATATATCAGCTATTGGAGCTGCTTCACCAAGTAGACCAGGAGTGACAGGTTATCAGACTATTAATGATAGTATGCTTACCAATTTCGCCTTTTCTCGAGATCAGTCAAATTATATGGCTGCTCAGGTATGAACCATCATCTTGTACATGTATTTGTGTGTTATAATTTGAAATGAAATGAGCAATAGAAAATTCAAAGATTGCTTTTAATAATGCCTCAATATTGAAATTAAAAAACAGAACAAAAATGAATTTTCTTTGAATTTTGCCGTGAGCTTGATATGATTATTGTGTACAATAGGGCTGGGTAAAATAAATCAAAATAATTGAGTATCATCACCAGGAAATTATAATTTCGATTATCAAATTTCATAATCGATTTAATATCAAAGTAACATTTTTTCCAGTCTACCTGTCTTTTTAAGGTCACTTTTCCACAATTTTTTCCTATCAGCATATAACTTACCCAAAATAAACTGTAATAATCGATCTCAGCATTGATATTAGTATTATCATAATTTTATGATACAAAAAAGTATCTAAGGATTATTTTGATTATTAATCGATTATTGATCGATACCTTGCCGTCAATAATCGATCTCAATTTGGTAATCAATACCTAACCCTAGTGTCCATAGCATATGTTGTTTCTATTCTACCATTGTTTTCGCAATCCATATTCTCGTCATTAATTTTGATTGGTAGAGAGCTTACTTCTCAACCAATTAGATTCCTAATTTTTGAATTACCAGACACAAAATTTTAGTAACAAATTTGCTTTCTGATAATTGAGTCTCAAAGTTCATGGTTGAGTTTTTTGTCATATAGTGTCAATTTTCAAACAGCTATTATATAGTTTTCAAAAGACGAATGAAAAGAATATCTTCTATAATCTTTACGACAAGAAAATTCGTATTTATTTGAAATGGCATGTGAATCAATGATTTGGCAAGGCGAGTACGACTACATGAATGAATTATGTCCCCTTCCATTTCGCCATTACGGGAAAAATCCCACCTGAAAAAATTGAAAATTGCTTAAGATGGATGAAATGTTAGAATGCTCTGAAATTTTATGTGAATATTAAGCATATGTGTTAGTAATTTTCTGTCAAGTTTCACATAGATGGAAAGGGGTTTGATGGGATGCAACATTTCCAGATAATTGCAATCGCCATCTTTTGCTACGAGCTTCCTGATTGTATAAATTAAATAGTGACATATGGTTTGCCAAGGGAGGTTATTGGTCTCTAATGACGAGAATATGGGATTGCGAGAGCAACGGTAGAATATAAACAATATATCCTACCGGTGATTAAGGAACATCAGTGTACAATGGATAGATTTGAAATAACATATAAAATGATTTTTTTTTTATTTGTTAGTTTGGTGATGATTTGACCACCACTAATGTTTCATTATTGATTGAAGATGACCCTGGACTTGCAGGTTTGTCAACTTATGTCTTTAATTGGCAACTTAACTTAGTTGATTTATCTGTCTCTGTCAGATTTGTATTTTAGTGGAATAGAAGAAGTAGAATGCTCTGCACATGGAAATTGAATGGTTAATCTACAGGGTTTTTTTCTTAGAAATGGTGGAATAAACAAAATCTTGATCTATTTTGTTTCAAATAGAATAGGAAATAGAAATTAATTTTCAACAATTGATCAGATCAAGAGTGAGAAGTCACCATGGAAATTCAAATTGTAAATGAAAAAAAAAACAGCTTTAGTCTTGAGAATTTGATGTCAAAGATATATGATCAACTTTAGTCATTTACTCTGTTGTCTGTTCTACTTTCCAGCATCAAGTGGTGTTTATCGAGAATTTCACCAATCAGTAAAACGTAGTCCATCCAACATGCAGGTGTTTAACTTGATGTCTGATTGTGAAAATATTTGTTCAGAACATGTCATATTATTAAGGAAATTAGTCAACAGATCAACCAAAAATGCTCAACACAAGTAGGTCTTATGCTGTATTTTTTTAGCTTTTGTAGCTTCAAATTTATAACTTTTGATGTCATTTTCATTAGTTTTTGCAAATCAGTCAGCTTTCAGGAAATTAAGAATGAAATGTATTGAAGTGAGGTGTAATTAGAAAAGTATTTTATGTAGATTTCAGAAAACATATGACACATTAGAATTATTAGAAAATGAGAAATATACGTGGCAGTTATTACGGTCTCTATCTAAAGATAGATTATTAGATACAGAAGATAATAATGATGAAGAAGAAATGATATTAGATACACCAGCAAAGGTATATTTTGTAGCCATTTTCCAGTCTCTTTTGTACTGTATTTAAGTCCTGATACCATTGTGATTTGTGTCATCTTATGAAGAAACTCAATGTTGCTTTAAAAGTTCTGAAATAATTCATAAAAAAATCAGTATTGGCTTGGCAATTTTCTTTCAGAAGCAGTAGATTATACTAAGTATGTTGATGCAACTAGTAGCTAGTAATGATTGTACATCACATGAATTGTAGGATTCAAGTTTTGTTTCAATATCATTAGTTTAACTTATGACAATGGTAACATCAACATTTTATGCCATAATAAGATACTTAACATAAAAAAAGCTGACTAAACAGTGGTCAAGAAGATATTTAACTGTGCCTGGCAAAATAGTTGTTCTAATAACTCTCTTATTACCCATAATAACACATTTTTTCATAAGTTTACATACACCAAGAGAAAACAAAATTAAAGAAGTTGAATCATTGCTGGAATGATAAAGTGGATAGAATCTCAAGGAAAGTTATCGTACAAACTCATCAAATTGGAGGCCTGCAAATGACTAATGTGAGGCTTTTTATAAAAAGTTCAAATTAACATGGATGAGAAAGTTAATAGGATCAGAAAGTTGTTGGAAAACATTACTTTTTGACATATTGCCTGACAATAATAAACATTATTTCAAATATGATGATAAGTTTGGTAAGAACATAAATAACCATTTTTAGAAGGATGTCTTTTCTGCAAGATTTTATAGAAATATTAATAAAGGAAAGTCTTACCACTGAAAAACTAATGTTACCTATTTGATTTAATAGTATGATTAAAATATACAATCAAACCATATATTATAAAGAATGGGAACTAAAGATTTATATGTGACCTACTTTATGGAAATATAATGAATGGATTCAACACGATAACCAGATACATTTCCCCATGTATACACAAAACGTTTGGTTGTAGCTTACAAAAGAAATCAAAATCTGGAACCATTGAACAATGCCCATTCATCCTAGGAACAAATATTTCTTCATGTAAATGTATCATATTACATTAATAGATTAATCGATTTGTAAGTTAGATTTCAGGGAATATTTATTTCAGGACTGGTGCCATGGCTATATACAGTACATTATATAACATACAGTGTATGTTTTGTGTGTGTGTCTTTTCAACTAAAATCATACTAATGACTAACTAATTTTCACATAATTAATGGGCTTATCTATTGCTCTGTGACCTAGACAAATAACTAAATGACATAAAGGGTTGCAAATCCTTCTATAATCACTTTATCCAAAATATTGATGAAAAACCTTGAAATGAGATCAAATGGGAAAATGAATATCAGATTTGATAAACAAATGGATGAGTTATTTCCTAATTTCCTAATTTTCCAATGTACTATAGTAGAATAATTCACCAAATTTTAGGAACAAATGATATTTTATACAAAACGGGTGTCAGTGACAGTCCATTCTGCAGCATGTGTAGAGAGCAAATTGAAACAATCAAACATTTATTATAGGATTGTCCATATGGCATCATATTTTGGGAAAATGTAATTGAATGGACAAATTGTAGGTTTGAAACAGAAATTGAGTTTTTTGTTGCTTTGGAAGAAAACAGGAAATTGGAAACTTAATTCTATGTAAATTCATAAATATATTTAAAAAAAAAAAGAAGAAAAAATTTCATGCCATGTTGTGGTAATTGGTGAAATTATGGTTCCTCTACTCTGCATTAGGGACATTCTTGGTACGCAAAATTTAAAAATTCAAAAAGACACTCAACTTTGATTATCACTTTCAGAAGATTCCAAATAGCTATAAGTTTATCCCAGTTTATTTTGTTTTCTTGACGTATCTATTCATTTCAGATTGATAATAAAAGTGACCAGATGATAGTTGATGATTTATTTGAAAAAACACCATTAATAAGACAATCTCAGTTGGTGATAGATTGGTTAGAAAATTGTTCTTTAGATAATCTAGAGATGTTTTCTGATGATGTTAGATTCTTCTCTGATCAGTCTGTAGCTTGGTAAGTTAACTTGACTACCTTAAGGCATGTTTTAATTATGGTAATATTTATTTAGAATTAGTCGTCATACCCTTTTTATACTCTCACATGATAATGGGGAGCGTATATTGCTGTCACCCATGTCCATCCGTCCACAATTGCTTGTATATACTCTACAAGACACAATTCTTGATGGATTTTGACAAAATTTGGTATGAGTGTTCGTAATCATCTAATGATGAACCCTATGGAAAATCAGAAGAATCAAAAAATATTTAGTATGAGTTATTGCCCTTGTTCTTGAAAACGTGTTCAATTTTTATCTCGGATTTTGACGAAACTTGGCATGAGTGTTTGTTATTACCCAAAGATAAACCCAATTGAAAATCAGAAAAATCGGAAAATATTTAGTATGAGTTATTGCCCCTGTACTTGAGAACACGTTCAATTTTTATCACGTAAACACTCTAGAAGATTTGACAGATTTTGATGCAATTTAATTTGAGTGTTAACACCCAAGGATGAACCCTATAGAAAATCCGAAAAATTGGAAATATTTAGTAGGAGTTATTGCCATAGTTCTTGAAAACTTGCTCAATTTTTAGCTCGTAAACATTCTAGAAGGCTCAATTCTTGACCGATTTTGACGAAACATGGTGAAATTGTTTATAATCAAATCAAAAATAAAAAAAAATCGAAAAATGTTTCATAGGAGTTATTGACCTCATTCTTGAAAACGCAAAGGCATGATTCTTGCCGGATTTTGACAAAACTTGATTTGAATATTCGCCTTTTAGAGTTTTCACGAGCTAAAAATTGAACAAGTTTTCAAGAACTGGGGCAATAACTCATACTCAATATTATTCAGTATCGCCCCAAAGAGTTAAAAAAAAGCGTAAGACTAAAGGTTGAATATTTCATACTGGTCATTGTTATTGTACTGTCAAATATTTTATTCCAAATCAAAGCTGAAAGTTGGCCCTCTCTAGAAAGAACGCATTGCAAACACCTGTTTTGGTTAGGAACAGAGTTGTTGCCTTTCCCCAGAGCATGCAGCTGCTGACAGTATATTTTTGACACTATTTGGTTTAATTTTTTTTATTTTGCTCGATTTTTGGTACGATTTAGACGACCGATTTCTATACTATTTTGTCCATACCCAAATCTATATCGGTAAGATTTCGGACCCAGCTGGGTTCAACACGCAAAGACTCTGTCAGTTTGCGGTTAAAGATAACTGATTAGACCTGTGAGCCACTGAAAATTTGCCACAAGCTGCCGCCGGACTACTTAAAAGCCAGCAGCTGGCTCGCCAGGTGTCATTTCAGTATGAAAAGCCTCCTCTCGTGGATATGACAACAACCATTCCAAATTTTCAGTCACTGAATTCCTTCATCAAGCATGCCACTGGAAAATATGAATGCTTGATATTATTTGTTGAAACCTTTAGAATACGTAGGAGACATTATATTTTTATTCAAAATCAGCTGCCTGTGGGCGTATATTACATTGCCTGGCAAGCTATCTTTTTAAACATGATAGCTGTGATACATTAAATATCGAATGTAGATGGGACATGCTTCAAAGTTATTTTTCAAAATGGTTTACTTACTATTTATTATGCAAAATATTCTGCTGGGTAAAAAAAAAATAAGCCAAATACTAATATTTACACTGAGAAAACAAGTAGACAGAGAGTATATTTAATGTCCTGTGACCTATTGTAGGGAAAATTCACTTCATGAACTGAAACAAAAGAAAGAAGGTAAAATGGTCCGAACCTCTAGAGTGTTTGTTGATGAATTGGTAGGTATCAACTAAGTTATATTGTATCAGATTTAAATATGACTAATGCATCCAATCTATGTAACATGTGACATTTAGAATGATATTGAAGAAGTTCTTAAAAATATTTCTCTCCGGTCATTTTGAAGAAAATATACCTATTGATATGGTGACTTATTTTGAATTAAGGCTGGATTTGAACAGTATTTTTCTTTATCTCTTATTTTACCACTTGGTGAAGTGTTACTATAAGATTCTCATTCTTTATTTTAAGGATCCTGATGCACCTATACGTCAGAACAGTTCATTAGATGATTTAGATAAGGAAGATGAATTGAGATTATTACAACATATGTTTGTATGCATCAGAGCTGGACAGTTAGATCGGGTAGGTTATGTAGAATTCTTCATCATTTATACACATTCTTATAGAACTGCAGAGCTTCTTAGCTAGGTCATCTTCATTTGGTGTATCTTCCCAGAATGCAGAGGACATAAACATTTATGAATCTTGCATGTACTTGAGTCTTAATCAAATAATCTTGTTTTTTAGTCATGGTCATCATAAGAATTCTGATGACATTTAATACATGTATATCATCTTTCCTCAAATCCTTGTTAAGTTAACTGAGCAGTAAATGTTATATTTGATATGGGGAAAATGGTTTGGCTAAAGACGAGTATTATTGGTCTGGTAAATTTAAAACAGCGTTTCTTTTTTCTTCCCTTTGAAAGTGGTAAATAACAAATCCATTACTTTGATTTAAGGCACAAGAAGTTTGTCGTAATTGTGGCCAGTCATGGAGAGCAGCAACATTAGAAGGTTGGCAGCCATTTCATGATTCTAATTATCAGAAGTTGGGTGAAGGTGGTCAAGTTGAATCTATACAGGGTAATCAATATAGAGATGTCTGGAAACTTGTTTGTTGGAAAATGGCACGAGAGGTAAAATTACATTACATAAGATTGTTATATTGTATGAAATGATTTGTGTACACATTCTGTTTGACAAGAAGTAAGATGTATTTATTATCTTCAAATACTCTATAACATGATTATGCTATAAAATTAGAGAGCTTTAAATTCATTATCAACTTGCCCATTTAATTTGTATATGATTAATGGTAGAAATAAAGTTGTGAAAATCTACTTTTTAGGCAAAATTTGATAAATATGAGAAATCTATCTATGGAGTGATGAGTGGTAATTTGTCAGCTATATTACCAGTATGTAAATCATGGCATGATTATTTATGGGCCTATTTTAAAGTGATGGTTGATACACATGTTGAAGGTGAAATAAGAAGAAATACCAAATCTGCCAGAAAATTTGTAGACTTACCACCAGAATATTTTAGTAAATTGTAAGTTTTTGATTTTTTTTTTAAGACAGAATTGAGATCTGGATGTATGATGGCAGAAATTTTATTTATATCTGAGGTCACTGTCTAAATACATGTAATTTGCTATGGGCAACAACAGACATGAAATGTAACAAAATCTGGTTGATTTAAAATAGAGCAATGTTCCCTCAGTGATTTTGGTATTAACATCATAATCTGAACAAAAATATGAAAGTTAAGGTACACTGAATTCAAAAGTTCATGATTTTGATTATAGGTTGTATCCAGATTTGGTGTTTGCTGAAATTGAGGCTAGTTTAAATGAGGTAAATTCTATTTCTCTGGTTAACTTACAGATACTGTATAGTGACAGAAATACATTTGTACGCTTTCAGAGATGATTCACAAGCAGTGCGCTTTACTTTTACCTAGTTGTTATTTAACACAACATTATATGTCTGACTTGCATGGAGTCAAAATATATCTATTCTATCTTGAAACAAAATAGACTGCTCTTATTTATGTACTGACTAGACCCCAGTTGTGTACAAAAATCGAACAGATATGTCTCAAGTATGCTACATGTCAAATGTGTATGTTGAAATGTTGACTGTCATAATATATTGGTCAGATTAACTACATATTTGTTTTTTATTGTAGAAAATTCAACTGGAATGTAATTTATGGTATAATGTGATACAGAAGTATATTATACTAGGAGATATTTCTAGTAAGTATATAAAAATTTTAGTAATCAATGCTCTACAATAGTTTTAAACATGATTCAGTGAAATAGAGTAGCATCTTGTATTGTAAAAGCCTACATTTTAATGTGATATTTGCAAATTTGTTTTTTGAGATATGGCATTTGACTTCGTCCAAATACCTAAATAAATCTGCTTGTGAATGCAATAGATACTACAGTTTTGATTTGATTTTGAGGTATTATTCTTGATGAGGAAGCAGATGAGTAGTAATTATTTTTCCTTGTTAGCATTAATTCAGGTTATGTACAAATGGATTCAATCAGACAATAATGGAATTCCACAACATCTTGTACGTTTTATGGCACATCTAGTTCTTGTATTACGTAGAATAACAGATATAGCAGAGGTTAGTTTTATACTATGACTTTTGGTGAGGTTGACATGAGGATTTATAAACCCAAATGGTGTAATATTTACCGAGACCAACAGTTGAGATGAATATTGCATCCCTGAGGTTGATAAAACCCACGTCAACTGAAACCAAAAGGCATTAAACGTTTTATTAAATGACAATTTCTCAATAAAGCCGCGAATAGACTAGGTACGGTATTGAAAATGATAGAAGCAAATCGTGTCCAGATCCATAGCTCGTATATTCACTTTCTATTTTCGTCTGTATAAATTATCTTGCACTGTCTATTCATGGCTTTATACGTCATTGGCATGAGCCAGTGAAATGTCAAGATGCCGTCATTTGCAATTCTTGTATACTGCTGTCCATGACATCTATAAATACAGACTTTGTTGACTGTTGTCATCAACTGGGGAAATCCGAAGGACACATACAAAACCAGTTTGATTGGCCGAAGATCAAATTTTGTCCAATGAAAACTGTGAATCTAATTTATGCTAACTTATACTATTTTTGGGTAGATGCTTGACCCAATATGAAAGTTATTAACCTCTCGTGCAAAGTTGCGCAGTGAATATTATGTTTTATCAAAGGAAGCGATGTACACTCTCAACCAATAAAAAGAGAGATATTTTTCGATCATTTAATAAAACAAGTTATTACTCTGTTCTATCATAGTATTCAATTAACATTTATTATATGAAGATTGCCTTTATATTATTGGACCAGGTAAATGAATGTCTTGTTTATAACTTTTAAGGTCTGCATTGATATTACAAAACAATTTTGATTAAGTGATAAAGTTATTCAAATAATCTCCTGCCTCAAGGCTAAAATTTTTATTAATTGTCTTGTAGTCGAGGTTGAAATCCATGCCCCCAATTTTCTGCAAGCTTCGTACATGTAGAGGAAATCTACCAAGTGAAATTTCCCTTATTTTTCATGGTGATCGTGTTTCTCTTGCATCTTAATTCTGTGTACAAGTTGTTTTGTTGTTGTTTATTTCATATAATTTTTTTCATTAGGAAGAGAAAGCTATAGTAATTATAGAGACTTATATAGACATTTTAATTAAAAATGGTAATAAAGAATTAGTAGCATTCTATGTGTCCAACTTACCTAAAACATCTCAGATTAATTGGTATGCCAAGTTTTTAGAAGGTAAGGTAATATCTGAAAGTCTGTCATGTATGAAATTAAAAATCAGTGTTTGTTTCTCACATGGTTATATTTGTAACAAATCATTTCTTTAAAAATCTTAAAAACTTTCAATTACAAACTGAAAATAACATACTTCCAAAATATTAAATGGCCATGTCCTTCCGTCCACACTTGCTTGAGAACGAGATAGAGACTACAGCTTTTATTTAGTTCATACCAAATTAATTCATACAATCTACAATCTTGGTATTCTAATAAGTCTGATTCGAAAATACTCAGTAAATAAATGATAAAGTTGTCCATATTTTCATTTAGGTATAGAAGATAAAGAAGAAAGACAGCATGTATTAAATCTAGCTGAAGAAGAAGAATTAGATATAGGTTTAATAACCAAAACTGTAGTAGAAAATATACGTAAACGGGAAGATTCAAGCACTGTATCAGATAGTGCTTGTAATATTGAAATAACAGATGTAAGTCATTATCTCTTATTTGGGAGTCTTATGCTTACGTGATGATGACCTCAATGAATTTACTTATGATAGAGCTTAATTAAAAACATTTTTATACGCCCACATGTATGAAATTTGGTGAGGATCCGATGATTTCCTTAAGAGATATCGCATAAAACTCTGACATCGTGTTTTTTCACTTTTTTGGCTTGTGCTCACCTTACAGGCTGCGATATAGAGTTTGTTTTACAGTTCACATTTAGCTCTTTATCAAGCTGCTGGTGGGCGTATTCGCTTGCGAGACTTGCCGCAAGACTATGTTTTGTTCTTGGCAAGAAATCATGAAGAAGTAGAAACTATCCCTTTGTGAAAGTAAGAGTTTATGGAACATTACATGTTTATTATATGATATTGTAGGAAGACCGTGAGAAAATTGAAGCCATTGATTGGCTGGTGTTTGATCCTAAACACAGATCAGAGGCTGTTAAACAAGCTAATGCTGTAATGAGAGGTTTTATAGGTTTGTGTATTTTTAAATTAGCTCTATTTTCTTAAAGAATTTGAAAATATAGAGTGCTTTGACAATTTTGAGAGTAAACCCTTATGAACAAGAAAATAACTCAAAAGTGAATTTGGTCTGTAATACATTTGACTCATATCAAGTTTATGTTTTAGAATATCAAATTCATGGTGGCACAGAGATTCATGATTGTTATGTTTTAGTACATTTTGATAGGAATGATATTTTGACTGTATTTATATATATATACGTAACTATAGTTATTCTTTTTCTAGCTGTCAAGAAACATGAAGCAGCAAAACAAGTATTTCATAAGTTACCCAATGATTCCATTGACATTATATATAAAATACACCATAGTACAGTAAGTATTACATAAATACCATTTCCTTAAATTAATAAAAAAAAAACTATGATAATTGTGTTCAAGCTCAGGCTATATATAATGGAGTGTAACTTCGACATTAAATGCCACACAACAACCTTTTCTTGCAAAACTTTTGTTGCAGTGATCATACAACCATTTTTATAGGTCCACATGAAATGGGGTCGTATATTGCCATCATTCATGTCTGTCGTCCGTCGTAAACACTCTAAAAGACACAATTCTGGACGGATTTTGACAAAACTTGGTGTGAGTGTTCGTTATCACCCAAGGATGATCCCTATTGAAAATCAGAAGAATCAAAATATATTTAGTATAAGTTATTGCCCTTGTTCTTGAAAATGTGTTCAATTTTTAGGTCGTAAACACTCTAGAAGGCTCAATTCTTGGCGGATTTTGACGAAAATCAGAAAAATTGAAATTATTTAGTAGGTGTTATTGCCCTTGTTCTTGAAAACTTGTTTAATTTTTAGCTCGTAAACATTCTTGACAGATTTTGACGAAACTTGGTGAAATTGTTTATTATCGCCCATGGATGAAACCTATCGAAAATCAAAAAATAAAAAAATGTTTCATAGGAGTTATTGACCTTCCTTGAAAACGCGTTCAAATTTTAGCTCTTTAACACTAAAAGGCATGATTCTTGCCGGATTTTGACAAAACTAGGTTTTATTATTCAGTACTGAGCTGAAGATTGAATATTAGCCTTCTTGAGCTAAAAATTGAGCAGGTTTTCAAGACCAAGGGCAATAACTCATACTAAATATTATTCAGTATTGCCCCAAAGAGTTGAATATTTCAGTGGGCGTATATTATATTGCCTGGCAAGCTATCTTTAAACTCATTTAGGCAATAAAAATGTGATATCCTAACATTGCATCCTGTGAGTTAGACGCTTGCTCGCTGACCTGAAGGTCCGGGGTTCAATCCCGACATAGGTCGAGATAATACCTTTGGTTTTTTCAACCCAGTTTTCCCCTGTCAGTGATGCAGGACAGTTGGAAATTGAAAAAGAGCAGGCTAATGCCGCTGTCCTGGCAAAATTTCCCTTATTGTACCCTGCATGGCGTTGCCCGTCTTCATTAGCTCACATGGTGCAGAAAAGTAGAACGTAAAACTCGATTCATTTCATTTTTCATTTCTAACATTGCATCCAGTTCTTTTCAAATAAATTGTTACATATATTTCAGGCTGGTCACAGAAATCTAAAACCAGCAGATGAAAATGCTATCAGAGAATACATGTGTATAAAGGCATATCTAGTAAGGATAAACATCTGAATCAGTAATGTGGATTTGTTAAATTTGACCAAGCTGGTTACATAGCTTTATGAAGTGAACCCTATACAAACTTCAAGAAACCGACTGAGGAAATGTTTGGCAGTATTGTCAGCATTTTGTAAAATCTATAATTCAAATTTAGATCTTTCTCTTCTGTAGATTTTATTTTTATATGCCCGTTCACATTTCTTGTATGCACCATAAAGGCTACAGTTTTTATCTGATCTTGACGAAACTTGGTACGCATGTATATATTGATGAGATCTAAGTCAAGTTCGAAATTGGTAATAATCGGATGAATCGTTTCGGAGTTATTGCCCTTGATTTAGAAAAAACGTTTCTAATTTGCCATGTGGGCACGATATAGACTAGTTTTTATCTGATCCTGATAATTGTTATGTATATATATTGATGGGATCTCCATCAAGTTCGAAATTGGTAATAATCGGATGAATGGTTTCAGAGTTATTGCCCTTGACTTAGCAAAAACATGTCAAATATGGCTTGTAGGCACGATAGAGACTACAGGTTTTATTTGATCTTGATGAAACTTGGTGTGCATGTATATATTGATGGGTTCTCATTCAACTTCGAAATTGGTATTATCAGATGAATCGTTTCAGAGTTATTGCCCTTGACTTTGGTAATAATCGGATGAACAGTTTCAGAGTTGTTGTCCTTGTGTGTACAGCACTGAGACATTGTTTGAATTTGATGAACTGTTTCAGGTTTTTGCCTCGACTAATAGATTATTTTAAGATTACTTGAAAATTCATTATTAAGCCACCAAGGATTTTGTTATCATTTCTGACAGTAGTGGGTGTATGTTACCTTGCCTGGCAAGCTATCTTTTTCTTCTAAGGTCATAAAACTTTTAAACTTTATTTTTAAGGATGCTGTGGACAGTTTTAATGACTGGTTTTCATTCTTCCATCATGCTAAGCCTCAGAAACCTAATTTAACTGTTGGAGCCAGCTTTACTGATAAAGTAGCTTATGAACATAGAATGAAACAATTTGAATCAGAATTAGATAGATGGAGACATAACCTCACTGCCCAAACAAAGGTAGGGAAATGCAATAGTGCATGAATTTATGAATTAATATGATATTACATGATATTTATACAAACTTTATACACCAGTTGATATGGAAATATACCTTCATTATTCTAATGTAACCAAATGATTATCAAAATTAGTAAAGATAAAAGAGATTTGAGATAGTATATAGCAGTAATTTCTAATTGTAGATTAGTAAAGATAGAATATATAATTTATTATTATTTACTGATGGTGGTTGGATGGTGGATTTAGTACAGGTAAATATATTTTTATACGCCCACATAAAATGGGGGGAGGGGGTTGAAGCGTATATTGGTGTTACCCATGTCATCTTTCTGTACACAATTGCCTGTAAATAACACAATTCTTGATGGATTTTGACGAAACTTGGTGTGAGTGTTTATCACCCAAAGATGAACCCTATTATTGAAAATCGGAAGAACTGAAAAATGTTTAGTATGAGTTATTGCCCTTGTTCTTGAAAATGCATTCAATATTTAGCTCGTAATTACTCTGGAAGGCCGAATTCTTGACAGATTTTGACAAAACTTGGTAATATTGTTCAGTATCGCCCAAAAAGTTCAAAAGAAGTGGACTGAAGGTTGAATATTTCATACTGGTGGTTGTTACTGTACTACCAAATATTTTTATTCAAAATCAAAGCTGCCAGTGGGCGTGCGTATATTACCTTACCTGCCAAACTATCTTTTTAGTAGTTGACAGTTCTGAAACAGAATAGTTTCAAATTTGAAGAACTATATATAATAAAGCATTGTGACAAAGAATATTACATCGAGCCTGTGGGACAATCGGAAATTCCAATAAAATCCTACAGTAATTTCTATAAATAATTGCTTTATATTTTTCTCACATTTTGTGGCACTTGTCAGCTAATATATTAGCTTACTTAAAGAGGCATTCTGCTTTTTGTAAAACATTTTCATTATCAAAAACATTAATACCTGTAAATTAGAACTGGGTAAAATAATTAAAATAATCATTTATTGTTTACTATGATTTTCAAATTTCATATTGATTGAATGCCAAATTACATATTCTCTCATGTACCAGTTGTTGGGTTTTGAAAGGTTTCAGAGTTATTGCCCTTGACTTAGTAAAAACGTGTTAAATTTGGCTTGCATGCATGATAAAGGCTGCAATTTTTATCCAATCTTGATGAAACTTAGTATGCACTTATATGTTGATGAGATCTCGGTCAAGTTCGAAATTGGTAATAATCAGATGAACAGTTTCAGAGTTATTGCCCTTGACTGAGTTAAAACGTGTTAAATTCTGCTTGTATGCACGATAGAGGCTGCAATTTTTATCCGATCTTGATGAAACTTAGTATGCATGTATATATTGATGAGATTTCGGTAAAGTTCAAAATTGGATAATCGGTCTCAGAGTTATTGCCCTTGACATAGTAAAATTGCATTCAAAATTGCTTTGTAAGCCCAATGAACGCTACAATTTTGATACCATCTTGATGAAACTTAGTATGCATGAATATATTGATGAGATATCGGTCAAGTTTGAAGTTGGTAATAATTGGATGAACGATTTCAGGGTTATTGCCATTGACTTAGTAAAATTGGCTTTTAGGCAGGCTATAGACTACAGTTTTTACCTGATATTGATGAAACTTAGTATGCATGTATATATTGATGAGATATCGGTTAAGTTTGAATTTTGTCATAATCAGATGAATGGATTTGGAGTTATTGCCCTTGATTTTGTAAAAACCCTACAAGTTTGGCTTGTAGTCATGATACAGGGTGCAGTTTTTGATCTTGATGAAACTTGGTATGCATGTATATATGGACAAGATCTCAGTCAAGTTGAAATTGGTAACAATCGGGTGAACGGTTTTTGAATTAATTCAAAGCGTCTAATTTGGCTTATAGGCCTGATAGAGACTACATTTTTTATGTGAGATCTCTGTTAACTTGAAATTAGTAAAAATAGGGTGATTGGTTTCACATATTAAACCACTACAGACTTTCTGACAGCTGGTAGTGGGCATATGTTACCTTGCCTGGCAAGCTATCTTTAAGAAACCAATGTTTTGTTATGGTTATATTTGTACCATTTCTATTAATAAAATAGGATAGCAATGAAGATGAAGGAAGAAGCTTACAGTTGAAAAGATTAAGAGAATTACACATTCCTGGTTTATGTTTTAACCTACATCATATGTTACACTCTTCTGGACTGTATGCCGAATGTTTACAACTTGCTGATTATATAGCATCAGAACGATATCTCTTATACAAGGTATATGGACTTATATTTTTTTTAAATGTGTTTTACAATGTTTTTATTTATATTTTCTAAACCATGCTATAAAATATCAAAACATATGAATTAAGAGATCGAAGTGACTCCATTATTATGGCTGTGAAGAAAGCATATCTTCGGAAGATTCAATGGAATCAGATTTCTTTGTTGCAATCAGAATTATATTCTTTTATTTCGTAATATTTATAAACTTTTCAAAAATTAAACCTTTCTGATATGCTGTAGAAAAAGCTTTAACAGAAAAGTGGAGTTTTTACAAGTTCCATTCTTTTTTTACAGGAATTCAATCCAGAAAATTTAAAGACCTTACTTCGTCATTTACAAGATTCTTCCTTACAATTATTAGATGAGAATAAAGATCCATTGGGATATGATCTGGTATAATATGTATTAAAGATAGATGCCACCCGTTCTATTTTGATCATGTTAATTCTATATAATTTTTGAATATATTGCCGTCACCCATGTCCGTCCATCCGTCCACAATTGCTCGTAAACACTCTACAAGACACAATTCTTTATGGATTTTGACAAAACCTGGTATGAGTGTTCGTAATCACCCAAGGATGAACCTTATTGAAAATCAGAAGAATCAAAAAATATTTAGTATGAGTAATGGCCCTTGTTCAATTTTTAGCTTGTAAACACTTTAGAAGGCACAATTCTTGACAGATTTTAACGAAACATGGGGTGAGTGTTCGTAATCACCCAAGGATGAACCCTATCGAAAATCATGAGATTCAAGAAATATTAATTAAGTGTTACTGCCCCTGTTTTTGAGAATGCGTTCAATTTTTAGCTCTTAAACAGTTTTGAAGGCACAATTCTTGACAGATTTTGACAAAATTTAGCATGAGTGTTTCTTTTCACCCAAGGATAAACCCAAATATTTAGTAGGAGTTATTGCCCTTGTTCTTGAAAACTTGTTCAATTTTTAGCTCGTTAACATTTTAGAAGGCTCAATTCTTGACAAATTTTGATGAAACTTGGTTAAATTGCTTATTATAAACCATGGATAAATATCGAAAATCCAAAAAATCGAAAAATGTTTCATAGTAGAAATGGACCTCGTTCTTGAAAACGCTTTCAATTTTTAGCTCTTAAACACTAAAAGGCATGATTAATGCCAGATTTTGACAAAACGTGGTTTTACTATTCAGTAATGCGCTGGGTTGAATATTTACCTTTTAGGGTTTTCACGAGCTAAAAATTGAACAAAAATTGAACACGTTTCAAGAACAAGGGCATTAATTCATACTCAATATTATTCAGTATTGCCCCAAAAAGTTCAAAAGAAGTGTAAGACTGAAGGTTGATTATTTCATACTGGTGATTGTTACTGTACTGCCAAATATTTTTATTTTAAATCAAAGCTGAAAGTTTGGCGTATATTACCTTGCCTGGCAAGCTATCTTTTTAGTATGTAAACACCAATAAATTGATGAATAAAGTAAATTGTATATTTTTATACTTTGATCTGTTGAATTCTTCAACATTACATGATTCATATGAAGTCAGTTAACGGTAAAGTTTGCTTGTTTCAAATAAGTGGGACTAAATTGGTCTCATTCCTGACACTTTTAATATGTTGTTTCCCTTTAACCATGTTGAATCCAGCTTGACTCTCTTTGGGTATTGTTCTCTAGAAAGAACGCTTACTTTTTTGCAAACACCTGTTTTGGTTAGGAACAGAGTTGTTGCCTTTCCCCAGAGCATGCAACTGCTGACACTATTTGGTTTAATTTTTTTGATTTTGCACGATTTTTGGTACGATTTAGACGAATGATTTTTATACTATTTTGTCCATACCCAAAATCTATATCGGTAAGATTTCCTTGGCACAACGGTCTGCTTGATCATTGTCAGGAATGGAGACGTGCGATGGAACCCATACTAGTTCAATCTTCTGGTCGTTGTTGGTTTGTTAGTTGTGGATCATTCTTCTTATTTTGGAAATAACTTCTGACCTGCAATTAGAAGAGGTCAGAAAGATAGATTGGAGGCTGCTTAGCGAGTCGGATAGAATCGCGGCATGCTCCGTGTGATTGACGGACAGCCATGCTACCGCGTCCCTAAAGGTAAGAAGTTCTGCTGTGAACACTGAACAGTGCGGGGGGATCCTTTTACTAATGCTGATGCCTTTTGCTGGGATGCACAAACCGTAACCTGTTGCGGTACTACTCTTGGAACCATCGGTGTAGATCTTCAAATGGTCGGCGTACATGGAATCAATGAGATCAAGAGCGCTAGCTCTTGCTCCCACTGGGTTCTCGTGCTTGCTTGTGAATTTGAGAGATAGTTCCTCCCTCCGAAGAGAGAGGGGTTTCTCTCCCACCTCCTGAAGTAGCGCCTCATTCTTCGTACCTACGGCTGCCCTGGTGGCAATACGTATAGCTTTCATGTGTAGAACGTCGAGTTTCTTCAGTTGAGTATCACTTGCTTTACCATAGGCAATACAACCATAATCAATAACTGAACGAACCAGTGACCTGTACATCATCATTAGATTTCGGGGAAGGGAGGGTTTGATTCTCCCAAATGTACAGGCCTAGGGTGGAGCAGACACTTTATTTAGAAATTAGGATTAAGGGTCTTGATATTGGTTTTCTTCTGTTCTTATTCTGATCTGAAATTAGAAAAATAACTCGCCCGATGGGCGAGAAGTATAATATCTGTTATGTACTGATTGTTTTTAGTTTACTATGAACAATATTATCATTTAAGTTCTTATTTTTTGAATGTGCAACTATCATTTTCTGCTTATAGACATGGGGGAATTTCTCTTGAAGGCTCTTTAGTGGGCATGAACTATCTTGCTTGCTCGATTGCTGGTTGTATTAAACGGGACAACAAAGGGTGCTATGCCTACATTATGATGAATATTTAGTCCTATAGGTCTTGCTGTATAGAAACTCTTTGGAACTAATCCAACAAGCTGCTGAGCAAATAGGAAAACTGTGCTCCAAAGAACAACAGTATTTTGGATTAGGACATATGCCTATTCAAGGACATACTGGGAGACCAACTTTATTCATTCCATTTGAACAATTGGAATTTTTAGTTGCCAATGGGTTTTCTTTACAAACCATGGCAAATTTATTTTCCGTAAGTAAAAGGACATTATGTCTGAGGCAAAGTGAATATGGTCTTGAACTAGAAGTTACCGGTACTTCATTTTCCAGGGACTCGAAGAATTTCTGCGGATTTTTTCAATTCCGACATTTTTTGTAGAAGTAGCCTACCAATGCTGCATTTGAACATCCGGTTTTGAGGCTTATTTAGATTTCAGTCCCTTTGACAAGGAGCAATTATTGATTTATATTTCCGTTAGTTTCCGTGAATTTCCGGATTATGTAAATGAAGTAGGTCACGTTACCTTTTATGGTAAACGTTCAAGAATGCAGACGTTTACAACTCTCAAGAATACAGTGGTCGAACTTAAGAATTCATTTTCGTAAAGGAAAGTTTTTGCTTGAAAAATTATAGTTTTTAAGCATTAACACTCCCTTCGCTCGTGTTAACACTTAACAAAACTATAATTTTCAAGCAAAAACCGAGGGTTGGTGGCCTTATACATATACTTCTTTGCTCAATAGATTTCTTCATTAAATTAACTCATTTAAAAACAGAATGAGTTTAATTTTAAAACACGAACAACACAAATTCGAAGGAGATGGTTTCTTCTCAGCTCTGTCATCTCTCATCCAAAAAGTAGCCAACTTTGTCTCAAACAATAAATCCCTTATTTTCTCAGAAGCCCATGCTGTTGGATCTGTTGCAAAAGAAGGAGTAAATATAAGCGAGGCAGTGAAAAGATCTAACTAGTTGAAAGAATTACAACATATAGGGGAAATGCGAAATAAAAGACTGGAAAATTAAAAAGGCAATGGTTTTAAATTATTGGATAAAAATCTCAACTGATTAATGGGAGATAAGTTTTTTATTTACTTCAGAGTAAAATGACAACTAGTTTATACACAGTTATTGATTTATAATAGACTGAATAAAAACTCACACAATAAAAACCTTTAACGCCTAGTAACAGTCAGACTGACTATTATTGACTGGATATACGTCACTAAGTAACAGATGGTTATATTAACATATAACATTCCGCCCATGCCACGTCAGCATAGACAAACTAAACTCAACTATTAATACTGTCTCAATTTTGTTACGCTGGAAGATTAGGAATTTAATCATGCAAAATCAAGGTATGTTCTTTGTTTAATTCAATCATAAGACGAGAGGGTGGAATTAAGATGATATGTTATCTGTTGTTTTTCAAAATATCAATTTTGTTTTATTCCAGACACAAGTTTAATAGATGCCAACATTTCATATCACGTAGAACATTTAAACCATAACTGGCAATTGAAGGATATATTGTTAACTAAAGGGTACCAAGAGGCTAAGAATTTTCATATAGAAAAATTTGAAGAACTTAGTAAAAAGCCTAAAAATCAGTTTAGTGAAAATCTTACTCACAATAAGGGTTTGTTAAAAGAACTTAAAGCGCATCTACATGATATAGAAATTCCAATAACAATAGAACCATATGACCATACAAAAACTGGGGATGAAGCTGTCAAAAATATTGTGATCAACTGCGATCGATTTATAAAACAAGCCCCCTTCCGCTCCATTAAAGAATATGTTACTTTTGGATTATGGTTACAGAAATTATATATCTTAAATCACGGGGATTTCGAATCAATTCCGATAAATGAGTTAACAATATCAGTAAGTTGGAGTAGAAAATTACGTAAACTTGCCAAACTCTGTGACAAATATCCGAGGTTTCAAAATTTAACCATTTCAATTTCAAAATTATTGACGCAGGTTTTAAAAATAGAACGAGAATTAGAAAGAACAAGTGCTGAAGAACAAGCGTTTTGGAAAAGGATATAATATGTGACGTATATCTACCGATTCTCTAGGAGCGGTCATGACCTTAAACTATGTCTATTGATTGTGTAAGAGGGGAGATAACTCTGAACTATGTCTACCGATTCTCAAGGAGCGGTCATGACCTTGAACTATGTCTACCGATTCTCTAGGAGCGGTCATGACCTTGAACTATATCTACCGATTCTGAAGGAGCGGTCATGACCCCTGAACTATGTCTACCGATTCTCCAGGACCGGTCATGACCCTAAAGTATATCTACCGATTCTGAAGGAGCGGTCGTGAGGTGAACATTACCAATCTTATTTCCATGGGGGTAAATGGTTTCAAATAATAGGGTAAAACCTATCTTTAAAAATGACAGAAAAAAAATTACAGATTAGATCCGATCTATCAATTACATGATTCAATTCGTTATTCTTTTAATAAGATAAAAGAGGATTACATTATCATATCACCAACCGTAGGCTCTAGGTCTCAACTAAATGATGGGGATAGTGTCACCTTCGAGATTAATTCATTATCGAATTGGTTGCTTCTGTCTGATGCCTATTTCAGATGCGATTTCAAAATAAAAAAAACCAACACAACCTTAGAAAACAATTTCTTCCCATTTTTATTTACTGAAATGGTATTGGAAGCTGATTCAAATCCCATAGAAACCATCAAACATCCTGGGGAATTTGACACAATGTTGAAAACAGTTCTATATCCCAAAAGTTACGATTCTGTTTCCGGATGGATACCCGATGTTGGCGATGGAAGTGTTTTAAAAGAACCGATGAGAAATGTTCCAAATGATGCAAATGAAGATAGAATGAGAGCTATTGCTCGAAAAACAATAGAAAGAGTAGGACGAGCAGGTAATCATGGATTTGAAAAATGAGTACTTCAGTACAATAATGTTGTTGAGAATAATAGGTGGGGTAATTACGTAAATTGGAAATTCGGTCTATTGGAGCACAGAAAAGTTTCCATAGGGTTACCATATAAAATTCATCTACGAAGAGAAATCAAAGAAGATAGGATATTCTTTGGAGAGAATGCTTCAGATGCAAAATTAGAAATAACGAATCTCCAACTTTACATACCGGTAATAACACCATCAATTGAAGTAGAAACGAGAATATTCAACTCATTAACTAAAGATATTGAAATAGCATTTCTTCGTCGCAATACAATAGGTAACTGGAGAATCCACTACATGGCCAATCACTAACACTATTAAACCAGCAAGATATTTAATAGTTGGTTTCAAGAACTTACCAGATTCTCAAACGAATAACAATAATATCTTTAGAGTAGCAATGAACCAAACTCAAGATCCTATAATCCGTAAAGTTCAAGAAAGATTAAATAATGATAATTATTCTAACCAACCTTTAACAATTAATCCATCCACAAAGGATTATAATGAATTGTATACAAACTATAAAAATATGTGTGAATTATTTGGAAATCCACCTCAGTTTGAAAATGTAGATTTTGCAATTAATCATCCAATCTTCTGTTTTGATCTATCAGCTCATCAAGAAGATCTTTTCAAAACAGGAGTAAATATAAATATTCATATTGAAAAAACACAAGGAGATGTAACCGGTTATTGTTTATTATTGGAAGAAGCAAAACATTTAATTAAAATATCCGACAGACGGATGATTCGTATAGAATAATCATTTACTTTCTTAAAATGAAGCCGGAAACTTTAGTAAAAAGAATAATAGAAGTTATCGAAACGGAATCATCAACTACAATGGTAAAAGGATTAAAATATCTAAAAAATTATTGATAAATATAAACATTGTTAGAGATGATATAGATTTGGAAAGAATTGACAAGAGTGTAAAGGAAGGTGGATTTTTACCTTTCCTACCCTTGATATTTGCTGGTCTGGCCGCGGCAGGGCGACAACTGGTGGGGCGGTTGGGATAACACACGCCATCAACGCCAAGAAAGCAGCTGATGCTGAAAAAAGTGAAAAACGTAGACATAATATGGAAATGGAGAATATAGCACAAGGTTCAGGAGTAGCAGATATATTAGGGACAGTTAAAGAATTTGGAAATCGGTTTAGTGAAGAAACCAAGAAAAACTGTTAAAGAGGGATTAAGTAATCTTATAGATAAAATCGACACTGGAGAAATGAAGGTCAAACATAAGGGGAATGCCATAGTTTTTAAAAACATACGTTCTGGAGAGGGAATCTTTCTTTCAAAGTATAAAGAAGATGGAGTAATTTTTGTTTTCAATTAATCACGGAATGGATAGAGATACATTCAAAAAGGATTGTAAAGCACAATGGAGAAACCCAGATGATCATGGATATATATTCGTTAATACTAGAAAACCTGCGGGTGAAAAAATTATGACAGATATATCTTAATTTTATTTCTTTAAAAATGGGTGATTGGAATAATATTATAAAAAGAAATAGACAGTATATCAAAGCTAAGAATAAAATAAAGACTCAAGTTGAAAATAACAAATTACAACAACTTGGATTAACAGAAAATCTACAAACTCTATTTAACCCAATATTAAAAAGTCAAGAGGATATTAAACAAGACATTAAAAAGAAATTAGAAGTAGCAGCAACCCCCACACCTAAACAAATTCAACAACCACCGCATCCTTCTCCTCATCAAATAGAATATAAAGCATTATTTTTCAAATCCAAACCCAAATTTAGCAAAGAGCATTTCACCAATCATTGATGAAGTGGGGGTAATGTTTAATGGTTTTAGAATAAGATTTAAGCCAAATACCCCCGAATTTATAATCGATACAAAAGACTTTATATTTACATTAACAGAAGGATTAATAGATTTAATGAATGGTGGGGATGTTGGTATTGCCGATTACAAGGATTTAGTAGAATACTCAGACCTTCTACATACGATAAGAAAGACGGGACCCGAAACAAAAAGATTAAAAGAAGTTGATCAATATATAAGAGCTATTAATCAAGATGATGAATATGCTGAAGATGATGAAATCACACAAAAATAGACGAATTGGAAGAGGAGATAGCTGGAGAAAAAAGTGGACAAGGTATAACGTTTTTATCCGATAATAACGAAGAATTGCTTAATAGATTAGAAATAATATTAGCAGCAATGAAAGAAGGTCATCGTTCAGACAGACAATATAATGAAGTTAATTGTATATTAAAAAGATTCCTAGAGAAAGGTATCATAGATAAAAATGATTATAAAAACGTAATAAAAAATGCCAAATAAAGAACAATATTTCGTTATCACCTCAAATAAATCAGACATTAAATTGTCTCTAGATTATGAGTATGAACTCGATCGCAATGAAGAATATGAATTGGGATTAAAATATTTCTCTGTTTACAATTCCATTAGAAATATCAACGAAAATAATAACCAAATGAAAATATCAACAGATAAAGAAGCTACATTCAAAACCATAAGTTTACTACCAGGAAGCTATGAATACGTTGCCATAAACGAATATCTATCTGAATATGGAGGAAGTGCAAATGGTAAAAAATGGTAATTTAAATCTGAACAAAATAAAATTGATATTGAGAAATAATAGTCAAGTTGATTTCAACGTAGAAAATTCTTTGAATACTTTATTAGGATTTGATAAACAAATATACACCACCCGATGAAAGAATCAACTAATAATAGGCGAATCGGGTGCATACACGCAATCCACTTTAGCGCCACATAAAGCTAATGTCGAGAATGATATCGACGTTATTAATATTCACTGTAATTTAGTAAACGGTGGATTTTTCAATAAACACAAACGTCAGATTATTTACAGTATTCAAACATTCACTGTACCGATTGAATATAGAATTATAGAGAAACCATTTCAAACAACATATTTACCACTTAATTCCTTTATGATTAAAGATATAAATCTGGAAATCAAAGATGGTAAAAATAGGTTTAATGATTTTGGTAACGAGGAAATTGTTTTTCAACTTCATTTTAAAGAAAAGAACAAAATTTATTGAGTAATTAATCACTCTTCATTCTCTTCTTGAATATATAGGTAATCGAAATCATCAAATTCATAGTTTTCATCAAAAGTATACTCATTTTTATCACTATAAGGAAACATAATTCCTCCACTGTTTGGTGGTTTTCTCTTTACAAGATTCAAATAACTTCTAAAAACTTTCTTTTGTTTATCATCATCCTTTGGAATAACCACTCCATTTGTGAAACTTTTTTATTAAATTCATTCGACACATCATGTCCACTAGCCAACCGAATATAATCTTCTACACTTGTCTTTAGAATTAGAATAATCCTTAAACGTTTTCTTTTCTTTTAAAACACCATCAGAAGTTAGAATGATATTATATTTGACTTTTGGCGCTAAATACACCATCACCATCACCGTTATCATTCTTGCCTTTACAATATTCATTTTCAGATACCAACCCAGCTAGATTTAATCTATCCCAATTTCTAGATGAAATGTATAAATTATCAGTATCGGTATATTTCAGGTTTATAAAATCCATTTATTACATGAATGAAATTATTCATTATTTTTTTACTGTGAGATAAAACGAATGATCCCAAATGACTAGGTGTTAGTCCTGTAGATTTAGTTGAGTGATCTTCAGCAGTAATCTCTTTTTCTTCAATTTCTATCTCAACGAAATATGGAGTATCATTTATTTTTTCATAGTTTTTAACATGTGCGTCGAAGTTAGCCTGAAAAGTTTTTTCATTCCACAAATAATTACTCGTGATTCTATCCCTCTGAATAGATTTGACAAAGAAGGAATTACCTAATAATTTCATGCAATTATTACCCACAATATTACCTTCTCGTTTATATTTATTTCTAAGACCTCTTAAAATTAAAATATAATCTCTATATGGTGGAGTTTTAAATTTTTCTTCGTATACTATACCATCTAATATCCTGAGTATTTTACCACCGGCTTTAAGTATTTCTTGAATATCAACCGATGTTAAAACTTCTGAACAGAAATCATTTCTAAACCTGATCTGACATTGCTGAAGCGTACAAAACATTAGCATCAAATGCCATTAGTTTATTACAGTTTATTTTTTTTAAGTTTTGAATTAACTTCTGTTTTGTCTTTTGTGCTTGCGCTGTATTCTTTGAATAAATCATTTATGTTATCACTTGGTGTTTCACTTTGTGAAATACTTTCTGTATCACGTGGTGTTTCACTTTGTGAAATATCACTCCCTGTTTTACTTTGTGAAATAAATTCCTTTAATACATTACAAATTTCATCCATTTTGTTCGTTTCAAATAATTTTCTATTTGCCGAAACTCTTCCTCCTTTAATAGATCGTCTAATAAAATGTCTTATAAAAGGGTGTGTATGCGAATAAACTTTTTCTATATTTTCTGTTTCTGTATGTTTCGGAACCATTCTAGTAGTTTCATACCATTCTTCTTCAACCATTTCTTTATCGTAATGATACAAATAATACCAACTCTTAAAAGACAAAGCTGGAGCCGTTAGATTATTGGACATATTTTGGTTTACAACTTCTTTCGTGACTTGGTTATATTTTATCAAACAAGCTCAAGACATAGGGTATCTCTTTTAGCATAAGGTTCCCATTCCTGTCTTAAAGATTCCCAATTATCTTCGGTGTATTTTGCAATATTGATATCAGTGATCTTTCTCAAATCCATTGGTAGAGTAGATGAATTACCCCATGCCGCTAAACTAGATGTTTCATGTTGAAAGGAACAAGTGAAATTAATATGTTGTAAGTAATTATCATTGCTTGTTATTTCTTTCTGTCTTTTCCATTTTTTCTGTAAATCTTCATCTGTGTATGGATTAGATAAAGGTAAAGATAGAATTCCTCTGGGTGTTTTTAAAGGACAATGCGTTAGTTTTTTTTATATTTTTAAGCACGATCCAGTTATCAAAACCGCTACCGTTATGAGAAATTAATATTATTCTCTTTCTATCATATTGATCTAAATATTTCAACATTTGATCTATACAATCTGTACCTACAAATATTTCTACGATATTCATTAGTTTATCATAAAATTCTTCTGGAACATTACCTGTAGGATTTAAATGTGGAAAGAGATTATTTATTCTGTCTAGCATTTTTCTTAGTTTTTCTAAATTGATTAACGTACAGCATAAGGTATTGTTAAGGTATTGTTTTACGCGTTTCACTTTCTGAATATGTTTCATAATCCCAAGCAAATAACCCACCATCACTTATACTTGAAAACACGTTTAGTTTAAGAGGTGAAACCTGTGTTACTGCGTTATCGTCTCTACAGGTTTTCCATACTTGTTCATAATTATTTTCTATTTCTTTAATACCCAAACTTTTTTTATTTCTTCTTATAAGACAGAAATGTGAGTTGTGTAAATATAAAACCCAATCTAAGTCCTCTTTTTCAATTGTGGGGCGCAAATGTCTATTATTATGAGTATAAATTTGAAATGAAATATCACATTTCTTATTGAATTCATTAATTCTAGCAGTTGCCATCACTCCTTTTCTATTTGCTTTTGAGAAACCATTGATGAAATTTTGAAATTCATTTGTTAAATCTTTATTTTAAACATAATTTACACATTTGATAAAACAGTTACCATCTGTTGGTATGTAACAATTTTCATTTTTATATTCATTTATTTTTTTGAGTAGTTCACTTCCTCTTCCAACTTTTGATCTTTTGATTTCTTTAAAATTGTCTTTACGTATAAGGATTCTTCCTGTAAAATACCTATCAGAAGCATCAGATTCTAAATCCATTTTAGAAAAGATTGTGTGAAAAGATTTAGCATTGAAACCAACAAGATGCATATCTTGTTTGTGTTTTCCATCTTGACATATCTCTCCATCTATATCAATTTGTCCTTTGAATGTTAAAAATTTATCAGAAATAATCTTGATAATATTTGAAAATAGCACGTTTTCTATGAATGTTTCATCATCATTAAGCTCAATTGATTTATTCATATTATTTTTTATATATGCTTTTTTAATTATCTATTTTTTTAAGTATTTTTTTTTAACTTTTATTGCTGATATTTCCAAGCCACAAGATGAAGTTTGAATAGCAGTAATTGTGGCTAATACAGTACTGGAACCATTAATCCACCAGTTACTGCTGTTGCAAGTGTTGTTCCTACTGTTAGAACTACACTCAGTGTTTTGAAAACAGAATCAACTCTAATCCATCTTTTCTTACAATTATTATACTGTTCTAGTTTGACTTTTAACTCGTTTTGTTTGTCTTTATTGTTGTCTACTTTCCAGTTCCATTTTTAAGACATTAAATTAAGTGAATTTCTGATAACTTAAAAGATGGATAATTTTTATCTAAAATATCCATCTCAACCGCTGAGCCATGATAAATTTCTATAGTTTTAAAAATAGTAACTTCTACAGTTACTATAGATATTTCTTCTTTCGAATCATTAATCTTAATCAAATGAACTGAAATTTTTGGTTTTTTGATATTGATTTTTATCATACATGTATAAGTATATATACCACCAACTATTTCACTTTCAATTATTGATGAAAATATTATGAATTTGTTATCTTGTTGATTTTTATGAATATCAATTGAGGTAAATAAATCAGTATTAACAAAATATAGTTTTACATATTCAAAGTCTGTTGATGTTCGTAAAAAACTCATAACTCCTTGTTCCTCTATATTTTGTGGTTCTGGATTTCTAATAATACTTACTGATGGTGGAGTTTCCGTCTCCAATATCATATGGAATTTACCCAATCCAAACACCTCATCTTCTTTATCTGGTAAAATTGACATTCTCAACCTGTCTATATATTTTCCACTCGTTTTAATTTCATATAAGTAGGGATAAGCCTTACTGTTTTCATCGTTAATTTCCAATTCTTTAGTTTCTACATTTTCTCTACCATTGATAAACTGAAGAACTTTATGAGCGTTAAATTGATTAGATGTTTCTGATTTTTGTATGAAGAATATTGAATCAAATTTTGCAAAGGAAAAGTAATTTCAATTTGAAGTTTTCCTCGGAAAATAAAATATGATGAATTTTCTTCATTAAAAATACCTTGGAGGAACATAAAATCTTGAACAGAATATCCTTTAACGGTTGCTGTAAATCCATATTTTTTAAATTCATAATCTTATTATTAGTAATAGAAACATGTTTTCCACCAATATTTTTAAATGGAAGATTGAAATATTATGATTGTTTTATTTTCCTTGAGTTTGTTTTCTAATGTGGTTATATTTTTTTCCTGTTTTAAAACTTTATTATTAATAGTAATTATCTGCTCACTATAATCAATATTTTCTATCTGTTGTTGAATTTGTTGTTTAATATTTGTTAGTTCTTGTTGTAATTCAGTTTCTAATTCAGTTAATTTATCTTCACTCATACCTGGATTAATATTATCTATTAGTTGTTTAAGATCTTTTTTTTGTTTTGATATCTTATCATCTAAATTAGATATTAATGAAGTTAAAGATTGTAACTGAGTTTTATCTATTAGATTGAGTAATTGTTTTTGAATAGCGACTATTTCACAACTATCATTAAGTTTAGTTTCTAATGCGGCTAATTCATCTTCATTCATACCTGGAATAATATTATCTATTAGTTATTTAAGGTCTATTTTTTGTTTTGCTATCTTATCATCTAATTTAGATATTAATGAAGTTAAAGTTTGTAATTGAGTTTTATCTACTACATTAAGTAATTGTTGTTATATACCAACTATTTGTTTTTGTATTTCACTATTATCAATAAGTTTAGTTTCTAATGTTGTTAATTTATCTTCACATATACCTGGATTAATATTCGCTATTAGTTGTTCAAGATCTATTTTTTGTTTTGTAATCTTATCATCTAAATTAGATATTAATGAAGTTAAAGATTGTAACTGAGTTTTATCTACTACATTAAGTAATTATTCTTCAATAAAACTTTTTAAACTTGTTACTTCTTGTTGTAATTTAGTATCATCAATATAATCTTTATTATTTATTTGTCATTTGAAGAATCTTTTCACATCATTTATTCTTTCTTTTAAATGGTCTTTATTTACTTCAATTAAATTTAATTGATCCATTAAATATTTCTTGTGAACGGCATCGTAATCATTTTTTGGTAACTTTAAATTAGTTATGGTAAAATTATTCATATCTAAATCACCTTTTGTTCCACAAAATAAGGTTTTGCTTTTTTATCCATGCTGTTGTGTTAAGTTTTTTAGTATCTATAGGTAAAGAACCTAATCCAAATTTATTCGCCATTTTTATTAAGTTGAATTTATTATAATTTCTTTAAATTGTTTTCCTAAACTTAATTGATATAAAACCCAAAGTGAAAGCTGTCCACAAAACTTTTGTCCTGGTAATTGAATTTGAAATGTTAAACATTTTATTGCTTTCACTAATTGTATTATCTCTTCAGTTGGTTCTAATCCAAAAGAATCGGAGAAATAAAAGTTATTTAAAGAGTCTTTGTATAAAGCAGAGTGACGAACTCCGTTTTGATCTGAAGTATGTATATTTGTTATCGCATAAAATTTACCTTTCTTATCATTGAGATTATTTATTTCATCTCGCTTACAATAATAAAACGGTTATATATTTAACTCGTTTGCCCATCTCATAAGTTGAAAGTTTGTAGTTGTATCGGTTACGTATTTATCGAGAAAGATATTATTTTTAAAAGTTAGTTTTTTGAAGTTCGTTTTGATAGAACCTACCTATGATTTGTTCTTTGTCTTGATCGATTAATTCATATGTTGGAGGCAGGCCCGTAGCCAAGGGTCGCTTTTTTAAAATACACCATTTCTTTTTCCTCAATAGGAGCGGCAGGTAACTGAGTCTGAGTGAATGGCCAACAGTGGTCATTCTGGTCAGGCATTATGGTGGAATAAGTGCACCAGTCAGCTGCTCTTGCATTGTCGATCATATGATCATGAGTATTTCGATATTTTGATTTTACGTAACGAAAAATAAGGTTATGGCTTTCAGGGCTGCGTTATGCGAAATGGTTCAACAAAATACTAAGTATTCCTATCTGTAGACCTACTTAAGAACTGTTTTTAAATATCTTTCTGTTTATACTTAGCTGAGGATGAAACCAGACATCATAGCTTTTCATAACATTTTAAAATTTAATTACATTAGAATAGACAATTTGAGTTCGTTGAAAATCATAAAAAGTCTGCAGTAAAGCGTCGTTGGTAACAAAATTATTGGTCTGATACTGGATTGTAATCTGTCCCGTCTCAAAATTCAAAAGATTTGATTGGTTGATAATAAATTCTAACCAATACACATATATTATCCTAAAAAATATTCATATGAATCAAACAACCCAAAGTAGGAAAAATGGATAAATATTTGATCAAAAAAGACAAATTGCTTGATGGTTCCGACACTACTACGACTGACACACTGTGAAAGCAGCTTTTCAACTCTTACTCGCGTTAACTCACCACAACGACGATCTATGACTCAGCTTCGCCAGCGCAATCTTGTTCTTCTTGCCTTGAACAGAAAGCGTACTCAGAAAATTAACTTGGACGTATTTGTTCAACGTTTTGCCATAAAACATACCCGACTACGTTTAAACTAAAACGGCAATAAAATGTAGCGTATTATAACTTGTGTCTTTTAACAAAAATAATCTCTAATCTAAAATACTCCATGAAAGTCCGTTTCCCGACGTTTAATCGTCTGTCAAGGTGCTTTGCTAAATTGCCCCCCTCGATTGCACGTTTGACCCCCCAGGAGTACTGGTCAGGCTACGGGCCTGATTGGAGGTGATGTGCTATTTACTTTATCTACGATAAATATTTCGTTGGTCCAAAATCCAACGTAGCCTTTTTCGAATTAGCTTTTATATTTGAAAATACGAACTCGATCTCCGACTTGAAATTTGGGTTTGATATTTAAATTGTTTATCTCATTTTTGTAGTTATGTTGTGCGTTAATTGACTTTATAATATTTGGATTGTTGGTGGCTTGTGATGGCGTGACACCTATAGATGAATGAATTTTGTTGATATTGTATTCATCTACAACCTCTGGTAATATTTTAAGCCATTTTTGGGAATTCCGTGAACTTTTGAATAATTCATTTTTTAGAGTTCTATTATATCTCTCAATAACTACAGCTTTACCTTCATTATGTGTGCTGTAAATTTCAAATCCTAGAGATTTCATATTTTTGTTATAAAATTCACTTCCATTATCTACCCATAACTTTTGAGGTCGTCTGTCGGATTGTTTCATTATTGTTTCAAATGCGTGTTTGACTGATAAACCTGTTTTGTTTTTGAGAGGAATAACCCAAGCATATCTTGTGTACAAATAACGGTTAAACAATATTTATATCCTCTTTCAACAGTCATATTAATTAAATCAGCTGACCATATTTCATCTTTATAAAACACTTTGACTTTTTAAAAATGTTTGTTTTTTTTAAAATTCTTTGTGTATTTTATCTGCTATTCCCATACCCATTTTTATACGCCCACATGAATATGTGGTCGTATATTGTCGTCGCCCCTGTCCGTCGGTCCGTCGGTCCGTCGGTCCACATTTCTTGTGAGCACTATAGAGACTACAACATTTCTTGTGAGCACTATAGAGACTACAGTTTTCATCTGATTTTGATAAAACTTGGTGTGATGCTTTAGATTGATAAGATCTCGGTCAAGTTCGAATTTGACATATTTTCGATGAACGGTTTTTGAGATATTGCCCTTGACTTTGTTAAAACGTGTCGAAATTTGTTAAAAACAGTTCGTGGACAGGATTTAAGCTACAGTTTTCAACCGATTCTGATGAAACTTGGTGTGATCATTGGAATTGATAAGATCTCGGACGAGTTCGTACTTGACGCATTTTCGATGAACGGTTTTTGAGTTATTGCCCTTGACTTTGTTAAAACGCGTCAAAATTTGTAATAATAGTTTGTGAGCAGGATTGACGCTACAGTTTTCAACCGATTCTGATGAAACTTGGTGTGATCATTGGAATTGATAAGATCTCGGACAAGTTCTAACTAGACGCATTTTCGATGAACGGTTTTTGAGTCATTGCCCTTGACTTTGTAAAAACGCGTCAAAATTTGTTAAAATAGTTCGTGAGCAGGATTGAAGCTACAGTTTTCAACGATTCTGATGAAACTTGGTGTGATCATTGGAATTGATAAGATCTCGGACAAGTTCTAACTTGACGCATTTTTGATTTACGGTTTTTGAGTTATTGCCCTTGACTTTGTTAAACGTGTCAAAATTTGTTAAAAATAGTTTGAGAGCAGGATTGACGCTACACTTTTCAACCGATTCTGATGAAACTTGGTGTGATCATTGGAATTGATAAGTTCTAACTTGACGCATTTTCGATGAACGTTTTTTGAGTTATTGCCCTTGACTTTGTAAAAACACCTCGAAATTTGTTAAAAATAGTTTGTGAGCACAATAGAAGCTACAGTTTTCAACCAATTTTGATGAAACTTGGTGTGATCTCGGACAAGTTCTAACTTGAGATATTTTTGATGAACGTTTTTTGAGTTATTGCCATTGACACACGGCAAAAGTTGTCTTTTGCCCTTGATTAGAGCAGTGTGATTTAATTGTTTGTTGTATTTGGGTTATTAATATTGATTTTAGAAAATTTTGTAATATTACTCAGCACAAATAACTGGCATATATATATATGTAATTGAATTCAAACTAATAAAATTTCTTCAAAATAGTACTTTATTCACTAAAGACTATTTTATCATTTCTGACAGCTGCCAGTGGGCGTATGTTACCTTGCCTCGCAAGCTATCTTCATCTTTGCTTTCAAGAGTTTAATGATTAATGCTCTTTGCATTCTCTCTTTAAAAGTTGGATTTGGAATATTTTCAAGTTCGATTATCATTTGTTTGTCTGCTTCGTGTCTGGAAATTATGTCTTTATTTCTGTATAAAATGTCATGTTTAAGCGCAGCGGCGTCAACTCTATTGACTGGTTCTTCAACCGGTTTGGGTTTATCGTTTTCGTCTAATCGCAGATCTAACCTTGAACCTGGACAAGTGTAATTATGACCGGGAAGATGTTTTTCTCCGGGGTATTTTGCCCATGGAAATTCAGGAAGAGAACCTAATGATTTTTGAATGTCAGAACCGAAATAAGTTTTACATTTTTATCCAATAATTTTAAAACCATTGCCTTTTTTATTTTCTAGTCTTTTATTTCGCATTTCCCTTATATGTTGTAATTCTTTCAACTCGTTAGATCTTTTCACTGCTTCGCTTATATTTACTCCTGCTTTTGCAACAGATCCAACAGCTTGGGCTTCTGAGGAAATAAGGGATTTATTGTTTGAGACAAAGTTGGCTACTTTTTGGGATGAGAGACGATAGAGCTGAGAAGAAACCATCTCCTTCGAATTTGTGTTGTTTGTGTTTTAAAATTAAACTCATTCTGTTTTTAAATGAGTTAATTTAATGAAGAAATCTATTGAGCAAAGAGGTATATATGTATTAGGCCACCAACCCTCGGTTTTTGCTTGAAAATTATAGTTTTTTAAGTGTTAACACGCCCTTTTACAAAACTATGATTTTTCAAGCAAAAACCGAGTGTTGAGTAGGTTTTTTTTAAGTATTAACACGACTGGATGAACCCTATCGAAAATTAAAAAAGAGAAATGTTTCATAGGAGAAATGGACCTCGTTCTTGAAAACGCTGATGGTTTAATATTTGCCTTCTAGGGTTTTCACGAGCAAAAATTGAACACGTTTTCATGAACAAGGGCAATAACTCGTATTCAATATTATTCAGTATTGCCGCAAAGAGCTCAAAAGGAGTGTATGACTGAAGGATGAATAATTTTTTTTCAAAATCAATGTTGCCAGTGGGCGTATATTACCTTGCCTGGCAAGCTATCTTAGATAATAAAACTATATCTTGGGTTTGATAAAAACTGGTGAGACAACTTGTCTAAAGTTTATGCATTTATTATCCTGACTTTCAAACAAATTAAAAGAAATGATTTTAATTTATTTTCAAACATTAAATAGATAAATGAAAATAAATAAACATTCAAGAAATATAAAATGACAGCTTTTAATGCACACATAATTATCTTTTAATATTTTAAGTTTATTACATGCCAAGAAAGAAGAAGAAAAGTAATCTATCAAGACGAAAGAAGCAGAAAGATTTGATTTCTGCACTGACAGACAAAAGAAATGAAATGAAATGATGGAGTTTTACGTCCTACTTTTCTGCACCATGTGGGTTAATGAAGACGGGCAACGCCATGTAGGGTGAAATGAGGGAAATTTTGCCAGGACAGCGGCATTAGCCTGCTCTTTTTCGATTTCCAACTGTCGAGGGATCTTTAACGTGCACAGCCTCTAGCACACGGGGTCTCGGTTTATTTTCCCATCCGAACGACTAGACGCTTTTTCCATGTCAGCCCCTCATACCTGCATCACTGACAGGGGGAAACCGGGTTTGAAAAATCCGAAGGTATTATCTCAACCTATGCCAGGATTGAACCCTGGACCTTCAGGTTAGCGAGTAAGCGATTGCAGATGATGGAAATTCAAATGATGAAAATGTTGGGCTATTTCTAGTTGTATTGGAAGAAATATCCAATACAGATGATGGACATTTTTATGATGGAAATGACAGCCCCACAAATGTGACTGACAAACTGAATTCAGATGTATTGGAAGGAAATCCATCCGTTACAGATGATGTTCCCATTCAAAGAAAATGGGTGAACATTTGAAAAATATTTTAAATTTGAAGGAAAGCAGACAAACGTGATTCGACTGAAAGAATTAAAATCAGATCAAGGAATGAGGTATTATAAAGAATACAACAATTTGAGAAGAACTG